ATTTTGACAGGTACATCTTTTAAAAGTATGTTCATAATTGTACATCTAAAATGTATGTGTCTGTTGGGCCGTACTCATGTGGAAAAGCGATCCTTTCTGAACTCAGCGTTACCATTATTATTTACCGCCGGTATTATTAATAATAATGGTAACGCCTCCCCCGTACTCTGTCCCGGCCTAGCCTATGGCCTATAGCCTAGTACTATGATGACAAAAAAAGTATGACAACCCGGCTGGTGATAATGTGGATGTCAAACAGAACAGAACCGTGCATTGCAAAGAGGGTGTCCTTCAATGACAGTTCGGTCGCGAGGTTCACGGAGTAGAGTACCCGCGCGCACGACGTATGCAATGGGCTATCACTATCAGTTGCTCGTGGAGTTGTCAAGCCCTTCGGCTTCACTGCTCCCTCCATTGTCTTGTAAAGCATCATGACTCCGGACCGTAGCCCAGTCAAGACTGCCCATGTCTGCCACACAGCCATGTGAATCTAATGACAGCGTACTGTGTAGACCAGTCTAGTATTACACAACAGTTGTAGTATCGCATTACCATATTACGCACACCGATAAATTATTACTCAGGCATGCAGCATCAATCATGATGCAGTGCCAGGCACCGGAGCCCACGGAGTATAGTGTACCAGTCATGTAACTGTTAGCATGGTTAGTGTTAGTAGCATGTTCGGACACCTGGCCGGGCACATGATGCACATCTATGATCTAGCCTGCACTGCTGCAGTATCTTCCGCAGCTTCGATCTCCAGACCGACCACAGACTGTGTGTCGGTGGGCAGGTGCATAAGTTTTGCCCAGCCCGGGCGCATCCTTTTTGGGAAATCATCCACCATGTGCCGGTAGATCACCGGTACATGGTGTAGCCTGTTCTGTAGCCTAGGTACGTGTACGTGTGCAGAGACGAGGATAATGATGAAATGGAACTACCGGTGTACCGGCCATTCACGCGCAGCGCTAGCATATCAGGTGATATCGTAAATTTCGAACCGTGTCATTCCCACTTACAGTCTTGACTGGCCGGATCCGGTGGATGAGCTGTTTTCTTACTGCGATCGAAATCATTTTCGGGCGACTCCGATTGCTGTGCGCCAGTGCAGTGAGATCGCTGCCTTCGCTGAGAGCCAATACTAATACTGGTGTCACGTTACAAGAGCGACACGCTTAGCCTGCTACTCTTGCGAGCCAAAGGCAAGAAACTGGAGGGAAGGGCGTGCATTGAGCGAATTGCGCCAACATTGCCAAGATTAGAAGCGATTAGGTTCATCGATAGACTTACACTAGTTACAACAGTACCTTGTACTCGTTTGGAATAGAACTCAGAAGGAGAAGAAAGGGAGACGTTGACACGACTTAGACTACGGCGAGGATGGTTGTGAAGCGGAATACCACCGCGGTACAGTGCGGTAGCCTGCTGGTGGTGGTGATTGTGACGGTTCTTACTGCCGACCATCGTGTTGCCGGTCAAGTTAGCTTTACACCTCCCATACCGTTGCCAACCATCACGTACCCACCCGGTACTTGTGGCCCCAGTCAATACAACTGCTCAATTACTCCTCGGCCGGGACAGATTTGCTTCTGTGATCCTGATTGCTTAGACCGAACTCCCCCGGATTGCTGCATGGATTTCTACACGTGCCTTGGCTTCTGCTCGCAATACCAGACATGCGATGCAGTCGCGCCTGTGCCAGGTCAGAAGTGTCAGTGCTTTGCTGGTTGTACGAACAATGCTGATGGCGGCCCCAATGAGTGCTGTGCCGACCAGGCGGATGTGTGCGGAGAGAACGCTACTCTCCCCGTGCCCACCGTCACATCGACGTGCGATTCCATTGGCTGCGGGAACAGCAGCTCGAACTGCAGCTGCAGTGTTGGCTGTATGCAGAACAGCAGTTGCTGTATCGACTTCTCAGTCCGTTGCGCCGCGCTGATACCCACTACGATAGTGACCACAGTTGTGGTCACCACTCAGCCGCCAGTTCAGAACTGCACTGCACTGGCGTTGCGGAATGCGTGCGAGTCGCGCATTCCCGGCTACGCTTGCTACTGCAACCAGGAGTGTGCCAAAACAAACACATGCTGCCCGTCATACAATCAATCGCCGTGCAAGCCAGTTCCGCTACCACTCAATAACTGCACCGCAGCAGGCCTGGCCAACAGGTGCGCGTTTAACGATTCGTTCTCATGCCAGTGTGATCCTGGATGCGAGAGTGCCATTGGAAACTCGGCCTGCTGCCCGGGCTATCGTAACTCCACGTGCGTCCCTACCGTGCCAACAATGCCGCCCACCACACCCATGAAGACGCTGTGTGTGAACGAGGGCTGTATGTTCAGTGACACAATGGCCCCGTGCAGGTGTGACAGCGCTTGCAAAACCAACAACGACTGCTGCGATGACTACGATGCGGTGTGTGTGGCAGTAATACCACCTCCACCACGTCCCTGGTGCGCTGATCGCACCGTTTCTGAACAGTGCTTGTTCGTAAAGGACAACAGCTCCTTACGTTGCCAATGCGATCCTACTTGTCACTTGTTCACTGGTGAGTACACATCCCATGGCTGGTATTTTTTATGTTTAAGGACTATTAACCCATTACCCTGATGATGGACCAGGCCCGAAAATTTGGTGCAATGCAAATTTAAATTTTAATTTGAATCACAGTGAAGAGACCGTTTTTGGAGTTTGGAGTTGAGAAGTGAAGTTTCCTAAATCAATATTAAAGACACGAGTGGTTCTGCGATGACACCACCATTACATTTTGATGTATTGTGTATGGAGTGATATTGTAAATGTGGGCACAGGTTTGCCACTCTGTACAAAACACACACACGATGCCATTCGTATAGCATGTACGACACCATACGACACACTACGAGCGCATTTCGTGGTACTGCCGCACATTGTTGTGTATGTACAGTGGACAATGCTGCCTTGCTCAGGATTACAAGTACAGTGTGGCAACTGAAATCCAACCCCAGCTCGACGTGCCCGCATTGCAAAGCCCCAGCACGCGCTTGTTGTTTAACACTGGGAAATAGAGACCACTGGAATCAGTGCTGCACTTGCAGTGAGCACGACAATCAGGCCGGGGTCGGATTTCAGTTGCCAGCACTGTGGTATGTACATGTAGAGTTCAGCTCATGATTTTATAACCTCGGTTACAACAACAACTTGCGGCTAATGACACGATCATCAGGCCTAGTGACGATTTCACTGCATAGTTTACACCCTGCGAATAACGACAGCTTGCAAATAAGAACAGTTTTCTCATGCCCGATCGAGAGTCGCGTTTTTCGCAAGGTTGACTGTACAGTGTTCCTGAATTGACTATTTGGTATACATGCATTTTGACGGTGAAGAAAAGACTGTGTTACAGTGAATGAATGGTATGCATACTTGAAGTACGTTTAGCAGTGATCATCAAGGTGCATCCCTTGCTGTCCGCATGACACCACCATCACCCCTCCTCGTGTCTTATATTCTTTAATTGAGTACTGTAAAAGCCATTCAGTTTCTAACGAGGCACATATATAACGATTTCCCAAAATTGACTAGTTTACATGTACCAAAGGTAACGATTCTCACTCATTCTCAATGCTCAATAGGACAGTATATGTATCGATTTCTGTATAACGATTTCTATTTTAACGACAGATTTCTCCTCGTTAACTCGTTAGAGTTAGCACTTCGTTATATATATATAATTATGGCTTTTACAGTAAACTGCCAGAAACCGTTGAAATTGTACTAACAATTGTAGCATAAGATCATAACGTGCATTGTGAATGGGGTGCGTAATGCTAATGCGTAATGCTACACTGATGATTGTGTTTGTGTACTTGCTTGTCACAGTTGAACCGGATAAATGTTGTCCAGACTACGTTTCCTTGTGCACAAATCCAACTGCAAGTCCAGCACCGAATGCCACTAATCAAACGATGACATCATCAACAGTTGGTAGTACAACCACCGGCAACCTGGTTACCAGGGCAACCACTGCACTTCCTACAATGGTGCCGCCACCATCAACATCCTCACAGGCGACAACAACTTCACCACCCACAACACCTTCACAACCCACAACAGCCACCCTTACTTCTCCAGCCGCAATGACCTCCACAGTCACCAACTCTGTCCCACCAACAACGATATCATCATCACAGACAGCTACAACTGGAGTAGTATCTATCCCAGTAACTCCTGCTGCAAGCACCGCTACCTCAACACCTTTTGCTTCAGCAACAGCTGCTCCAACAATACCGGGTCAAATGACTCCAGCTCAGACAACCAGTTCCGGTGTAACCAGTCCTGCATCAACTGCAGCATCCACAACAACTGCTGCTACAACTACTGCTGCTACAACTGCTGCTCCAACAACTGGTGCTCCAACAACTGGTACTACTACAACGGGTGCTTCAACAACTGGTGCTGCTACAACTGGTGCTGCTGCTACAACTGGTGCTCCAACAACTGCCGCTCAAACAACTGCTGCTCCAACAACTGGTGCTCCAACAACTGGTGCTCCAACAACTGCTGCTGCTACAACTGGTGCTCAAACAACTTCTGCTGCTACAACTGGTGCTGCAACAACTGGTGCTGCTACAACCGCTGCTCCAACAACCGGTGCTCCAACAACTTCTGCTGCTACAACTGCTGTTTCTACAACTGCTGCTGCTACAACTGCTGCTGCTACAACTGCTGCTGCTACAACTGCTGCTCCAACAACTTCTGCTGCTACAACTGGTGCTGCTACAACTGCTGTTCCAGCAACTGGTGCTCCAACAACTTCTGCTGCTACAACTGGCGCTGCTACAACTGCTGTTCCAGCAACTGGTGCTCCAACAACTTCTGCTGCTACAACTGGCGCTGCTACAACTGCTGTTCCAGCAACTGGTGCTCCAACAACTTCTGCTGCTACAACTGGTGCTGCTACAACTGCTGTTCCAGCAACTGGTGCTCCATCAACATCTGCTGCTACAACTGGTGCTGCTACAACTGCTCTTCCAGCAACTGGTGCTCCAACAACTGGTGCTGCTACAACTGCTCTTCCAGCAACTGGTGCTCCAACAACTGCTGCTGCTACAACTGCTGCTGCTACAACTGCTGCTCCAACAACTGCTGCTCAAACAACTGCTGCTCCAACAACTGCTGCTCAAACAACTGCTGCTCCAACAACTGCTGCTGCTGCTACAACTGGTGCTGCAACAACTGCTGCTCCAACAACTGGTGCTCAAACAACTTCTGCTGCTACAACTTCTGCTGCTACAACTGCTGCTGCTACAACTGCTGCTGCTACAACTGCTGCTCAAACAACTTCTGCTGCTACAACTGCTGCTCCAACAACCGGTGCTCAAACAACTGGTGCTCAAACAACTTCTGCTGCTACAACTGCTGCTGCTACAACAGCTGCTGCTACAACTGCTGCTCCAACAACTTCTGCTGCTACAACTGGTGCTGCTACAACTGCTGTTCCAGCAACTGGTGCTCCAACAACTTCTGCTGCTACAACTGGCGCTGCTACAACTGCTGTTCCAGCAACTGGTGCTCCAACAACTTCTGCTGCTACAACTGGCGCTGCTACAACTGCTGTTCCAGCAACTGGTGCTCCAACAACATATGCTGCTACAACTGGTGCTGCTACAACTGCTGTTCCAGCAACTGGTGCTCCAACAACTGCTGCTGCTACAACTGCTGCTGCATCCACAGGCACCAACACACAGCCTCCAGTCAGCAGTGGCACGGACCAGCAAACGCCCACCTCAACACCTGCTACGGTCAACCAGGCAAGCAGCAGCCCTACACCATCCCGGCAAGCTTTGTCTACATCAGCCCGGCCGGGGAAAGACAACACACAGACACAGCCCGGCCGTGTATCCTCTGCTAGTTCCACTCCGCCGCGTACAGCCACTGCACCACCCGTTACCTCACCTATCATCATCTCTATATCAGCTAAAGATTTGATGGAGGATGAGAGTGAGAACAGCGTTGAACTTCGCTTTTTAAATGTCACTGTGAGTACTGGTGTCTTGGGATAGTCTACAGTTGTAGCGTTGTCTTGGCATTGTCTTGGCATTGTCTTGGCAACATAGAAGAAACACTGGAAGCAGGGAACCAGTCCAATCTCGCTATAACACAACACATACATGTACACTAACACAAGATCATAAGCATGGCAGGAGACAGAGCATGGCAGGAGACAGAGCATGGCAGGAGACAGAGCATGGCAGGTGACAGGGCATGGCTTAAGTTGATGGTGTTCAGCTTTCAACTGAGCTTCTAGTGATCATGGTGGCATTTCATTTGGTCCGTGGACATGGATTATGACTCAGAGGAGAGTATTTTTGTTTTCTTACCATGCTGTCTATAGACTTATAGATTGTATGTAAAATCTGCATGAGTGTTGGCGAATCCCAATCAATCTTTCTTGTTCACAAAGCCATCATGATCACTTGGAATGTGATCGCACCACTAGGCATAATAAGCATAGCTTTATGAACATCAATCATGATAGCGGCTCTCTTCTCTATTCCGATCTTCAGAGAGATCAGTGGTTCTCCAGCTATGATGTGAAGTTTCGCGCCGCCATTATTGAACGAATTGTCCAGCCGGCGAATCAGCGGAGAAGACGCCAGTCCACAACAAACACTCCAACCGTTGTGTACGTCTCTCCCTCGCCCAGGGCAGAGAACGGCGATCTTCAGGTTGTCTTCTTCGTCCGACAAAGCACTGGGAAGGCATACAACGGCACAGCTCTTACAGATATCATTGAAGCTGACCAGACACAGCTAAATCAACAGGTACTGTCCAAAGTGTACGATCATACGGTGGTGCAGTCGTGTTTCCAATGTGATGTACGGCGTTACCGCATGCCGCACTAGTCATGTCTATGAGCAAGGCTCGTAGAAGTATGACATTTGCTCAAGAATGGCTGCGTGGATTTGAATTTTACACACACACACACCACACACCCATACACACGCACACACATACACACACATACACACACACATACACACACGCACACACACACACCGGCACACACGCACACACACACACACACACACACACACACACACACACACCGGCACACACACCGGCACACTAACATACACACATACACATGTACATACGCACACTGACACACATCCTGCATTGGTGGTACATGAACCGTACTATTGTGGACATTGACATCCGGTTGAATGACCGGGGCTGGTGCCCTCACCGGCCCTTAGCGGGTACACGAACTGTAGTTCACGTACACTGCAAAGATGGACCAGCAGTGCTCACGACTGCAAGGCCAGCACCCCGTGGCCGCTTGACTTCTCAAAGGAGTTCTATGTTCACAACAGCACTTTTAAAATTGGGGTTGGGAGGTACATGTATGTAGAGATAAGATTGCTCAGAACTTTACGTGGGCCACTGTGTTTTATGCTTGTGCATGCGCATGTACTTGTGTGCGCGTGTGCGCATGTGTTCCTGACAGATTGGTGCAACCATTGTACCTGGCTCGGTCCAGACGGGCGTGCCCGATGATCTCACCAATCCACCACCTGAAGACAGCAGCAGCAACATCGGCGGAATAGTCGGCGGTACCGTCGGCGGTGCGTTTGGAGGTATCATGTTTATAGGTCTTCTTGTCTACTTGTACAAGCGGCGGTCCTCCCACCGTATGCTTGTTATATCGACTACCAGCTACAAACAGCACGAGGCCAGCGGAGGTAGTAGTACCCGTATGAAGCGCCTGGGATCAATGGGAGAAAAGGGACGAGGCAATCAATCCTATCTGGAAATCGAAGGCGATGATGCTGAAGTTGGCGCTGATGTGGGATACGACCAGACGCTGCAGTTTGACGGCAAACGAGCAAAAAAGGAAAGCTTCAAGCTCTGATTGAACGCGTAACTCCGTACTGTTAGGGTTGAGCCATGTTGGTATTAGTCAATGGCTAATGATGTTTGCCTGGCCTAGGCGGTGGATCATTGCCGCTGCTTCATTGCCATTGGGCTGGAGCAGCATGATTGATGTTTGGATCCCGGCACTATTGCAGTTGAATCATCTAAAACAGTCCAAGCCAAAGTTCACCCTGTATCATGGGATGCCAACATGCATGGGCTGGGACTTTGCATCTGAGTGCTCCTGCAAGTCACTCTAGTAATTTTTTAGGTGTTTTAAAACTCACAGTGCCTAGCATTGAATCCTTACGAATGCCCTGGCGATTGCATGACAGACATTTCACTTGACTCATTTGCTTTCTGCAAAATTCGGCTACACCCGCTTATACTGAGTTACTGGCCTCCGAGGGACGCTTTCGTAGACTTGCCAGTGCTTGGTGATCTACTACTACTGGATTACTGTCTGCATCTGTGGGCACATGTGTTCGCATTGTTTTTTTCTGAAGTTTTATTTTATTCAAGTGACTAGTTTTGCAAGCAGCAATGTAAAGTGGACACTCATTTCAAATGTTCGCTGCATCAAACATGCACGGCGTGTGCATTGGATTTGCCATGACTATGATTGTGTTCGGCGTGCAAAGCAATTTGATTGGCAGGACCATGACATCATTTTGCCGTGGTATTTTATTCACGGCCCATTTACAAAAGATTTTTTAGAGGACACTATCTTCAAATTGGTCTCTGGAAGCATAGTTCTGCTACTAGTCAGGCACCCTAGTCCTTAGTTTAGGCAAAATGCCTTTGAATTACTCTAAGAGCAAGACTCGTCCATGGTTTCTTTGCTGCCGGTGTATCAGATGTGAGGAGCTGTGTCATGACTCATGATACATGTGGTTTATTGGCGGTGACTTCCCTGTCCTGTCTTCCCGCTATGTTGCTTCATGGATGCGGCATGGGCCACACTACAGTTGCATATGTGACATGTATCGTCTTATGTGCATGACGTCATCAAGAGTCCATAGCCATAATAGTACTCGAAGTACGTTATCAACGTTATGGACTGTTGAGGGCATGCATTGGTGTGTTCTGGTGCATTGTTCTGTGTTGCGAACAGTTTCCAGTTACCGGACTAGCCGAATTGGCAGATTAGCCCAAGAATTGGTGGATAATGCCGGCAGAGTTTGGTACATTTCTAGTGTGCTTCATGCCTGTTCAGTATCTGGATAATGAAAGAGGAGCGGAATTTCAACTTGGAGGAATTGCCCGCCATAAGCTTTGTGGCTTTTTTAAGCCAAAGCCGCGAAAGGGCAGATTGACCATGACTGTACCCAGAGTATGAAACCCTTGCCTTGGGCCTTGGTTTCATTGTGTATGTACATGTACCCTTGCCTCAAGTTGCCTGGCCCTGTCACAAACACAATGTAAATCTGTGGGCTGTAACTGGTGAAAATTTAATTATACTTCGAAAGTCACTGAGACCATAATGCCCTATTCAAAATTTAATAATAATAATAATAATAATAATAATATTGACTGGTTTTGAGGGAAAGAGACAAACGGGAATAATAATAATAATAATAATAATTCAAAGGATCAGTCGGGGAAGTGAACTGCCTGAAAAGAGAAAAAAAACGCCAGACCCACCAGGCGTTTTTTTCTCTTTTCAGGCAGTTCACTTCCCCGACTGATCCTTTGAATTTGAAGTTCTCCCGTCCTTTCCAAATAATAATAATAATAATATTTCCACGTCATTTCGACTCCCTGTACGGCCGGCTAGCCGGCTGTAGATCTCAATGCATGGGGTGAACCATTTTTCATTGACTCCTCATCGCTTATAGTTATACTATTTATACCAAGAGTAGATAAAGAGTAGATTATCAATGATACATGACATTCATGTACATGTAGTTACTTAGTTACATGGAGTCATGGACTGCATATCGTGCATGCATGCACTACCGGGTGCACCGCACTCACATTGACTCAGTCACAAGACAGCCTACCTAGCGCTACCCTACGCCCGGTTCACACACTGCTAGCTGTACGAGTACAGCTAGCTAGCTTAGTAGCTACATACCCGGTCAGCTACCGCTGCACTGCATGCACTATCCTGATCCTAGCGAACTAAAAAAAATACTACAAAAGTCAGTAGATACGTAGTCTTCGCGCTCGATCGGGCGCCGGCGCGGCCCGCGAGCTAGCTGGAACGCACATGTGGCACGCGCCACACTCGTACTCGTGGTTGACAGTTTCCAGTGGTTTCAGTTTTTCGAACTGATCAGAGCATTCAGCATAAATGCGCATGATGATTGATTGATTGTACCAAGCCCATAAACTGTTTATGCACTCTTGGTTGTACATGCACGAAAATATTGGGTTGTTGTTGTTGAATATCCCTTGCGCTTGTGCGGGCTGTTTTTCGTTTATGCTCACTGTCGTCGACTGGAAAAGAGCAACATGACTGAGGTTGATTCCACATACGCTAGTAGTTTCTCACTTCCACCAAGAGAAGCGTTTCGGAATTTGGAAAATGCCAAGCGCTTCGCCATTGATATCGGTGTGTACAAATCAATTATTTACTTCAGTTGGGAATTTAGAAGTCATTCTTCTGAGATGTTAATGACATTACTGTAATGGCCATTGGTAATTTTGTTTCTGACATACTAGTAGTTGACACACGTGCAAAAGCAATGCATGGGCTGACAGTCAAAGCTTGAATTAATAATATGTATGGCATTTTTGGTTCCTCAATTATCTTTTTCGAAAATAGTTCCTGCTGACAAATTCATGATTTTTTTGTAAATGGGTACGTTTGTGTTCCAAAAGTTTCTCAGTAGGGCGGAGTAGAATAGAATTTGCCTGTAGTCTGTAGGAGAAGATGGTAGACCGAAGTGCATGAATGCAGATCTACCAACCAACTTTAGGAGATCAGTGCCATCTCTGCTTCTCCGCCCATCACCCAAATCATGTTCAGGTTTGATTGATTGATTGATTGATTTTTATTTGAAAACTGTGGAAGGAAAGATGAGGGAGAGAGAGAGGGAAATGAGTGCTATGTGTGGTTTCAAAGATGCAGTTGTCAGTCTAGACTCTGCATGGCGAGCGTGATCAGTTCTCTTGTGCGTTGAGAACAGTTCCTTGCCGGAGTAAGTAACTCTCTCTCTCTCTCTCTCTCTCTCTCTCTCTCTCTCTCTCTCTCTCTCTCTCTCTCTCTCTCTCTCTCTCTCTCTCTCTCTCTCTCTCTCTCTCTCTCTCTCTCTCTCTCTCTCGTACAGGCTAGGTGGCTATTGATTTCACTTTTTAATGTCAAGCTGGTCCGGCTACTTTTGTTCAAGCATGTTGCAGTTTCCGAGCTCGAACATGTCGGGCAAGAAATCATGCGGCTCGCAGTTTTGCCACATTCACCGGGTTTTTCTCTGGCTGCAACTGGGTGTGTGCTTGCTTGGTGCGTCTGTGTGTGTGCTGTTAACACTGCTCTCCCTGGCAGGAGGCTCATTGGCAAAGCTAGCTTACTATGCTGAAGAACAGCGGCCTGCTGTCCGCACCACCAAGCAAGAGCAGGACGATGTGAGTTCGCTGTGTACGCACTAAGCCCTATGGTGTGACTAAAAGACTTTGCCAGGCTGTGCAGACCCTGTACTGTTTACGGACAATTCCTCTTTCTTAACCCGTCTAGTGGACGAGTGCACTATCTCTCCACCGGTACTTTCATAACATGATACATTGTATGTACGAATAGTGCCAAGTTCACGCTAGGCTAGAATAATCAAAAAGTCGCCCTGCGTTGGTACCAGTGTCATGTGTGACTGCTGCCAGGCAATTTCTCACTGAACACATCCCTTTGTATCAGTAGCTGCCGGTGTATACTAATAGCCTGCCTGGGTTCATGTACAGAGTTACAGAGTATTTCATTGCAGTGGATGCTGAAGAAAATATTCTCCTTTTTGTAAAATGTAGAAAAGAGAAGGGACGCGCATGTATGGGTACGGGTTATGAGCAATTTTTTTGGTTTTGTAAATAAGCATGTCGGAGACAACTTCGATATCCAGGAGGACAAGTTGTACGGCAATCATTATTTATTGTTGATTCATAACTGAAGTGTAGCGACGAAGACTGGAGAGAATTGTTCTTGTTTCACCGTACTGTGCCATACTAGTCCTGTCCATATCATACAGCTGAATTACGTAGGTTCACTGAAGATCATAACGACAGAACGGTGCTGAACATTTTCTCCTTCTACTTGTAAAATTCTTTTTTTCTCCAACTGTTCGTTACTACACTTTAGCTATGCCTCAACAATATAGAATGGTTACCGCACAATTTGTACTCCTGGTTGTAATCTATATTCTTGTTTCTCTTTGGAAACACTGATTTATGTAGTGGATGTGTGTGTATGGTTCCTGTGACATTCCAGAGCGAAGAGTCAACTGGTTTCAAAGTTGAAACAATAAATGAGCCTGCGGAGGTGCTTCACTTTGTCAAGTTTGAGACGCGGTATATCGAGTCATGTCTGGACTTCATCACCAAGGAATGTCCAGCTCTACGCAACGGCAGCTCAGGCCACAAGCAAGGCCAGCATTTGAAGGCAACAGGTATCTTGTGTTCATACTGTTCAGTGTGTTCAGTTTGTGTGTGTGTGTGTGTGTGTGTGTGTGTGTGTGTGTGTTTGTCTGTGTCTGTGTTCTGTGTCCCATATGGTGCAGTGGTATGTGCAGCGATTTCCAATCGATAGGTTGCGGGTTCGATTCCCGACGATTATGGTCACACACGTCTTTCTTCTCTTTCTCAGACTCTTCCTGACTTTTCTTTCATTCTCCTGGGTGGTTACCAACAGCCAGTGCATGCCGGAGTATGTGGTGTGATGTGTGGGCGGCAAAAAATAAAATAAAAAAGACCAAAAAGTAGGGATTCACTGGCCAGAAAAAGCCACTTCATAGCTGTGTGGTGTAGACCAGGCTGAATAGTGGCGGTCAATTCTTCAGCCTTGCAAGCTGTTGAATGGTGCAATCCCAGCACAAGCTGCTATGGCTTCTGCTGTAGCATCGCTTTCATCGCCTCCGGCGATGGGCGTCCAATGGTCCAATGGTCTGTGTTCTGTGCAAATGGGGTGGGGGGCACGTGACCAGTGTGCGACAGTGAGCAAGTACAATTGATTGTATGTGTGTGTGTGTGTGTGTGTGTGTGTGTGTGTGTGTGTGTGTGTGTGTGTGTGTGTGTGTGTGTGTGTGTGTGTGTGTGTGTGTGTGTGTGTGTGTGTGTGTGTGTGTGTGTGTGTGTGTGTGTGTGTGTGTGTGTGTGTGTGTGTGTGTGTATTTTCTTTCTCTGCATCAGGTGGCGGTGCTTTCAAGTACCGTGCCCTGTTGGAGGAGAAGCTTGGTGTTCTGTAAGTTAGTGAGAAAGTCGTGTATGTATGTGTACCTCTGCTACATCACCCTGATCTGAATACTAGTATTGACGAAGTTTGGCTGCATTGCAGGACATGGGTTAACTGGGTTGTGCACGCGCCAGGCGTGATTATCCTGTCACCTTTGTTTGACATTCTTTAGATTATCCATGAATCTCTTGTGTGTGTCCTTGTGTGTGTGTGTGTGTGTGTGTGTGTGTGTGTGTGTGTGTGTGTGTGTGTGTGTGTGTGTGTGCCAGCTAGTTCGGTTGGTGGGTACACTTATGCCAGATAGTGTTGTGCCTGTTGCCAACGGGCTCGGCTGTGCGTGTGTGCGTGAATATGTTAACCATTACTGGATGGTCCTGCTTGCGTTGTGTTTTCTTGGTCTCAGCGTAGACAAAGAAGATGAAATGCATTGCTTGATCACCGGTGCCAACTTTGTCCTGAACCATGTGCTCAACGAGTCCTTCATCTACTCTAAAGGTGCGGATGGTCAGTCTAACTATCGCTATCGCAACAACACTGGCAACAATATCTTCCCCTATTTGCTGGTCAACATCGGCTCTGGTGTCAGTATTCTTAAGGTAAATAATTACTAAATATGGATGTGTGAGGACTGTATTTCCCCCGGCTATGAGTCAACCCCAATTCAGTGAGTCTGCATAATCCATTTTTAAGTTACCACCACTTTTAGTTTTCAATTTTCATACATGATCAATCTCCATTCGGTCACACGTTGATGTCTGTGTAGCTTGTTGATAGTTCTTATCTTGTTTGTTCGAGTGTTGGCCAGTATTGCCATCGTCCATTTCTTGTTTGTCTACTTCAAAGTATTTTTATGCTGTGAATTGTGCAGCAAAAACAAGCAAACATTGAGTTCAACTGAGAGGTTATGTGTTCATTTACACAGTACACAGGACCGGTGCATTGCAATGTGTACAGGGTTACACTGACATGGGGATGTTTCCTGGTATAAGTCGAATCCCGGTTACAAATCGACCCCTGAAATTTGGGAAAATCATTTTTTTCAGTTCAATAAAGGTTGCCGTGTAGCCGGGAAAAGAGGGTCCGCCTAGTAGTGGCGTGGAATAGAACTTCTCTGGAGGATACGTGCAGTAGAAGGCAATGTTTGTGGTCTGTGCATGGAGTTCAACTGCAACATGACTGGCGTGATACCAGTGTTTACTCATGATGTCTACTGTATTGTCGCGTATAAAAGCTTGACCTGTATAGAAGCATGACTTGAATAGAAGCTGATTTTCCAAAGTGCGCCGTGACACAGAAGCACGATTTGACTAGAAACACATGTACTTGCACACTACATGTGTGGTAATGTACACTGCACAGTGTAGACTGAAGATGTTGACATGTAGAAGCATATTTTGAATAGAAGCATAACTTGAATAGAAGCACGGATTGAACCCCGGCTTATACGGCCGTAAGCACCTGCTTTTATACGCGACATTACGGTATGTTAGCTTAGGATTGGAGATTGGAACGTTAAGCTTGGCATGGCTGAGTCTCCATGCCACTGTTTGTGCAAGTCACACCTTTTACGATAATCCATAAGGCTGAACAGGTTGCGACTTGCAATCGAGTGTTATTCCAGTCAACCATGTGTTATTCCAGTAAACCATGCAACAGACACTCGAAAATTGAGGTGCAACTATATTTGGATATGACGTATATCCGGGGCAGTACGATAGTGTTGATACTCATGGTCTGTAACTCGTAGCGCAGCGGCTTGGTTAGATGAAGAATGTGTGTTTCATTCGACTGCTGTTCTTTGTTCAGGTGGATTCTCCCACTGAGTATCAGCGTATCGGTGGTACTGCTATGGGTGGTGGCACCTTCTGGGGTCTTGGCTCTCTGCTCACAGATGCACAGGTAAGCAGAGCTGTGTGTGTGTGTGTGTGTGTGTGTGTGTGTGTGTGGTGTGGTGTGTGTGTGTGTGTGTGCATGCATGCGTATCTGTGTGCGCGTGTGTGTGTGTGTGTGTGTGCACATGTGTGTTTGTGTGTGTTTGTGTATGCGTGCACGCGTGTGTGTGTACGAGTATGTGTGTGTTTGTATGTCACAGCAGGTGTGGCACTCATCAATGTCGATTGCCGTCGTACATCCTGGCATGATACGGTTATGCCGAACGGTTATCTGTACAGATGCATTCACTATGTATGTGTGTGTGTTGGAGAGGGGGGGGGGGGGGGGGGGGGGGAGGGGCATGTTTGTTAGGACGTGTTCAGACTACCGATAAAAAGTGACCGATTGGGAAAGTTTCCAAGGTGATTTGATCACATGACGTTACTGGCACGTTACCGGCGGAAAAGGTTTACTGTCGCGGCTGCTGCGGCAGTAACACTTTTCCGTCATTAAAAAAAGTGCTCAGGCTGGGAAAAAAGGGAAATCCCTTTCCAGTGGTTTATCACCGTTTGCCAGGATTCACGGTAGTCTGAACGCGCCTTTATCATCCTTGTTTAAGGAGAAGGGACACGTGGACACGAGTTATGAACGACTGGGGAGCAACTTCTTGTTTTTGTCCTTATTTCTTTCTTTTCTTCTTTGTAGGGGTTTGATGAACTTCTGGACTTGGCCGAGAAGGGAAGTAGCCGCAGCGTTGATATGCTGGTGAGTTGTGTGATTGCTGTCCTCATCTCAATGCCGGTGTGTTCAAATGTACTCCAAGAGTTGATTTGTTGCCATGTTACTGATAGCTGCGAGCAACTAAGGATTTTTGTGTGCAATACAGTGTCCGAGTACATGCAGAAAGGGGGAGTCTATTCTGGTTGACGGTTGAGACGGAAACTGAGTATGGATCTGAGTTTCACGTATATGTTTAAAGGGAAAGTTCGGTGAAAAATTTAAATTTCAGGGTCCGTAGAGTTTGGGGCGCTGAGTCGAACGGTGTTGGTCCCACGTATCTCCGACAAAGCGTTCTTGAGATATTTTCCGTTTGAAAAACTGAGTTTTTGGGGCTGCGTCATGCGGCCGTGCCACACCTCCTGCAATATCATAGCGTGCAGCTAGGTCGAAAAGAGTGCATGAAAGCAATAGTGTCAATGCTATTTCAAATGATTTGGCGACCGATAGTAGGTTGTTCAAGCGACCCCGAAGACGTAACAACGTGTGAGAGTGAGGATGCAGCCATGGCTGACCTTCATGAATTCGGTCTGGGGCGGAGAACTTCGGTACAGTATTCTGCTGAAGAAATGGCTGCGCGGGCCGGTCAAGAGTGAGCGCTGCTGCGTTTGCGACTGATGAAGAAGCAGCAGCTATTGCAGACGAGGCTGATCTTTACTTATAAAGAAGAGGCACCTGTGACGTGTGTCTGTGTGTGTGTGTGTGTGTGTGTGTGTCACGCTCCTTATAAAGAAGAGGCACCTGTGACGTGTGTTTTTGTGTCACGCTGCCCTGCGAACCCTGAAATTTAAATGTTTCACCGGACTTCCCCTCTACAGTTTCACCAGACTTCCCCTCTACAGTTTCACCGGACTTCCCCTTTGAAGAAACTGGATCTGACCATCTTTTTTAAAAGTTCTTTAGGAACAGTTGCTTTGCAATCGTTTATGTGAGATCATTTGTGCACTTTGGGCCTTTAAATGCTATTTTATTCTTCCGAGTACATGTACTAGTGGTTAGCATATGAGAAGATATCACCAGTTGCCAGGTCAGTGGACTACATGGACACTTTAAACTGAATTTAAACGAATGAACAGGTAGCAAGTGTTATAGACAAGGGCGTTGAAATTAGTGGAAAGACACAACGCACACTCTCAAGCATTGTATCGCCATCCGCCCACACAGATATGCAGACACGTGTGCACGGGCCCAAGGACAAGCAGCTTGCTTTCTTTCTTTCACCTTGCAATGGGAACACGGTGGAATGGTTGGTAGCCAGCGTGGGTGTGCTACTGTGCTTGTGTTTGTGTCCGTGTGCGTGGGTGTGCTGCTGTGGATGTGTTTTGTGTGTGTGTGTGTATGTGTGTGTGTCTAAACGGTGGGAGGTGAGTACCGTACTGGCAATATATATGGTCGCAGTGAGGCCATGAAGCGTTACATTGGCACATGTTTACCGCACGCAGGGCGTTACATGCAAAGTCGCACAGGAGCCGTTACACAGGTTTCATTATTGCCGCAGTCCTTTTTTTGCTATTGCCGCATCACTTTTTTTGCTATTGCCGCATCATTTTTTTCCTATTGCCGCATCATTTTTTGCAAACTGCAATGAAAAGATCGCCGCACCCCGCCGGACGCGCGTTACGAACGCAACGAAAATTTGTCGCACTAGCCTGGTCGCGCGTTACGCCGCACCCCCCTGCGTTACGCGTTACGCGGCAACATAATATTGCCAGTACGGTAGATCAGACCCACCACCAAATGCTCAAAGACCGAAATCCCATTAGCTGCATCCATGTTACCCTCGTGCCAGGCCACGCCTTTGATCCTAGAGGGTGGTGGCGTTCCCACGGCAGATGCGGAAAACTCGGCTTTTAGCCGAGTCTCACGCGAACCGTGAATTTTTTTATTTTATTTTATGTGTGTGTGCGCGCGTGTGTGTGTATGCATACATGTGTGTGTGTGTGTGTGTGTGTGTGTGTGTGTGTGTGTGTGTGTGTGTGTGTGTATGTATGTATGTGCATGTATGTATGTGCATGTGTACGTGTGCATATGTGCAGGTGTCCGACATCTACGGTGGTGAGTACGCTGCACTAGGTTTGCCCGCCGATCTGACAGCCAGTAGCTTTGGCAAATGTGCCCGCTCCAACCAGGACAAAGCCAGAGAAGATCGACGTATGTCAGTGTTTCCTAGACAGTTTTTCAGTGTTTCCTAGGCAGTTTTTCAGTGTTTCCTAGGCAGTTTTTCAGTGTTTCCTAGGCAGTTTTTCAGTGTTTCCTGGGCAGTTTTTCAGTGTTTCCTAGGCAGTTTTTCAGTGTTTCCTAGGCAGTTTTTCAGTGTTTCCGAGGCAGTTTTTCAGTGTTTCCTAGGCAGTTTTTCAGTGTTTCCGAGGCAGTTTTTCAGTGTTTCCGAGGCAGTTTTTCAGTGTTTCCTAGGCAGTTTTTCAGTTTTTCCTAGGCAGTTTTTCAGTGCTTCCTGGGCAGTTTTTCAGTGTTTCCTAGGCAGTTTTTCAGTGTTTCCTAGGCAGTTTTTCAGTGTTTCCTAGGCAGTTTTTCAGTGTTTCCTGGGCAGTTTTTCAGTGTTTCCTGGGCAGTTTTTCAGTGTTTCCTAGGCAGTTTTTCAGTGTTTCCTAGGCAGTTTTTCAGTTTTTCCTAGGCAGTTTTTCAGTGTTTCCTAGGCAGTTTTTCAGTGTTTCCTGGGCAGTTTTTCAGTGTTTCCTGGGCAGTTTTTCAGTGTTTCCTAGGCAGTTTTTCAGTGTTTCCTAGGCAGTTTTTCAGTGTTTCCTGGGCAGTTTTTCAGTGTTTCCTAGGCAGTTTTTCAGTTTTTCCTAGGCAGTTTTTCAGTGTTTCCTAGGCAGTTATCTGTTCCACTACTGTGACAATGTACACTAGCGGATTAAAAAGAGACCTTCTATTGAGCTGCGAGTGCGTTTTACTTTGAAACGAGGGAGGCTCAGGAGTGGGCCGTTTACATGAGAAAAATCCGCCCGGGCTTATTCGCCTCGGACTTGGTTTTCAACCGTTCACATGACGGTTGTACGGGGCTGAGTTCAGGTGGGTGACTGCGAGTTATGCGTGCATTTTATTTTTCAAACCGTGCATGAGCGCAGTGGTACATGTCTGTGAATGATGAAATTTAATTTGGATCCAGATGTGCCTGCTCGCGCTTCTACTGCCTTTCCGATTGGCGCTTATTTTTTGAAAAGGTGAAGCCTTCACTGAACGAAAAATCTGGGGTGCGTGCACACATGTGTGTGCGTGCGCAAATGTGTGTGACCAGGTGTCAGTTGTAGGTTGCCTGAATGGCAGCCGTGCTTTCATGCCTACTCCCATGACACCTATTGTCACTAGTCGTACGAGTCGTATGCATTGTATGTTTTCTCATTGCTTTGATGTTGGCAGCGAAATATCGCCAGGAGGACATCACCAAAAGTCTCCTACACTTCATCAGCAATGATATTGGCCAGGTGAGATTTAGTCATGTTAACTTGTACCCGTGTGTTTGTGCCTACTTGCTGTTGCCAGCAATCGTACCAGGGGGTTCTAGAAAGTGTTTTTTAAACAAAGTACTTACGTACTCTGGTGTTGTAGCACTTCCTGATTCGTACTGCTGCATCTCACACTCCAGCACTGGCATAAAAGGGAATTGTTTTCCGTTGCTTGCACCATTGGTTTAGGTTGTTAGGATAAAGTATGTGGAAGTAGCGTGCAAGCCAAGCCTTACTGACCCATACCAGTGCTGGTATGGGTCAGTAAGGCTTGGGTTGTACGCTACTTCCACAGCTGATTGCTTGTTGATGTTGGGATGTACGATATCGGAACATGGATTTCTGTTCATGTAGCACCGGCACGTTCTATTGTATCTTGTTAAGATTGCTGCTGGTGTCTCCAGCCAGCTCTCTTGCTTCATCATTGGGATTGGCTTCATCCCAATGACATAACCTTACTTTACTTCTGCCCATTGGACAAGTAACGTTACAGTGTTGCTCAATGAATTCCAGTCGTGTCACTCAGGTACGCGCCGGGCGGTGCGCAGCCCTAGACCTGCGAATACAGGGCTGCGAAATGATGCAGGGCGCAAACTTGAGTGATGCGACTGGATTTCTTTGAGCAGCACTGTATGTGTGTATTGAAATTGAGATGGTGACCAATACATTTACTAGCTCATGGTGCATTGTTCTCCCGTTTCTACTACAGTACTGCCGGTCGCCGGAGAGCTGGGGGGGGGGGGGGGGGGGGTCAGCCTCCTAGCCTAGACCGTTTCTATTTTGATGTATTACAGTCTATGCAGAGTTGAGTCGCCGTATATACATTGGTATGCTGTGCTTGGGGAGATTCTAGCCTGTCCGTTCTTCGGCGCCTGACAGTACGGTGCAGATTCTCAGTGTGTATATCAGATTTTTTAAACCATCATTGCTGTCCCATGGTCCCCATCTGGTTTTCAGATTGCCTATTTGAACGCTCGCTTGCACAACCTGGAGAGGATTTACTTTGCCGGGTATTTCATCCGCGGCCATCCGTTGACCATGCACACCATCTCCTTCTCCATCAACTACTGGTCTAAGGTATGGCGGTCGGTGGACTGCTGGTATTGGCAGCATCTTACCCTGCCAAACTTCACTCAATATCTGCAATGGTGATTGGAATGCGATGAGGTGTTCTGTGATTTGTTGTTAGAGTTCTGTATTTCCCCCTGCATTGTAACGTTACTTTCCATGCATGTGTATTGACAGGCCAGCGTTCAAGTCCAGGCTCGGTTTCGTGTGCTGTCATGGACGTTACCTCTCATGCTGTCATAGATATAGAGATTTACTGTCTCCCTCACTTTCCCTGTGTCTCTTGCTGCCTGTCCGGTTGTTGATGTCAGGGTGATATCCAAGCGTTGTTTCTCCGCCATGAAGGATACCTTGGCGCCATTGGTGCGTTCTTAGCTGGCGCCGGACCAGGTGAGCTCCTTACGAAGTTGTTCTCGACTTGCCCTGGCTCTATTGGGCACGCCGGTTGAGGGGACTCACTTACTTGTGCTTTGTTGTTTCCAGTGCTGTGTGTATGTGTGTGTGTGTGTGTGTGTGTATGTCTCTCTCTCTCTCTCTCTCTCTCTCTCTCTCTCTCTCTCTCTCTCTCTCTCTCTCTCTCTCTCTTCTCTCTCTCTCCTCTCTCTCTCTCTCTCTCTCTCTCTCTCTCTCTCTCTCTCTCTCTCTCTCTCTCTCTCTCTCTCTCTCTCTCTCTCTCTCTCTCTCTCTCTCTCTCTCTCTCTCTCTCTCTCTCTCTCTCTCTCTCTCTCTCTCTCTCTCTCTCTCTCTCTCTCTCTCTCTCTCTCTCTCTCTCTCTCTCTCTCTCTCTCTCTCTCTCTCTCTCTGTCTGTCTGTCTCTCTCTCTCTCTCTCTCTCTCTCTCTCTCTCTCTCTCTCTCTCTCTCTCTCTCTCTCTCTCTCCGAGGCTCTCTCTCTCTCTCTCTCCGAGGCTCTCTCTCTCTCTCTCTCCGAGGCTCTCTCTCTCTCTCTCTCTCTCTCTCTCTCTCTCTCTCTCTCTCTCTCTCTCTCTCTCTCTCTCTCTCCGAGGCTCTCACGTGCACTACACTCGGGGATAACTGGGTGCTAGCATTCGTTGTATTCCTTTATTGCCTGCTGCGTGCATGTACTCGGTAGCACAAGCGATTCTCCTGGACTGTTTTTTGAATAGCATTCAGCTGTTCACTGTCCCATGTCTAGCATTCAGCTGTTCACTGTCCCATGTCTTGCTTGATGTTCAGCTGTTCACTGTCCCATGTCTTGCTTGATGTTGCTCCTAACAGATGACACCAGTTGGATTGAGCACTCTTTTAGCAGTGTAACACCCCAGCGAAAGGACACCAGCATTGTAGGTCTGCATGGTTTGCTGCTGTTGTTGCTGCTGTCGCTGTTGTTGCTGTTGCTGCTGCTGTTGTTGCTGTTGCTGCTGTTATTGCTGTTGCTGCTGTTATTGCTGTTGCTGCTGCTGTTGCTGCGGCTGCTGCTGCTGCGGCTGCTGTTGTTGCTGCTGTTGTTGCTGCTGTTGCTGCTGCTGCTGCTGTTGCTGCTGCTGCTGTTGCTGCGGCTGCTGTTGCTGCTGCTGCGGCTGTTGTTGTTGCTGCTGTTGCTGCTGTTGTTGCTGCTGTTGCTGTTGTTGCTGTTGTTGTTATTGCTGTTGTTGTTGTTGTTGCTGTTGCTGCTGTTGCTGCTGCTGTGCTAGTCAAGATGTTCAGCATTGTCTCTTGGACATTGGAATTGTGTGGTGACATCCAGGAGCATTGCCCCTGGTACACAGAGCATATTGCAAATTCAGAACTGTCATTTTATGTTATGGTAGTGTGGGGTTCAGCTGACATATTAAGTGAAAAGTATTACTCAATCTGAAGACGGAATGGATCAATGGAACTTTGTGAACTCATCAGCGCAGTACAGAGAAAATGGGGCCGGGCATGATAGCAATGAGAAAATTAATACATTCTTCAAAGCCAGATTTAGACCAGGCACGAGCGTACCTTGCCGGAGTGCTCAAACTGACAAGTCAGTGAACTCTACATAGTGGAAACAGCAAAAGCACGAGCCCACATAAGAGTACTCAGCTGCTACAAGAGCGGTACTTACTGGATTGAAACTTTCAGTGTGAACTAAAAAGTACCCTCAGGATATGCGAGAACGTACCATGGTTGTAGTATGGGTGCACAGTGCACAGTGCTATATTTTAGTACCCTGCATTATGCTACAGCAGAATTCTAGAGTATTGTTGTTGTCATCGTCATCATCGTTGTTTGTTTGAATTCTTTATTCTCACGATGGCACCATCGCCGATAAGAGATTGTTGTTGTTGTTGTTGTTGTTGTTGTTGTTGTTGTTGTTGTTGTTGTTGTTGTTGTTGTTGCTGGAGCTGCTGTTGTTGTTGTTGTTGTTGTACGTGGCTTAGTCGTACGACGTCCTGGAGTTGGAGCGGCAGAAGTGGAAGCTTCAAATGCTGCCCCTACTTGCCTCACGAAGCACCTACAGTGCTGATTTGTTTGATCTGACGAATGATGCAAGTGCACGTGAACACTGGATCAAGCTCATGCAGGATGGTGTGGATAAGGTACGTTCATTTGCACATGGGTGCACGCTAGGGCTGAAGCAATTATACCGATAACTCGCATATCGATCGTTAAGAGTGCAATCGATAATCGTCAGTGTTCAAAAACGAGTGCTAACGATTTCTGATGCATGCATATCAGTGACAGCGTTATAGCCCTCGCACTTCATCCGATAGTGAATACCAGTACAGTCATGTACTTTCAGGAGCAGTACAATTGATTTGTGGCTTTGAAAGAGATCGGGAGAGAAGGCTTTGTCTTTTTGGTTCATTTGTGGGAGAGGTCGGAGAAGAGCAGCTGCCAGAGGGTGATGACAAGATTATTCACGCTAGAAGCAACATGAAATTCTCTAGTTCATATTGATAAAACCAGCCAGATGTCCACAGATGTCAACAGTGCGGTGCCACAAATTTCTAACGTAGCAAAGGTATCATGGAATTTCTTCATAAACTGGTGTTCGAGGAACACGGGTAGAGCCGACAAGAATCGATAAAACCAATATGTCGATCGTTAATGATATTGGTGGATCGTTAGGAGTTGTTGAATGATCGTTTCAGCCCTAGTGCACGCACACACAGCTCACAACCGAACGGGATGCTGTGGAAACGAGCTTGGCATGCTCAATGTGTGTGTGTGTGTGTGTGTGCGTGCGTGTGCTTGTGTGTGTATGTGCGTGTGTGTGTGTGCGTGTGTGTGTGTATGTTAGGTATGGGGACTGTAGCTTCCCTGTATTATAATCAAGGTCTTGCCATGCAACAGTTGATGACCGTGTTGATCGTGTGTGTGCAGGTTGCCCAGCATGCTGCGTCAAGTCAGCTGGGAGTACCAGACGCACAAGATAGGGCTCAGCAGTTTAAGAAGAACTACTTGGAACGTATCAGCTGTCTAAACACCTCGCCGAAGTAAGCATCAAGCTACACATGCCGCAATGAAAAAATAACGGGATTTCTATTTGAATCCGATGAAATCTTTCTGGCAATCAATCCGCTTGCCAAAGCGGATTTTTTGCCCAAAGTTACATTCTAATAATTATACATGCCTCTTTTCGTATGTTCATCTGTGTGCATCTGTGTGTGTCTGTACTAGCTGTCTATCTGTCTGTCTATATGTCTGTCTTAAGAAGAAAGTGACTGGACCATTGCACAGGAGGGCAGAAGTGATCACGACTACTAAGTGGACATTTTCACCGTCAGAAGAAGACCAGTATGGTCAAAGCTCAAAACATCAACTCAGTCATGATCACTTCTACCCTTCTCTGAAATTTTTTTTTCAGAGGGTGGAAAAGCCTCTTGTACGGGCAAGAACAAAGTAATACAGCTAGCGTGTGTTGAAGAAGAAAATGAGCGGAAACATACTATGCTGTGAAACACGCATGAGGCATGATCAGGGCAAATGACAGCTGAAAAGAAAAGGAAAGAAAACAAACACACACACACACACACACACACACACACACACCCACACACAACAACAACAAGTGCCATACGCATGAATGTTAACGGCCAACGCCAAGGCCGACACCATCGCAAATTGCCAGCCCACCGAGACGACGACGTGAACCCCGGAGACGAAGGTCGACAGCCCGGAAAACAGCAAACTGATGGTGGATCCGCACCCAGGACATGACGTTGCTGTAGGACTTGTCCCACCTGGAGGCAAGGCGCATAGCAGGTCGCCGTTGATACGCACGGTACTCTGTGTGCAGTGCACCATCAGTTGAGCAGACCAGCGGGGTGAAGGATGCTCGCAGCTCCTCTGCGGCCGCCTTGTACTTTCTCTGGTCCAATCACTTTTTCTTATGTTCTACTTTTTTTGGACATGATTAGATGCCGGTTTGTCATCGCTGAGGTCGCCAACTAACTACTTCCCAACTGTCTGTCTGTCATTTGTCCCTGTTCGTGAACTTGTGTGTGTGTGTGTGTGTGTGTGTGTGTGTGTGTGTGTGTGTGTTTGTGTGTGTGTATCCAGTCGTTACGGCTCACTGAGTATCCGTAAGCTGCTGGACATCCGTGGACACTGCCTGCTGGAAGCTGGATTCTTTGATCCATACTCAAAGGTACCTGTGGTAGGCTAGTACCCATCACCTACACTGCATTGGAGTGGGTCTCTCAAACTGCATAATGATAAAAAAGAGGAGAGTTCCCACGTCCGCGTTACAACCAGCTATAGCAGTTACAATTGTGTTGAGAAACACAACCAGCTTAGGAAGTTTCGGTCAGGCATGGTGGTGGCCTGGCACAAGCAAGCTGCATATGCTCGACTCATGTCATGGTTTATATACAGTTAGTGCAATCAGTAACACAGGGTTGTCATGCCGATCCATCAGATGACCAGAGCAGCTCATGGTTTACTGAAGAACCTGTGTCTTCCGGGCTCAGTAGCGTTAGCATGATCCTTGGCTTTCTGAGCAGGTCTTAGTGTAACCGCCCTTGTCCATCGAGGCATTGTTTTCAGCGCTCACTGTCCCTGCCTACATTCTATTTCACTGGCGTTGCTTGTAGCAAGCTTGGTTTGACATAAAGAGCTTGCTACAAGCACAGACATGATATATGTGTACTTAACCTCTGGCCAGTTAGCTGTTTTGACCTTGTTAGATCTGGTCAGTGGAGCTCCGAGTTTGAACCCAGCACAATGCATCAATGTCAGAATGCTCTCACTGCTTGTAGGCAAAACGAGCTTTACTGTGTGTGTGTGTGTGTGTGTGTGTGTGTGTGTGTGTGTGTGTGTGTGTGTGTGTACAGGAGAAGCAGAATGAAATTGAAGCTGCATTGGAGCTGTTCCAGCCGCAGATGGAGCGCCTGCAAGCACTGCCGTTCCGTGAGCGACAGCTAGCACTCGTAAAGAACGTGCTCGCCGGAAACATGTTCGACTGGGGCGCCCAGGCCGTGGTCAGGTAAGGATTGGCATGGCTGCATGCGACTGAAGAAGTTTACTAACTTTCTATCACAATACTTATAGCATTTGTATGGCTTGGTGGGTCCTCTTATACATGTAGAATTTTACTTGTGGCCGGGGAGTTCCGCAAGGTGCTGGGGCTGAACTGTGGCTTGAACATATGTCTCGTTCTGTGGCTGATTTCTGCAAGACACTAGATATAATTTTTTTAAACTTTTTCTTCGTGTAATGCTTTCCCGGTTTGGGAATTCCTCTCACGGTGCTTGTTCTAGGCTCCTGGAAGGCGACGGCTTTGGCTTTGAGGAGTCCCTGAAGCAGTTGCCAGGTAAGGGATTGATATGGATGCACTGACAGTCTGTGTGTTTGCTAATCAGTACCTGTAGAGTGGAAGTGTAGGTGCACCTGTAGGTGCTTGGGATTAAGCATTTCTACTTCACTAGTTGGCAGTGTACCTGAGCAAGCAGCATAGCACTGTTGGGCAGCCTGTATGCAAGCACCATGGAATCTCTGCTGTGAGTGTGTGCATGTTGCTGTATAGCACTGCATATGCAGTATGGGAGGTACATGGGTGGTGGTGCAGCTACTACACTGCAGTGCTGGCCAAAGAAAATTAATCCAACCTAATGAATAAAGTAGCCGCGTTAGAGTGCACTGACCAGTGAGTGTAATGCTAGGCCTGCGTAGGCCCGGCCCTATTTTATTCATGAGGTTGGGTTTCTTTGACCAGCACTGTAGTACCTTGTGTTACTGTAAGACATGTATATATAACGAGGAAGCAAATCTAACGTTTTAACGGATGACATTTCTTCGTTATAATAAGATCCGTTGAGGCCGTACTGCTTCATATATGCTGTGTGTGGATATGGCAGAATACTGCAAGATCGTTAACATATCTTCTCGTTAACCTATGAATTTTGGACAATCGTTAAATTTGCGACTCGTTATAATAACATGTCTTACAGTATGTACACTTGGTAAGCCTAGTCTTATATATGCCTAGTCGTTTGTATGCCTAGTCTTTTGTATGCCTAGTCTTTTGTATGCCTAGTCTAGTAGTCTTTTGTATGCCTAGTCTTTTGTATGCATAGTCTTTTGTATGCATAGTCTTTTGTATGCATAGTCTTTTGTATGCATAGTCTTTTGTATGCCTAGTCTTTTTGTATGCACACACATGCCAGTATGGAACACACACACACACACACACACACACACACACACACACCACGCGCGCACACACACACACACACCACTCGCGCGCGCGCGCACACACACACACACCTTGACCTTGACCTTGACATACAGCTGCCGTTAAACGGCTAAGCTGCCCTCGTGAGGAGGGGAACAAAGGGGTAGCATCACGGCGGCATGGCAGAACATCCGGCCTCATGCCGTTGCAGATCCTGCTGTCTGCGGTATTTCTCGCCGCACGTTTCTGTGGGGGACACACACACGCACACCACACACACCACACCACACACACACACACACACACACCACACACCACACACACGCACACACACACCCCCCCCCCCCCCATACACACACGCACAGTAAGGGGCACGCAAGTATTTTCTTCTTATCCGCGGATGTTACTGTCAATCGCTTTGAAGAATGTTGGCAGTTTTCAGATCAGACAGGCCGGCCTGTCTGCAGTACAGCCGGTAGCAGGTAGTACAATGCTGTACTCATGTTCTGGATAAGTAAAAGACAACAACTCGATGCAACTCTGGGCCTAACACATTCGCTATCACTGCGTTCACTAGGCTACATCGGAGCAGTCCCCCCCCCCCCCCCTCTCTCTCTTCCGTGGTATATGAGCAAGCTCTTCGTGTTGGTATTGCACACTTTCCCAGCTGTGGGGTGCCGCGCTCGTTTGTTATCTTAGAATGAAGCTCATCTACAGGTGCCGCTTCCATCAACTATCGCCACTACTTCACTCTCAGGGTGTGGACTTTCTTTTTAAGGCCAAAACAAATAATGACCTTGTGTCAGGTCGGCCGACCGGGCCACTTTTTCCCAAATTCTGAGACTTTTTTTGTCCCAAATGTACCGTACTGGCAATATATGTTGCCGCGTAACGCGTAACGCAGGGGGGTGCGGCGTAACGCGCGACCAGGCTAGTGCGACAAATTTTCGTTGACTTCGTAACGCGCGTCCGGCGGGGTGCGGCGATCTTTTCATTGCAGTTTGCACTGCAAAAAAAGGCTGAAAACTGTGAAAGCACGTGTACCGCGTGGTGAAAAGTTCAAAACTGGACGCAGCAGGAAGTCCTGACAGCAGCAGCAGCAGTGATGACTAATGATAGCCACGGTGACTTTGTAATAATTATGTTGTACACTCATTAACTGTGTGAGTGACAGTAGTTTTTGGAGGAAGCGCTCTTCCCCTATGTCACTTTCCTTTTGATGATCTTTTTGTGAACAGATCACTCTGATAGTTAAAATATACAGTCTTCTATTGATATCGTTGTCGCCCTTTGCCGTCGGGTTTGTAACAGTTGGATAGCAACTGAATTTCTGTGCCTTCAATGTGGATGAAAAGAAAAAAAATGATGCGGCAAAAGCAAAAAAAATGATGCGGCAATAGCAAAAAAGTGATGCGGCAATAGCAAAAAAAGGACTGCGGCAATATAGAAACCTGTGTAACGGCTCCTGTGCGACTTTGCATGTAACGCCCTGCGTGCGGCAAACATGTGCCAATGTAACGCTTCATGGCCTCACTGCGGCAACATATTCCGGCCGACCGAGTCTCCTTTTTGAGGGGTTGCCGACCGGAAACAAGCCAATTGTTTTGGCCTAATCAGGTCATCAAGACGTCCATTTGTTTTGGCCATCCTCTTTGTGTGTATGCCGGGCCCATGCAAACATCTGTGTTTGTGCTCGTGCGTGTTTTCATCTTCAGATCGGCCATGGCTGAAAGATGGGTTTGATGAATACTGTAAGCGCTTGGAGGTAAGATAACAGTTATCGCAATATCGTATTGTCACCAGCGCAGTGGGTGCGTTTGCAACAGCCGCGTGTGATTTTGTTGTTGCATCTGTTGATTAACCTATATTCGAGATGCGTATTCGACTATTCGTAATTAGTTTGAAATGCACTCTCTCTTCTTTCTCTCTCTCTTTCTCTCTCTCTTACTCTCTCTCTCTTCTCTTCTCTCTCTCTCTCTCTCTCTCTCTCTCTCTCTCTTCTCTCTCTCTCTCTCTCTCTCTCTCTCTCTCTCTCTCTCTCTCTCTCTCTCTCTCTCTCTCTCTCTCTCTCTCTCTCTCTCTCTCTCTCTCTCTCTCTTTCTCTCTTTCTCTCTCTCTCTCTCTCTCTCTCTCTCTCTCTCTCTCTCTCTCTCTCTCTCTCTCTCTCTCTCTCTCTCTCTCTCTCTCTCTCTCTCTCTCTCTCTCTCTCTCTCTCTCTCGTACAGGAGAAGCCCTACAAGTGTACAATGATCTTTGTGGACAACTGTGGGTTTGATATCATTCTGGGCATCTTCCCACTCGTCTGTGAGTTCTTGAAACAGGGCACAAAGGTAAGGCCTACCAAGGGCAGTGACGATGTATACCTGAGCACAATGAGCATTGTGCATTTCTTCTCTTTCATCGTCCTGACCAACTGGCTTCCAAAACAAAATGGTCTGGTCATCTGCCACTCTGGCCAGTTGGATAGGGTAAAGGTTAAAATAGAATTGGTGGTTCACAGCTGTTTGTGCTAGTGATCTCAACACAAGGTTACGAAAGGGATGGTTAAAGAGATCAGGACAGGAGAGAATGGACGCTGCTGAGCAGTAGAAACTATGAGGAAGATGCAAGTGGTGTTCGCCAAATATATGCGCTGATCTCCTTCCTTGCACAAGCAAATTTCAGCCATCACAAGGTTTCGAAATGCTCCCTTCAAGTTCTGCTGGTATGGTGCATTTAGGAGAACAGAAAATAGTGATTGCAACGTGGCTGAAAGGTCAGCTGAATATTCCCCTCGTTCAGCTGCTATATTTTCAACCAGGTGAGACTGCCTCCTTCTGAATCTCGAGAAGAGAGCAGGGGGATCTATAACTAACTGTTGTTTCGAAAACTATTCTGAAGTTTCTGTCGGAATCTTCCTCAGTTTCCTCTATGTACAAGCTGGGCAGAGCGGCCAAGTCTGCACATCTACCATTGTCCGTATGGGTTATTGTCGTAAAGCAGGAGAGCATTGTGGATGTTACTATATTTGTGTGTGTGTGTGTGTGTGTCCGTGTGTGTGTGTGTCCATGTGTGTGTGTGTGTGTGTGTGTGTGTGTGTGTGTGTGTGTGTGTGTCCGTGTGTGTGTGTGTCCGTGTGCGTGCGTGTGTGTGTATTGCTTGTGAATGTGCAGGTCATCTTGGCTGCTAACTCTCAGCCAGCACTGAATGACGTACAACACAATGAACTGCTGCTGCTTGCCCACCGCGTAGGTCAGCGGGCGCCAGAAGTGAGGTAAGAACGTACTCACAGCCAGCGTTCTTCAATTCGTTTAGCATATGCGAAAGCTATACATGCTGTGTATATGTACATTGCATTAATGTCTACACGGAGAAGCTCCTAATATAAATAAGGATATTCATAAGTTTATGATGACAACTGGATTCTGAGGCTGCGTTTGAAATTAAAATACTTGCGTATGACAATACCATGCATGTGAATGGGGTTTAGTATGTATTAGTAGTACTCTGCCTTTTGCGCTTAGTTCAAGTTTTTTTAATGGCTCAATATGCCTAGTTTCTATGCAGAGCCATCTGACATCTGACGTGACATGTATGCGTGTTTCCTGTGTGAACTTTGCTGATTGCTTCTCCATCTAGGACTGCTCTGTTGGAGAATCGTCTGGTCATCGTCGAGACTGGCTCAACATCGCCATGCATTGACCTGTCGTAAGTACAAAGTTGACAACTGGGTGTCATTCGTTTCACCCATGCAGGTGGCGTGAAATCATAGCAACCGAAGATTGGTTCGATTTTGGATTCGTGAAATTTGTGTGACCGGTGTTAGCTTTGAGAGTGCTTTGACATGGATCTTCTGTTCTGTGTTCTCTGTTGCAGGCGTGTAGATAGCAAGCTGTGTGAAATGTGCCGTGAAGTGGACTTCATTGTGCTGGAAGGCATGGGAAGGTTGGTTCAGTCTGGTGGACACTGTGCAGGGAGCATGTTTGTTTGTATTGCAAGTACAGTACCTCTCACAGTGCAGTCCAATCATTGACAGGGGCGTCGGAAGGTATTTTAGTGTGGTACGGTCAGCCATCTGAAGTACTATTAATTTTACTCGTGGAGGAGGGGGTGCTGAGCCGAAACGTTTGGAAATCAGTGTATTTTATCGATTCATGGGGTACCTGGGACACATAGTGGTATGGTCAATACCGTAGTGACCGTACCGTGCCCAACGCCCCTGATTGAACAGTGCGTATTGCAAGTACCTCTCACAGTGCAGTCCAATCAGTGAACAGTGAGCTGGTAGCTATGCTATTAGCTATGCTAGTCGTCATTCAATAGCTATAGCTCTTTCCCTTAGTAGTCGGGATGCCCTGTTCATTGTAGTGACACAGAAACCGTTGCGAATTTGGCAAATGGGGCGAATTCGCTCTAGTTTCGCCTTACAAATCAGTGTTCGGAAATCATTTTTTGCAGCTGCACGTACAATGGACTTCTTCGATCGCTCAAATATACAATTACTTGATAGCTTAGTGGTAGTGCATAGCTGGCCATAAGTGAGGGTCCCTGGTTCGAGTCCTGGTGGTGGCAGTCCATGTTTTCTTCACACTTTTTTCCCGTTCCAACTCCCTCAAACTTTTGATTGTTTCATTTATTGTGTGTGTGTGTGTGTACACACGCGCGCGTGTGTGTGTGTGTGTGTGTGTGTGTGTGTGTGTGCATGTGTGTATACCTGTGTGTTCATGTAGGGCTATCCACACTAACTACACTGCCCAGTTCAAGTGTGACAGTCTCAAGGTGGCCATCATCAAGAACGAGTGGCTGGCCAAGCGGCTCGACGGCGATCTCTTCTCTGCCGTGTTCCTGTATGAGCCTGCCGCCACGTCTTCAGCAGACAACGGGTGTGCTGCTCAAGGCTGATTGTCATCAGCGTATGGGGTGTGTGTTTCACCTCCTGCTTCTCTTTCAAAGTTGACCTGAACATGAACGGTGGCACGGCACGGTGGAAGCTTCCCGTCATGCTGCTCTCCACACAGTGAACTGGAAGCATACATGTACTTGGTGGCCATGAACGTCTCGTTATAAAATGGCGTGCGTAAGCATCGTGAATGCCAAGTGCTACACGTGGCGTTCGTATTCGTGCAGACGGTCATCGCCAGAAGAAAGAACACGACGAGCACACTCTCCGCCGATCGCGAGACTCGGTGTGTGTTGGCCGTGCGCTCGAGTAGTGCAGAACCACTCCGCTTGGCTGTGACGGTCGTTGTTCTTGGGCCGGCGTCCCTTCCCTCTCCCCTATCTATTGGTATGGTACACCCGTGTCCATATTCCAGCGCGCCTAAGGTGTGCCCGCTTCCGTGGGTCCTTGTTTACCTGTCGTGTTGGTAACAAGTTGGCTCTGTATTTTACTTCTGCCCTGGACATGCACACTTTCTCTTCTCTATTTTATATTTAATTCCATCCGATTGAACTCGGCATCTCTCTCCACCAATCACTGGGAGTTCGCTTTGCTGTTGAGAAACCAGACAAGCAAAGGAATTCCCAGACTGTGATCCACATACACCGCTCTCCACGATCGTGACGCGCAATGTTGATAATGGACAGGCCAGACACCATCACGAGTTGCTGACATCTTCTTATTGTAGATTGTAGAATTTTTAATTTCAAAATGACATTGTCTTGTAGTGAAGTAGGCAGACACTACCTTGATCGTATTAGGCTTGTATGAACTGACCACACGTCTACATTCTACATGTACATGAGACATGTACTGTCTAGTACCTAGAACCAGTCCATGTGTTCTCGGTTTGAGATACAACAAACACGCCCCCCCCCCCCCTCTCTCTCTCTCGCTTTTGCGGCGTAACGCCCTGTGAACAGCAACGCCGATATTTTAACCTTACTGTTTTTCTGTTACTCGTTCCTGCCTCTGCATCATTTTGGGCAGTAGGTCTTGGCAGCCCTATGTGGATAGCTTCTCAATTTCACAACTACCGTACAAATACATGAAGCTCGAGCATCTGCTGCATGAATGATTAGGTACTACGTGACTGTTTGTTGTGCTAACGTCCTCATGTTGGTTGCCTTATGCAGCTATCGGTCCTGACCATCCAGGGCCTGCTCCACTGGTGTAGAGAACGTTGCATTCTTGCGGAACGGAACACGCTGGGATGGCATGACGGTGATTCCGTCCACGGCTCTTCCACTTTCCAACTCGGCTTGCCAGAACGACGCCGGCGCTTCTCCATAGACGCTGTGCTCTCGCGTGTGCTCGCGCTGCCTGGGCACGTAATCGGACGTGTAGTCGGAGCGCGTTGTCGACGTGCAGTCCATCTCCGGCTCAGGCCCGGCCGTCTCCTGTTCCACCTCTGCCGCAACGTACTCGCGTACCTGCTGCTCGAGCTGCTGTCGCCGCGCGCCGACCGTGCGGTGACGCTGGGTGTCCGACTGTGCCGCGGCGCTGCTAAACGCACTGCCAGTGGTCGTTCCACCCAGGCCAACGTCGGCCCACGGGGCAGCTGACATGCTCTGATGACTCTCGGTGCTGTCTTTGCTCGCCGCCGCCACGCCTGTACTCAATAACCCCTGGTGGCCATCTCGGAAGCGTTCTCCCATCGGTCTGCTGTCATCTCCGAGCAACTCCTTTACTCCACGTTCTTCCACCCAGTTTTCCACGAGTGTCTTTGACCGCGAGTTGTTCACTGGTATTGGGTTGCGACCAAGTAGCGACATTCTCTCTCTCTCTCTCTCTCTTCCTGGGAGGAAAGAAAAGAAGCCACGAGGACAGCAGACAACCCGCAACACCATCGTCAATTAATTACTTCAACGTAGAATAGGAAATGAAGACGATTGTGTGTTGGTCTGGGGGATATTGAGCACTGCGACGTGTCGTCGCAGTGCAGTGAGGTTAGATACTGTCTACTATGTAGTAGTATGCCATCGGAAGTTAAATGTAGAGCAGGAAGTGCACGCGTGAGTTAGCAATGGAACTTGGCTCTGCCCTCATGGCAGTGAGCTGCTGAGTTTTTGTATAGGATTAGCAGCATGGCTTGAACCAGGGAGTAGTACATTACCTTTTTGTACTACTCCCTGGCTTGAACAGGAAGTGCATGTACAGTAGAGTCGCGCGCCCAAGAACGTTGTTTCCAAGGGGTTAGCCTGGGACGTTCTTATTTCGTCAGCAATCTGGCTGCGTTCTTATAGCACGTTCTTAGAGACAATCCGTACTGGATCATATGTATTCCACAAGCTGCCAGAAAACCAACACCGCCGTTCTTAGCTTTAGGTTGTGGCGTTCTTAGAATTTCAGGCTGGACGGTCTTGGGCTCCACGTTCTTCAGCGCGTGACTCTACTGTACATGAAAAGACCCGGTTGTATTATTCTGGTCGAGATCACTGCTTTAAACATAACTGTGCACTGCAGATTTAATCTTTGTGTGTCTCGTCACCTAGTCCTTGTCACCCTTGCAGGTTATCACGTTTTTATCTCTTCCAACCACTTGTGGACCATGACAATAGGGCCTGAGGACCCTTGAAAACCTGGCACAAGTCGATGAGTTCATGTATTTGTTTGCAATCAGAAATAATTGCCCATAGCTGTAAAGTACGAGCTAGAGCATGCATAGATGGAATATCATTTTATAAATATCAAGTCCAGTTCAAGAGTCCGTATACCCATTGCTGTGGGCTCTTGACAATATGAATACACATTCTCTCTACTTCTCTGTGACTTGCACTACTCCTATCACTGGCTGCATGCATATAACGCTATCCACAGATATTCAGATGAAAGCAGCAAACCCTACACACACACACACACACACACACACACACACACACACACACACACACACACACACACACACACACACACACACACACCATGATCTTGCAGGGCCTGCTGGATGGAAAGGAGTGCATGCATGACGTCTGTTATCTTATCCTGGCCTCTACTAGTCCCTAGTCTCTAGTCTGGTGTAGATACTGTCTGATAGTACTGTCGTGGACATGGAAATCCAGTCGCACGTCTAGCGGCCCCAGGGCGCTGGCCGTGCAGCCATGGATAAGCGGTACACACATGCATTTATGCGCTGCATGCAGCACGCTGGTCGCATCGGATCAACATGATTGTGCACCGCACGCAGCGTTCTGTATGCGCTGAGGGCGCCGGCCCGGTCAATCGACTAGATTTCCATGTCCACTACATGTACTTCAAAGTACATTGCACGCCGTGTAGGGTGTCCTGAAACCGGCTACATGTATGTCCTAAACATACTTACTTTAGAAATGACTTTCAGTGATTCTTCTCAAAGCCATGCAAACCCCTTCCCTCAGTATTTCCTCAGTGCATGTGTGTGTTCTGTCTGGTTGCTTGTATTGCCTATGGCTGGCTATGGCGTTGTGCATGAACTGTATATGTACCGTAGAGTATCACCAGAGCGCCCCACCTTGATTTTACAGCCAAGGGAAGAAAATTGTATGGCAGAGTGCTACTACGTTCGTACAGTGTGAGCACCTTAGTGTACTAAGGTCACACTTAGCATGTTTTTATGTAGAGCTCGCATCCGCTCGAAGGCAAACTGGGTACGGATTGGCTGTACAACGTGCAATGTGTGTGCAAGGTCCGTGTCGTATGACCTACAGACAGGAAACCACTTCCACAAGACAACCACGAAAGAAAGGACGAGATGGTGGAGCGCTCTGGCGGTACTTTACGGTACAATCCTTCCCTCGATTTGTGCCGGGTGAGCTAGCTAGCTAGCTGTCTACACTCCATGTACAGTGGTTGGTACATGCTGCCATTGCTGGCAAGTGAACTCCCACCTCATGAATATTAGAGAGGGGGGGGGGGGCATGTACACAATTGTACAAGGTCCTGGCACTATGAACACTGGGCAGTTCTTCGACACCTGACAGTGCTGTAGGGTGATTGTATGTAACAGCTTAAAAAAAAAGCTTAGAGTCGTGGATGGCCGCGTTTGGGCACGGACACTACTTATCAATACCCATTGCTGAGTCCAGTGCTGCACAATGAAATCCAATCGTGTCACTCAAGTTTACGCCTTGCACCATTTCGCAGCCCAGTGTTTGCAGGTCTAGGGCTGCGCAACGCCCGGGGGGGCGTGCTTGAGTGACGCGACTGGATTTCTTTGAGCAGCACTGCAAATGATATTGATGATAACAGATATCATAATTCACGTATATTCACAGGGTTGTAGCATCCGGTCCGGCCGCTCGGGCCATGCCCCGACGCCGGTGATATCGTAGTAAATTGGAGAGCGTTTATCGTGGACAGATGTAGTGTCTGTTGTACCAAGAGCCAAGCCAAGGGTAACTTACCTGGCAGTGGCATGTATGCTAATACTACAGTGCTGGCAACTGAAATCTGACCCCCCCTAGCGGTGCGCTAGCCCCGTTAGCGATCCGTACGAGACGCTAGGGGGTCGGATTTCAGTTGCCAGCACTGTACAATCATGTACATTGTACATGCAGTGGGGCTGTGTTTTTAGAGCAGTGCACTGGCATGGTGGCTTACCTCACTTGCAGCAGGATGCTACAGTCAGTGACGTTCTTGTTCAGTTGTTGGGATCTGGTAAAAGTGATCAGGTCAGCAAAATCCGCCGCTAGCTCGCTAACTCACAGTGCGGGCACACTAACCCTGTATACTGTGCTGTATCAACAAAAATTAAATGCTCTTTCAGCTGATCGCTAACGTAGTAACGAGTTGGAATGTCTAGATGTTCAACCGGTGCGCCGAGAATAGGGCTTCCAGCAGCGCTCTGTTTGTACGCGTCCTGCAATGCGTCACTCGGTGGTCATCCAGCTCCTTCAGCAGTTGTTCACTGATTTACTCCGCGCCACCGAGTTGAAGTATGTAAAGTGTTCTTGCGCCGGTCCTCGGTCAGCCCTCTCTTCCTACTCTGAACGATCGCCTTATTGCATAAATCTCACGAACTTCTTGAACTATAGGTGGACTCTACTATAGCCTGGAAAGCCGCAGCAATTTATTGGGAGTCGCTCTTTTCTCCTCGATAGTGATGGCGGCTAAGAATTAGATGTGTTGCATCAAGCTACGAACGAGGCTGGTAGGATGTATGCCTTTGAAAGTTTGATTTGAATGATTCTAGACTGCAGACAGCCTTTACAATGTTTACAGGCTTTAGTTTTGTAACACCACTGTCACCAGTGCACTGTCACCAGGTACATGATTGTAGTCATTGTACATAGATCTACCCGCCCAGCTTCATAATCTGTGCGGGTTGCTAGCGAAGGTTGTCTGCATGCCAACAACGAGGTTACGTAACGTGGTGTGGGCACTGCGTCATGTACAATCATCTGCACATACATGTAGGATTGTACTATTCCTAGCCTGGGAGTCTGGGACAGCGCTTTAGCTCGTTGGCATTACATGGTTTTCTGAGCCTGCTTATTAGACTGTACTACTAGTACTACTGACAACATTTTAATACAGTCGTCCCTCTCTAATCCGGCACTTTATAATCCAGCACCCTCGATAAACCAGCACAATTTTCAGTAGCCAAAATGTCCTCTTCATGTACATTGCAGCAGTAAATCAGATTTGTTAATCCAGCACCCTCCCTAATCCAGCAGATTTTCGTGGCACAAATGGTGCCGGATTATAGAGGGACCACTGTATTAGTATTACTATTACTTAGTCTTTGACTTTAGTCTTTACAGTGTTTGACAACAAACTGGGTGTCGGAATGAAGAATTCGAAAAGCGCAAGCAAAGAAGGCAATGGTGACAAATCCAATCAAGTACATTGTAGATAGGAAAATCAATCAAATACTGAGTAAAAGAGCAAGCAGAACACAATTCAATCCTCCATGTAATTAACCAGCCAGGGTAATTAGACTAGCACATTAAACTTGTTTAAAGTACACCAAGACAGCATGGACGTACATGTACATGTACATGTAACGTTACAACAGCAAATCAGTTGTGCACATAACGTTACCACCATAAGGACCACTTCATGCTCTAGACATCATCCGGCAATCACTCACGAAACTGTATCGACGTGACCGGTATGATGTCCGAGAGCCTCGCAGGCAGGTGATGCACCACCAAAGCAAACAAAATGCTACTAGTAGTAGTACTACTAATGCTTACTAGTGTCATGTCCGATATTATTGGCAATAATGATGATGCATGGTTGTATGCTTGAGAGTTGCGTATGGATTTTCATTCCCGGCACTGTCGTCCACACATAATGCGGATACACCCGTCACCGAGACTTGGCAAGAGTTTGTGCTAGGCATTGGCGGATTATGCTCGAAAAGCAGTGAAATTGGCAGAACCATACAAACCTTATGGCGGACAATTCCTCGAATTCTGCTCCATTTCTTTATCCACATACCAAACATGCATGAAACTTACCAGAAAAAGTAACGAATTCTGCCAATTTTTCTGCCGGCATTATCCGCAAAGGCCTAGTTTGTGGACTCTTGACCATGCTTGACCTTGTTGACGATGATGTCGAGTGCCTATCTTTCCCCTCGCCCCTCTGTACCAGAACACCTTGATGGGTTGAGATAGGCCCCTGATTCTCCAGAGCTTATACAATGACGTGTATGTACTCTTGTTTCCTCACATCATTTCACGTTTTCATACCTCTCCCTGTATATGTACATGACGGTATCTGTGACTTTGAATTTCCGGTTGGGTATGATTACTATGGTATATCCAGCACGTGGGTCATTTCCCCTTCTTTGTGTTGTTTAGAAATGGAGAAGAAACACACAAACACACACACAGAAATAAAAATGAGAGACAGAGGCAAAGGGACAGACAGAGACAGGAAGGGAGAAAGAGAGACAGGAAGGGAGAAAGAGAGATAGATAGATAGATAGATGCTTCGAAGTAGATAGATAGACAGATAGATAGATAGATAGAGATAGGTAGATAGATAGACAGACAGAGAGAGAGAAAGAAAGAGAGAGAGAGAGAGAGAGAGACAGAGAGAGAGAGAGAGAGAGAGAGAGAGAGAGAGAGAGAGAGAGAGAGAGAGAGAGAGAGAGAGAGAGAGAGAGAGAGAGAGAGAGAGAGAGAGAGAGAGAGAGAGAGAGAGAGAGAGAGAGAGAGAGAGAGAGAGAGAGAGAGAGAGACAGAGAGAGAGAGAGAGAGAGACAGAGAGAGAGAGAGAGAGAGAGAGAGAGAGAGAAGAGAGAGAGAGAGAGAGAGAGAGAGAGAGAGAGAGAGAGAGAGAGAGAGAGAGAGAGAGAGAGAGAGAGAGAGAGAGAGAGAGAGAGAGAGAGAGAGAGAGAGAGAGAGAGAGAGAGAGAGAGAGAGAGAGAGAGGAGGAGAGAGAGAAAGAGAGAGAGATAGAGGGGGGGGGGGGGGGAGAGAACGAGAGGGAGGGGGGGGGGGGGTGAGGAGAGAAGACGGAAGGGGTAATTGGGAGGGGTGACACCAGACTGGTTTTATTCAACCTACGTGTGCATAGCCCAGGTGTTGTTATCATGGTGCGCACTACATTCAAGTCATGAGTGATGTACATGCACATGTTCATCGCTGTTGTGTTGTAGTGGACACGTTCACATTTTAAAAAAAAGATCGTACCTGGCGACCGCCGACTCCGGGAAGGTGACGCTCAACGCAACTCCCAATGGGCTAGTAAGAGCACACGCGTGGTTGAGGTACTGGCTACCACTGTACCACTACCAGTCATCCTGCCGAGGTTACAACTGCAGTGGGCATATACGTAGATACTACTAGCGTGTTAAATAAGGCGGATCAGTCAGCTCCCAGTTGTAGCTAGCTCAGTAGCTGGCTGGCTAAAACTGGTGAAGACCAGACGTTGGTTTCGCGTCTTTCGCCGCAAGTTTTGGTAATAACACACCGCACATGCCAGACAGAGCAGACAGAGGTGTCCCAGGCTCCCAGGCCCAGGGCGTGATCTTGATCAGGTGATACGCAGCGACAACGCCATGGCGCCAACGACTACAGCATTCGGATTTAGATGTGCTTTGCTCCAGATCCCATACACTGACTATGGACGCGACGCACCTGCGCCATCACCACCACCAGGACCAAATATCACGAACTACTGAGATAGAGTCGTCACTGATACCAAACGAACTACTTGAACCAACAGCGTATATGGTTGGCTCACATCGTATCTGGTGCGTCATTCTAGGGAGGTGTGGACTATAAAATTTATTATTATTATTATTATTGATTTGTCTCTACTATTCTACGTCTGTCACTAGTGTCAGCGGAAAAAAGAAGAAAGTAAATGAAACAATGATCGATCAGAGGGGCCAGGCCTGGTACATGGTAGTGGTTGGTGGTAACAAGAGCTCAGGAGACAGCCAGTGCAGTCCGCATGTAGCGTAGTGAGAGTGGGTCGTTATCATGGTTATGGCTGTGGAGATTTCTTTTCTGTATCTCAGCAGCTAGGTCAGCTGGCGCCATGCCAGACCACACAGTGGCGCGGCGAAAGTAATTATTATTATTTTTGTGTCGTTACGTCTATCCAAAGAGGTTTTCTGCAGAAAAAATCATCTGTGCTGCTGCATCTCCGCATTCTCCGGAGCTCCCTGCAAATGCTGCAGTCTTTGGTAGCCGGCACTGCACTGCACAGTCTGCAGTGACTCGATAGTGCTGCCAGTCGACGTACATGTACATTGTACTAGTAACTGTAATAGTATAACTAGTATAGTATTACAGTTGAACATCGATTATCCGACCACCTCTGGGCAGACAACTGTCAGGCGGTGTTCAGATAAGGCAAATGTTCTGGATAAGAAAAAACTGTCACTCACACACTTTCAGTGGTTATTACTAGCCGCACGACCTTTTTACTTTTTACTTTTCAAAATTTTCGTATTTTTTGAATGGCTCACTACATCACATGCACAGTGCGTACTCTGATCTACGGCACGTGCGCCCAAAAAAACTGTTACGGATAATCGAATGGTCGGATAGTCGATGTGCGGATAATCGATGTTCAGCTGTACTATTAAAGGGGAAGTATACCCTAAAATCAAATTTTCACCAGTTGTAGTCTTCTGGGTGCTGAGTCGAATGGTCTTGGTCCGAGGAAGCTGCGACGCTCCCTTCCTACTTGAATCCCAATCGAACTCGCGCACTTCCACCGAAACTGGGTGACTGCGCCCTACTAGATGGGGATTTGTATGCAAAATGTCACTAAAAGCGCCATTTCGTTCTTATAAAAGCACGGATGACCGCGATTGGCCCATATGTTGTAGTCTTTTGGACGCTGAGTCGACTGGTTTTGGTCCGAAAAGGCTGCGATGCAGCGTTCCTCCTTTATTCCCAATCGAACATGGTTGAACAAGCGGTCACGTGCTCCTGCGTACACCAGTCAGCTGGTCACCGTGCCTGCAGGGTACAACTTACTAGCCTGTTTGACCTTTTTTGGGTGCAGTCCTGTCACTCGAGTTGAACTCGAGTTGAACCTTGGTGTGAAAGTTGTCGCCTGCTGGCGCGGTGACCAGGTGATTTGGGCACCCAGGAGCACGTGACCGCTTGTTCAACCATGTTCGATTGGGAATAAAGGAGGAACGCTGCATCCCAGCCTTTTCGGACCAAAACCAGTCGACTCAGCGTCCAAAAGACTACAACATATGGGCCAACCGCGGTCATCCGTGCTTTTATAAGAACGAAATGGCGCTTTTAGTGACATTTTGTATACAAATCCCCATCTAGTAGGGCGCAGTCACCCAGTTTCGGTGGAAGTGCGCGAGTTCGATTGGGATTCAAGTAGGAAGGGAGCGTCGCAGCTTCCTCGGACCAAGACCATTCGACTCAGCACCCAGAAGACTACAACTGGTGAAAAATTTATTTTAGGGTATACTTCCCCTTTAAGTATTAGTAATGACTATGTCGCTCGGTTCCCTGTTTTCCCCGCTCGCTCCAGATCTTGGCCTCGGCGTGGGCACTGGCAGTACACCGACACAGATGTCAGTACACGCACTGTGAGTGTCAGCTCAGTGGTAGTGCAGTGGTGATGACAATGGAGCTCCAGCATTGGCCACGTGATTATTTCATGCTAGTGGCCCTTGACTGAAATCTACAACACTTTGCACTACAATGTACATGTAGTCATTGTACTTTGTATTTTAGTCATAACTATGATTGTACATCTACAGAGAGTGAGACAGTGACGAAGATAAGCCTCATTCACCGCAAACCTGTTACCGTCCTTACTGCGTTGTGTGGAGGCAGCTACTTTTACAGCCTCTTTTACGGGCAAAATAAACACAATGAATATTTTTTCCCAAGTGTTCCAAAAACTTCAACTCAAAGTTCTAGAAAGAAAGAAAAAACACGCAAAAACACGCAAAAAACAAAACAGCATAATAATGTATAACAGCAGCAAGTCCACTTCAAGTCAATATTCCAGTCACTGATAGTGATACCGCTCGTGCACGCTAAGCCGGTACCCGGGCCTCTACAGCAGCTACTGCACGTACAGTCTGTAGACTCTACGGGGTACATAGTCATTGTGTATTGTCAACATGTGAGATTATTCTGACATGATTCTTTCTGTGACTCCTTGTCCATGCTGTCCGGCATGAGCTGAACCAACGACAGTAGGGAGTCGTCGTGTTTGACGACTCCCTGGTCTGCACTCTTCACTCTTCAGCACACAGGCGAAGTAGCATCACGTGCCTGGGATTTCCACTGCCATGCCACTCGACCAGCTCATCGAGGCTCATGCGCGTGCGAGACATCATGGTCATGACATAATACTGATATAGTATGCCATTATGGGCCTAGGCTAGGCCCGGGCCTCGGCCAGGGTAGATTCTACCGGTGTAGTACGCGTCACTACTACTCAGACACTACACTACAGTACTACTACATGTACCAGACTACACTAGGTCACGCGATTGACCTGCATGCCTGCTCAAACTCGAGCTCAGACTTATGTAGACTAGAGTCAAACAAGGGCCATATGGCATATCATAAGGGATATGCACCACTGCATGCGCTTTTGGCATGCATTTTTTTCCTTTTTCTCCTTGCTGACAGTGACCTGGTGACACTTGGCCAGCGCTAGCCCATACTGGATCACTCCGGTCTGCTTCTGATGCTGTTTGTGTGTGCGGACGACTTGCATTGACGTCGTTGGCCCGCACTAGTCACTGCCAGAGTCCGTGTCATAGCCGGCCGCACTGCGTGTGGCCACTGCAACTGGCCACCGGCCAGCTCCACTCAGGATCACTGCATGCGGACGTCGATAAACTGATAAACAGCTGAGCAAAGTCCTAAACTGGTCGAGGCTTGTCACATGTTCAGCCCGGCAAAATAAAACTAGCGGTCGATCGAGCTAGCACAAGCCACCAGCATTTCGGCGTGCACTGTGCGTGCTTGCCTAGATTTTGTCTGACTTTGGGTTTGAGAGAGCGCAGCAGCGACGTCTGACTCAGATCTGTGAGATAGATTTTTCTATCCGATCTCCTCTGCATCTCTCTCCCTCTCGGTTCTGGTTGGATGCTAGACCGTTGGTTGTAAGGAGAGGAACACAATTACAGGTGGGGGTAGCTGTTACTGACAGGTTAACGAAACGAGGAGCAGCGTACAGCGAAGTACTAGTATCACCATACCAGGAAAAAAATGAGCGTCGCCACAGCAAGTGCGGGGCAGCCAAGCGAGGCACAGGTACGTGTTTTGGCTGTTTGTTCATATTATAAACTGTACTTTTCTTGTGGAGCCATGAGCTAGGAGGGATTTTCTTTTTAGTTTATGGCTGAGGAGGTACACGGCTCTGAGTTCTTCCAGTTTGATCCCACGACGCCTCTTCGAGCTAGCTGGCTTCAAAGGTGGCGCTGAGACTATTTAGCCATGTAGTTCAGGGACGGTGGAAAAGACAATAATACTAGACACACCATATTCTCGTCTTCCGCAGCGGCCGCCGAGCGCGATATACCCTGTGCAAGGAGAATGGGGTCAGGCCTGTCCGGCCCATCGCCTTCTGCCTGATGCGGTAATTCAATTGCGGCTGGTATGCCACGTGAATGGTTCATCGACTTCTCCATTTTTCTTATCGTGTTGTGTTCATGGAGTACTGCTAGTAAACGTCACGACTGTGCGCGGAACGTGGTGCGATAAGCTAAAATAAATTCTAGATACTAGTAGGTTTGTACTTGTAAGTAATAATAAATTATTAGTTGTATTTGTTGGCGAGCGCTAACACTAGTAACAGTCTTCTTGTTTTCCTGTGCGTGTCCAGAGCCAGGTCCCTTGTTATAACTAAAATACTAGTACTAGTAGGCGCTCAAGAATACACTAAATACTTGAAGTGGTTTTGCAGTGTGGGCCACGGGTTAACGGGTTGTTCGCTCTCATCCATCAGGCACCTCCACGGCCACACGCTCCGTGAGGGACGATTACATTCTGGTGATGGTCATTTCGTGCGTGGGTTACTCTCTGGTGGCCTTGACCTGCCACTGCTTTGACTTTTTGGGCTGTAGCCTGTAGGCTGCAGCTAGCTGTTCCAAACAGACCAGCGATTACGCGGTATGCCACCAATACAACTACGGAGAATGCCTGGCCGAGTCAATAGCTTTCGCTAAAGTGAAGAAATTACTTTAGGCAGGCACTTCTTGGCTATGCTTCATGGCAATCATTTGTTTCCGTTATTGTGTAACTGTCGGTATGAACGGCTAAATAATAATTGCGATGAACAGGCGGTGTTGCACACGCAATGAAATAAACATAGTGCCGTTCTCTGCCGTTGTGATGTGGCCCAATGCCTGGTGCACGGTGGCTGATCGACTAAAACCTCTCGTTGCGCGCACCTGCGTGTTGCGGATGTGTGTCTCCGAACTGACAGCAAATCAGCTAGCATCCTGAAGCGGAGAGATGGAATTATTTCCTGCATAACTAAATCCATAAGCGCCAATAATATCAGCAGTGCACTGAGTTTGTGCGTGTAGCGCGCGTACCGTTCCAATGACAATAATTATTACGAATTATTTTAACGATCACGGTTCCAGTGCATGCAGTCACGGGTGTTTCGCAGTGGCCACTCGTCAAGATGGCGGCAAATCCGAGAGTACAAAAATTTCGACTCTGCCTATGTGCGTGACGGATGCAAATCTCGCACGTGCATGCAAAATCTAGCCTTCTGGCTCTGCAGAGCTGGGTAGAGTGTGTAGCCAGTGTAGGAACGACGACCTTTTCCGAGAGAGAATGTGGCTCTTTTCATCCCAACATTTTACTCGCCACGCTCTCCCTCCCAGCTTATTGATACGAGTATGTGCTACCGAGTAGAAGTCTCCATCTTCAGAGTAGGCCTGGCAGAATCGCAAGGTTGAAATACTTGCTCACTTGGTTTTTTTGGTCCTTTGAGGTGTTGATGTGATCGTTGTGTACAACTCGAAGTGACAAACTTGAGACCCCCGCGCCACAAAAAACTAAGGTGCGCCACAAAGTTTCGTTTGGCTGTTCAATGAAAGGACGTATGGAAGCAGGGATAAAAACTATCGTGGCTGCCGGCAAAACTCTTAGTAATGTAATAAACGGGGGTGTGACTTTGGTAATTCCAAGGAGAATGTACGCACGGCCATTCCACAACGAAGACGAACTACGAGCTCAAAAACACTCCGATTTTCAAACAAACGACGCAGGAACGAAGACATGGCCACAGTGTTCCCGTGTGGCCTTCAAAACACCTAATTTTACTTCGATAGCGGCTGGTTCAGGGCAAATTCAGGCCCAATTTGACAGCGTCGTACCGCTCAGATTCGCCCAAAACACGAGGTAATGTACGGTAGATCCAAATGCGTACGCATTTTGCGTACGGGGACGACTGGCCAGAGTTCATGCACTGCAAACACCCGTGGCAGTGGAGTGTGAGATCTCTCATACTTCTCGATTTTTGTAGACGGAGCACGATTCGAACCGTAGGCTAGGAAGCTGTTGTGCGCACTTGTGAAGGTAATGGGTTGGTAGGTGTGCCCCGAAATAGACGTGTAATGTACGTGTCACACATGGCACGTGACAAGATTCTCCATCAAAGTCACTTGGCCTAGGCTTTAATAGTTATAATAATATTCAGGCTTGGGTGTGAAGAACTGGAGAACCTTGAAGAAAAGCAAGAATAGCATGATCGTGATGATGAATGGGTTGAACTACTACTAGTAGTAACTAAAAGTTATTTTGTTACTTGAAGAAGTGAAGTCAGTTGGAATCTGATAGCTTGTCTGGGTGTACATTGTACAAGTGGTATGGGACAAAATGCTACTCCCTGCTGACCGGGACTATGCGCCAGCGACTGGTGGACTCTCCCAAGGGGTATACATTTGAATGGCCAAGAATGAACATACCTTACCTATGTTCTTTGGCATGTAAGATCACCGTAGGAGCTAGCCCTGTTGGCCAGCTTATTATGAGACTATAAGCATGCATGCAGACATAATTATCGGTATAGCGGGAAAAGATACGGGGTCACGGATCATGGAGACCTTTCGCACTTTCATACGAGTACGATACGAGTACATTGCACAGGACAGATGTTCATTCGTTGCCTGGGTTCGAGCCCGAGGATTGGTACGAACTCTGGAGGAGGTACTAGTGTATAAGTATGGGCACGCGCTACCTTTCCTGTAAGCCCGTGGTGTATGTTGTATTGCACGTTTATTGTTCCCGTATGTAGCAGGCATCCCTGCAGTGCTACTATATGTGCTGGCGTAGTGGTCTTCAGTCGGTAGGCTGGGGGGGGGGGGGGGTGTCGAATGACTCGATAAAGGCTTTAAAAGGCAGGGTACAGTATATGTCAAAGCACAGTGTAACTGGAATACGATGAACCCTTGCACATGGCAAACTTATAGGTCCTAAGAACAAGCAGCAGTGTTTGCATACATATTAAATATGATATTATTGGTTTGGTTATGACAAACTAGATGTGACCGAACTCTTGGATGAAACAAGCTCTTGGTCGTATTCAAAACTATGGAGAATGGTCCTTACTCCTACCATACAGCTTGAGACTACTGACTGTGGTCTAGACATGCATACTTGCCAACCCTGCCGGAATTTCCGGGAAATCAAGGAAAACTCGCTTTCATCCCGGTATACCGGAAAAGTTATAACATCTACCGGATTTTCGAAAATGTCCTTCAACACCTTTTTTTGTTATTTTCAGTGTTCTAGACGCTCGCTCGCAGTGCTGTGCCCAAAACGAAGGTGTAGCGAGCGAGAACTTTTGAGTTAGCGCATAAAAAAGTACTTTTTGTCGTACATGTTGTACTAGTTGCAAATGTTTTGTGGTCATGGTGACGTCACTATGATGTCATATACAATACTTTGCACAATTATGATGTAAAAATTGCAGATCAAGGAAAAATAGGCAAAATCAAGGAAAACTGTCATCAGTGTCAAGGAAACTGTTTGCCAGGGGTTGGCAAGTATGGACATGGTCTAGCCAGTAAGGCTGGCTTTTCATTGGCCTGCATGCGTCTGCACTGCTGTCATGCCTTGCATCTCCTCAGTGAGTGGGCGGCCAGCCTGTGCTGTAGTCAGCTCTGTGTCACAGTGTGTGACTACTAGTACTACTACTACTAAGTACTAGTAGACTATGTTAGTGCAGCTACAGTCTAGTCTGTCAGTGTGAAGTCACTGCAAAGCTCCTACAGACTAGACTCCACTGTGCTGTTCAGCTCACTGTGTGTGTGACACAGAAAGTCTCTGGCTTTGTTCCCAACAGCTGCATTCAGTGTGCATCATTGCAACCGATTCCTGTTTTCTGTTTTCGCTAGACTCCAATAGAAACTTCGGTTTTTTGACATACTAGCATGTGCTCCGCATTAGTTCAGAGAGTTGAAAAGGGACACTGTACAACACGATTTTTGTGATATTTGGATAAGACAGACATTGTCTTCAGATTCTGAGCGGTTCGTCTTTTGTATCGCGGCTTTACTGAATTATGACATTGAGGAGGTGGATGGGATGGATTTTTTGATCTGAGGCTGGGCAGCTCGGTCTTGTGTTTGGGGTGGGTTTGGAACATTCTGATTTCGTCATCTGCCGTCACCACCTAGAGCAGCTGAAGAGTGTAGTGAACGTGTTGATTAACACTACAGTCAGTACCTTCAACTTGAGGCACTATTTTAAAGGCAGCCGGATATCACAAGAACACGTGTCCTGTACTTGTATAATTATGTTCAATTTGCCATGGCTGTGTTGTCTCGCTCTTGCACTGATAAGCCCTGGCTTGGGTTTTAAAGCGATGGCCATGCTGCAGTACTGACTCTGAGATAGAGGTGTGTCGAGTACACAATGATTGTATCGGTTTTGTGAAGTGTTTGTGTTAGGGCTGAGTCGGGTAGCATTCTCTTCGGGTATCGGGTCCGGGTAGGTTTCCACGGGTAGCACGGGTACCCGATCGGGTAATGTTCCCATGGTAAGACCACAATGCACACCGGCTCCTTCCCTTACACACTGGGTAGACATGCGTGAATCATTTGTACACGTGCACTGTAGACCTCTCTCTCTACTCTTTGTACATGATGTCATCTGCGACTTCGGGTTTTCGGGTACGATTCGGTACCCGTCTACCCGAGGTCCTCACGGGTAGCACGGGTACCCGACTACCCGTGCACACCACTAGCTTGTGTACAGTAGAGTGTCCCGTGAGCAGAGAGCAGAGGCAGCTCTTTGCAAGTATTCCAGACACGCTCAGTGTACACTCTACTAGTTATGCATGTCTGACCAGCCAAGTGAAGTGTCCTGGTGAACCCTTGCACACCTCCCTTCGCAGTTGCCTTCTGGCTCCTGCCTTGTTCATTCAATTCATGCTTGTGACGGCGGCCGAAATGTGTTCTGCAGGCACAGATCAGTTTGGTGGCTGTGGTCACAGCCTTTCCTGACTGTGTGAAGGGTTGTGTGTGGTTTATCTGTTAGCCTAGGATACTGTTGCTGCTGAACTGCAGATGAGATGCATGCTATGCCGGACTGTGTTGAGCTGTGTCAGTGTCCTGTTGTCATAGCATGTGTTGTCAATTCTGCTGGCTGCGGGATTCGATGAGGCTATATGTACTTTGATATGCTAGTTTGGTAACATTAACATTTTATTCCTTTAGAAAAGTTTTCATTAGTTTGACGGGTCTTTGGACTTTAAAATCTGATGTTCCTGTACCTTTTTGCCTGTGTGCACTAGCTCAACGAGAAGTATGGAATGAAAGTAAAAACGTCACACATTCTTCAACGACGATTGTCGAAAGGGGTAAGCTATTGGCGGACATTCAACAGCAATGATATGCATCTTGATGTGCGTTTGTGACCGATCATGCCCATTGAATTAGAACAGAGTGACCAGAAGTGTACATGTATTACGTCAGCCCTTTTTAACCCTTTGTGTTTATGTGCTACTATGGTACGTTGGCTGGGCCGTCTGTTTTGCTTGCCTCTTGCCTACTCCCAGGGCAAGGGCCAGTATTTCGACTCTGGTGACTACAACATGCAGGGCAAGACGGCAGAGCCAAGTGCAAACGTCAGTGCCGGCGTGAACGACGAAGGGTCGGTTTTCGTTGGTGCTAGTAGATTGCCAGTGCAGTCTAAGCTTGCCTCCGAGGCCATGCCGGCGGTGACTCCGGGGCCTGGTGCGGCGCGCGTGCCCGTGCGCAGGAAGTCGCAGCCGAGCAAGCTGGGCACGGACCAGGCATCGCCGACCGCACCCAAGACGCTCGGCAGCCCGCTGGGTGGCGGTGGAACACTATCAATGCAGCAGCCCGGTGCTGAATAAACATAGTCCTCTGCGAACATCATCGACTGGGCCAGAACATATTCGCTGCCTCAACTCCAACATGTACCGCACCGTCCTGTACATAACTGCTATTATATTTGATGTCCAACTGGAACTAACAATTGCCAATTCATCTTTAGCATCTTACTTTTCTAATTAGCCATGGAACTAAGTATTTCTCTAACTAGCCATACCTTACTGTGTACTGGTCAGAACGACCGTAAAGCTAACTTTCATTCTACTTGGGTTGATGTTGAAATTACCTTTCCGGCTGCATTTTTTGTTTGAGTTTTCTAATTGAGTTTGCATGTCCACGTTAGTAAATTGTACCGCTGGAAGCAGCCCTGGAACTTCTTACTGTGATTTATCTCAACTTTCTTCTCGTCTTACGTACTTCTATGTCCTGTCTTGTCATCGCTTCTGCAGAGGAGACCAGCGCGATATAGTTGGCTGATAAAATGCTTCCGTATTGCTCTAAAAATGTAATGCTGCCAGTGTACCGCCTGCTTGCCTCTGCCTGCATGTATGTTTGTATGCTCTCTTTCTATATTGTGTAGTATATTGTACACAGATGGCTGGCAGTTCTGCCGCCATAGTAGGTAGACATAGAGCTAGAACTAGAACTACTTCAACTAGAAGATTCTATTGTAAACGTGGAAACACAGTCATTGATATGACAGCGCACCGCCTGGTCTGGTTGTAGAACGGATAAGGTGGAAAAAATATATCGGGCATAAAATAACAAACAGGAAGATAGATAGAAATACCTTGTGACTATTGTTACTAAGTCTTCCTGATATAGATCATAGAACTGGTTATTCCTGTTCAGGGTGACGACTTCGATGACAAAGTGTGTGTGTGTAGACAGCTTTGGGTTGGCATCGCGGGTAGCTGAACACCCATTCACCGTATTGACATTCTTACCCAGATCTCTGGAGGTACATGTACGCCATAGCAAAGTAGGGTACCATCTCCAGAGAGCAGGACGATCATCGGCGGCGTACATTCGTAGCAGTGCAATGATCAGCTACAGATGTTGAGGATTACGAGATGCTCCATTCCTGTCCAGGTCTGATGCGAGTCAATCAGCTCCCATTGTGATTGCCATCTCACGACTACAAGCAATTTCGCTGCTTCTGCTGTGCAGCAGCAGGTTGCATTCAGCAGCCAGCCGGTCACTCAGCTACTACACATACCCTCCGGCAGTCTGGGCTGCCAGGCATGGAGCGAACCGTCACTGGCAGCTGAGAAGAGCAAGTTCTTTTCTGTCGGATGCCAGCTGTGCTGCAGAACAACCAGAGGTGATGAGGGTGATACGGTTTCCAGATCAGCGTTGGCAAGGTGGCCATCGTGGGTAAAAACGCTGGTGCTACTGCTAGGAGTAGTGCTGCTGCCACTTTGTGTTTGAGAAGCTGCAATAAGATGAGGGTGAGTGAACAGACAGAAAGCAACAGGGACACGCACACACACATGAACGCAAGCTTGTGCACACACACATACATGCATACACACACACACACACACGCACGCACGCACACACACACACACACACATAGATTAGTACTAGTGCCAGTAGTGGTAGTGTAAGTGCAGGGGAGCCGTGTGGTTCCAGTCCCGTGGTCAATTTCGAATACTAGACTAATCTTGTGATCATGTCGTTTGAGGGCCTGGGGCGTATTCTCGGCGCCCTGGCTAGCAGCCCACAAAGGGATCCGGATGCCTCATTGAAGCGAAGGCACGCCAGCAGTACAGAGTCATCGCCGGGAGCTCCCGTGACTGCCGAGCCAAAGCCATCCGTCGACCTTGATCCTGGAGAGCTCTCCGGCCATTCAGCTGAAAATGCCCTCAGTGGGTCGGAGAGTGTGAAGTCAGCTTTCCAACCTGTCATCACCCGAGGCTCCCCTTCCCTTTCGGATCATCATGGTGGCGGTAACACCGTAAGTGCCGATTATCTGGTGAATGAATTTCGGACATGCATGAGTGCAATGATGGAGGAGAAGCTTGGTGTGGTTCTGAGCGGTGTTGATGAAATCCGCCAAGACCTGAAAGCGGTTCACAGTTCTCTAGATGCTCGACTAACCGCCCTGGAGAAAAGGATGGACGGTACCGAAAAGTCACACATGCATGTACTAGATACGGTACAAGATTTGGAAGACAGCATACGGGATCTAGAAGAAAGCATGGGTTTCCTGTCGACCAAATATCACGAAGCAGAGATACGAAGAAAACCGAAAATAGCAGTCAGGATGTGCAAAGGGCCGCAGGACGCTCACTGACGGATCGCATGGACAATGTGGTCAAAAGCACTGATCAAGCTTTGGCCACATTAACTGACGTTCTCAACCAAAGAGCGGCTGCTTTGGTAGTTGAAGCTGAAGACATGAAGAAGACCTGCCAAGACCTGGATAGACGAGTACAGGTCCTCGAAACCCCAAACCGGACCCCCAGTGAGACCGTTACTGCTGGCGAAGATTGCACCGTGCGTATGTGAGCGAGTACCGTAGCGGGCATGTCCCCTTCCACTTGTGGTCCTGGAGAATGTGTCAAGGAAGCGGCACCAGCTGTTGCGTTGGCATACGAGTCGATTGAGGAGCATTTCGAGCGCTTCCAGAGGCAAAGCAAGGCCGCACTGTTCGATCCGAAGGAGGAAACACCCCAGAACGTTCTCGAAGTGTGTACATCCCTGATGTCGGAACCTGTTCGTGCGGCCGCAGTCTCAGTTGAGCGCCTGGGAGCGCCTCGCAAGTCATCACCCGATGGATCAGTACGTCCTAGACCTGTTCTTGTCACGTTTCCCCACGAAGGCAGCGAAACTGACCTTTCTCAAAGGCCATTTCAAGCTTGAATACCGAAGCAAGCCGGTATTTGCCCACCATGACCTCACACCAGAACAACAAAGTCAACGGAAGATGCTTCCAGTGTTAAGGAACTCCGCTCCAAAGGGATCAAATACATCATGCCATTTCGTGATATCCTTGATGGAGATGGCAACCACATATTGATGCGTTCAACTTTTTTCGGGAGTACTTGAAGGACATGATTGTACATGTACATGCAACAACGAACTAAGGCTGCCTGTGCATAGAGAGCCAGGTAGCCACGTTAGCTATGGACCGCATGGGTATTAGGGTAAGAAAATCGTGAAAACCCAAATTAGTATTTCCGGTATGCATTGAATAGTCATGGTCCTATGCGTATGTGCAGTAGTGCATGCATGTGCGTCTGGGTGTGGTGTGTCTTGTTCAAGTCGTTGTCTTCACCAGTTATCAGTGTGTTTGTCCAATAATATCATATGGTGACAGGGGTGTCGGAATGTATTTTAGTGTGGTACAGGTGGTCGCCTTATCCGAGTGGTCGCTGCCGTGACAGATTTTACTGTACTTCGAAGCACAGTGCTGCTTAATGAAATCCGATCAACCGGGTCACCGCCATGCCGGGCACTGTGCAACCCTAGACCTTGTAAACACTGGGACGTGAACTGGTGCAGGGAGCAAACTTGACAAAGGCGATCGGATTTCATAGAGCAGCACTGTGTATGTTTGTTTGCATTTCGTATTCTCCACAGACCTTAGCCTACCGTGAAGTCGTGTATAAAAGCCGAGGCTTATATGACTTTTTGGGGGAAATTTTGCAGGCTTCTATATGAGACAGGCTTCTATACTAGACAGGTATTTCTATGTACAGTCGACCTACCCTTATAACGATAACCTCTATAACGATATTACCCTTATAACGATATTTTTCTGCCAAACCAAATCACTCCATTGACTTGTGTATACAATGCCTTACCTCTATAACAATATTGCTATAACGATATTACCCCTATAACAATATAAAATGGGCTGATCAATCGACATTTTCCATTTTATAACAATATCTAGCAGGGAATATGTAGAGCCCACTTAGTAGTGATCCAGGTAGGGCAAGCTTCACTTGATAAGTCGCTGGGACATGACGAAATGCAACAGGGGCACCAGTGGGCACCTACATAATGTGCATGTAAAATGATGTGTCAGTTTTTTTATGCTATGAAGTGTGTAAAAAATGAACAAAATCCATGCATTATGACGTATGTGTATGAAATGAACCAGATACCCCTATAACAATATTACCCTTATAACAATATTTCTTGGTCTGACGCAAATATCGTTATAAGGGTAGGTCGACTGTATGTCAACACTAAAACCAGGTTTATGTGCCGACAGTGCATCGTGAAAAATCAGGCTTCTATTCAAAACAGGCTTTTATACAAGACACTACGGTAAATCAAGGGAGACTCTGTATATGTTTGGCTTTCCACCTGATTGATTTTGAGAGAATTTTTGAGGATTTGCACATGCAACAATGTGATTGATGACTTGTTTCCAGTGTGTGATTGCACTGACATTATTCTAACGTTAAACCGTACAACACAGTAGAGCAGCTGCAGTGGAGTTTGCACACCCATCAGGCACGTGCACCCCCCCCCCCCCAAATTTCGACCCAGGTTCAGCATGCACATAATGACCATGAATGACATGCACCCGCCATCCTACGCACATACGGCCATGCACCCCCCTAAAAGGGGGACCAGCTACGCGCCTGCCCAGGGAGAACGACTGGAGCATCAGGAAACCCTGGCCAGACTAACCTTGGGAGCAGAGTTGCTTCACAGATAAGACATGAACGCCACTGTCCAAACCTAATAGCATCCAGCCAACACACCATACACCTTCATGAGCACATGCATGGAAATGGAAATCATCTACATCATGCATACATGCACACAAGGCATACATTAGCTGCCAGGATATAACTGAGCAACAATACAATCATGTATAGGTAGGCCTACATCATTATAGTACATGCACTTCAAACTACATCAACATGACTAGCTACCTAATTAGTAATTACGATTTACTGCTGTGGAGCAAGCACATCAGCACAAGAAGCAAAGAAACAAGAACTTACCAGATACAGAGAGAAGGTCTGGAGCGGTGGGTGAGAACTAGAAAAGTAGACAAGAAAAGGAAGGCAACAAGACGAGTTTGGCCTCCGATGAGAAGATCAACGGAATAAGCTTGCATACAACACAGCATGATATGCTGAGATACTGGGTATGCACAGTTGGTAGTCTCTCTCTCTCATGTCTGACTATCACAAAATGCCCCACACGCACAACACACATCACCCCACAAATCCTAAAGAGGCCACAATGCTGAAGTGTGTGTGCACACAGCGCGGCGCCAGTGGCAAATATCAATATGAATGATGCCCGCCTGCTTACCTGAAGTTGTATATTGGAAGTACGGTGGTCGGTAGTGCAATGAACTCTTGCTGCAGTTCCGGTGGAATGCTCCCAGCCATCCATAGTCTCATGACCTGCGGCTTGCTGATTCAATCTGATCAAACAGGGACTAAGATCATGCAAGGCGAGTGGCTGCTGATGCTTAGTCTGGCGCATATCACTCACTTGGACACAGCCGCACCCACAGCAGGATGCTATCAGACCTCGATCAGATCCAGTGCACGTCGCACCGTGCTTTCGGTGCATCTCTGCACACATCGCTGAGCTCGGTGGCGTATCGGCAATGTCTGCAGCTGAACTCTGTGATCCAGCCATGCCACAGTGTTGCTCTGCTAGCGCAGCGTCATTGCCGGTGACAGCATTGTCAGAAGCGGATGATGGCTGATTGCTGCAGCACGGCGCAGGGACGATGGAAAGCGCACAGCTGCTCTTTTGGCGAGTGTCCACGGTCGACACCAAGCCGGAACGTAGCTGGCACGTGAAGAACGTATGATCACTGTCAGTCCAGCCGAGTGACGACAGTAACTCACCACCACCACCCACTTGCTTAGTCTGTGACGAATCTAATACACACAAATAGAAAGGATAGGATTGCCTATCAGTGACAAGCCTTGCGCGGAATGTGCCAGCATAATTTTGGGAACTATGGGTGTGATTCTTCGAATGGAAATAGTTGGCAATTTGGTGGGATGATCGGTAAAATTTGAGCAATAGAGAGGTTAAGTTTCACGTAAAATTCTTACGTCCGTGAACTTTTACGTCAAAAATTCAAAAACTCACGTAAAATTTGACGTGTTTTACGTGAGTTGACTGTCCCGCACGTAAGTTCGTGACGTGGGTTTTCGGAAGTTTCGCTTGGTTATCCTGATCGAATTTGTGTGAGTTTCCGTAGTTTTATCGAGTTTGTTGGAAGATTTGATATTTTGTGTGAACTAAACCCGAATCCTACCAGGCAAAAATTTCACGTCACGTCGCACGTGTAACTTAACCTCTAAAATATAGACGTAACATGAGATTTGCACCGCGTTTTGAAAAAAGGCAAAAACATGTAACTTTTAACCTCTCCAATCGGTATCTTCGCACTCTTTGGGAAAGGAAACGGAAACCCCTGGCGGCAGTGTGTCTATGCCTATTGAAGTGATTGAATTATGCATGCAACCAACCGACACAGTAACAAACGAGGCACAGATTACATTTTGTTAAGACTAACCGGTTTCACCAAAAGAGGATCATCAGAGTGAGGAGTGTGAATCAAAAGAACACAATTTATAGTGGACCATTTCTGGTCAAATTTACTATACAAGCTGGTGCTAAAACGCTTGTAGCACCAAGAGAAGCTTGGGGTAAAACATATAAATTGTGCATTGTTGTAATCTTATTGTATACTATATTCATGACCTGTAGGAATGAACCACATGGATGTAAGTATTATCCTAGAATTGTAGTCTCGAGCAGGGCGCGAGAAAATATACATGAGGTCAAGTAGCAATTGCGGACTGAATGGTCTATCAGTATTGCACGAGAGTATTTTGCAGGGTGCATTGCAAGTGTGCGTATGGTAAAGTGTGTATTCATAGAACCATGTGGTGCATAGATTTGAACCTTATGGTTTATACAAATTTTGGCACTGCTCACTCTGATGATCCTCTTTTGGTGAAACCGGTTAGTCTTAACAAAAATGTAATCTGTGCCTCGTTTGTTACTGTGTCGGTTGGTTGCATGCATAATTCAATTGCATTACCCTAGCACCACCCTCAGTTATACACTATGCCGCCGAACACTCTTGGTATTCCCCATCATCTAGCGAAACGTCGCCGCTCCGATGCTACTGATGCCGATGGTCAGTTCGACGCCTCAGACGCCAACAACCATTCGAAGAGTCGACCAGTTCCAGCTACCCGGGAGACCAGCTAACAGTCTCAGTTCAGACTGGTCTGTGACCAGAAAATTGTCTGAGATTGCCAGACAACGAAAAGTCCGAAGCAATACTCCACCAAAAGGAATGCGGAAACGCAGAGGTGACAGTTCTTCTGGCCCCAAGAATGTGTCATCGTCACAAATAGTGAAAGAGTTCTCGTCCGAGCACTTTTCGGTCTCCCATGGTGCCTTCTTCTGCAACTGCTGTCGTAAGGAAGTGAGTCTGAAGAGAAGTGTTACTGCAAGCCATATCAAAACTGCGAAGTAGGCAACTAGAAAAGCAGACTTGCTCAAGAAAGAGGCGAAGGAGATGGACATAGCCAAGAACCTGAAGTCCTATAATGCTGAGAAGCATATGAGTGGTGACACCCTGTCACAGGCACAGCAAGTTCATCGTGTGAAGGTCGTCAGATCCTTCCTTGCAGCAGGAGCACCACTGATCGAAGGGCAGCACTTCAAACCACCTCTGGAGGAAAATGCATACCGCCTCACAGATCACCATGGCCTGTGTGACCTCATCCCCTTCGTTTAGGAAGAGGAAGTACAACAGCTCCGTTCAGCATTGGCTGGTCAGTATGTGTCAGCTATATTTGATGCCACATCTCGTCTGGGAGAAGCTCTAGCTATTGTGTTGCGCTATGTGTATCAGAGGACTGGCAACCTCGTCAAGTCCTTGTGAAGGCTCAGATGCTGTCAAAATCGTTAACTGGGAAAGAGATTGCTCGGGAGATTATTTCTGTGCTCGGAGTGTCCTACCAAATCTCTTCCAAACTGGTATCGGAAGGTATGCGTGATGGAGCTTCTACTAACAACGTGGCAATGGAAACGATCAGCGTTGCCTACACTGATATTGTCGATGTCAGCTGTCTCTCCCATGCTCTTGACCTAGTTGGTGATAAATGCAACACACCGGCTCTATCAGGCTTTGTCACAACGTGGATCATCTTGTTCGCCCACAGCCCTAAAACCAAGATGGTTTGGAAGGAGCTGAGTGGAAAGGTCATGCCCACATACCGCACAACAATGTGGTGGTTGAAATGGGAAGTTATCCAAAAAAAGTAGTGCTGAGTCGGATCGCATTTTCTTCCGGTATCGGGTTCGGGTAGGTTTCCACGGGTACCCGATCGGGTAATGTTTCCATGGTAACACCACAATGCACCCCTTCCTTTACACACTGGGTAGACATGCAGGGTATTACATAAATACACAATCACATGCACTGTCTGCACATGATGTCATCTGCGACTTCGGGTTTTCGGGTACTATTCTGTACCCGACTACCAGAGGTCCTCACGGGTAGCATGAATACCTGATTACCCGCGCACACCCCTAAAAAAAGCATTACTGCGAGAATAATCAGTGGTGAACTTACGGGAATATTTGGCAGAAAACTTCAGCACTGCTCAAAGGAGCTATCGGTAAGAATACGAGCACATTCCGCAGAAGCCTAGTGATACTGCTGTGGTATGGGTGTGTTGTTTTCAAAATCAAAATGAATATCTTTGAACAAGAGTGGGGCACACTACACACTAACATGAGCACCACATAGCGTTCAGGAATGTGCTTAGTACATTACATTGTGCACAGTTCAAACACACGTGTGGAGTCTAAATAGTACCCCCCCCCCCGAAACAGCCGAAACAGCTTGTTGTCTACAGCATTGGGTATTATGCTCCTCGGCATTCGTCTTGTTGAGCACTCTGAGTAGGCTGCTCTAGTGCTGCTGCATTACGCAATGCCCGCTACTTTTCGTAGTTAGAGCACTCTGGTGCTAGAGCGACGAACTATCTTTTAAGACAGCTCATGTCTGTGGTGCCTCCTTTGCACCATGGCTGGTAGCTCGGCTTGCTTAAAGCTCGTAGCTGTACTGATGAGGCCTTTATGGCCGAAACAGCTTGCTGTCTACAGCATTGGGTAGTAAATACACACGTGGAAGGACACGGTACGAACGTACACACACATATCCCAGAGTATCTGACATGTAAACAACAACTATCTCACCTTGAGACCAAGTCTGCTGACCCGTCGTGACATCAACCACAACCGAATCACCATCAGTGCGGGATACGAGAAGACGCGTCGATGATGGAGCACTTGAAAGCAGCGGCACGCCACTTTGGGACACACATCTAATCAGTAATAGGTGAAGGCCAATACAATACTATTCGTGCTTGGCAGTAATAACACTTTGACACCACAGTTCGAATTTCCTCATGTGCATGGTTTCAGCAGAGGTAGGTGGAAAGCAAATAGGCACACGCGTACCAAGGATACAGTGACGATTTTCCAGGACATTGATCGGCAGTAGCTGCAAGGAAACAGTTGCAAAAAGGAATCATACTGAATATGAGACTCATGGTCATGGAGCACTGACAGCTCTGTAGCTGTACCATGTCTACTGAAGTACATTTTACTCGTGTAGGATTCTTCTATCTCAGTATTAGACTAGGTCTGGTTTTTTTTAAGAGCTTTGCAACTCCATTGGGACCTTGTCATAGTTCTGCGGTCAGCGTACGATCTTCTTCAGTCCTTGGCTACACCACTTCAAAACGATATCTTCCATATGTTCACCCTCATGGGTGAACATATGGAAGATACCACTCGCTTCCATGTGCTGCTACTGTACTTGCTCACTGCCATGACTGGTCACGCGAGTCTCCCTGAAGAGGGGAGAGAGATTCAAAAGGAATGCTAGAAAGATGACTCAATTGGCTACTGAACCGCCCAGCGGCCGACACCCCCTGAAATCCCCAAAGCTCTGGGTGGACTTGGAAATGATGCCACTTAGGGCGCGTTCAGACTACCGATAAAAAGTGACCGATTGGGAAAGTCGCCAAGGTGATTTGATCACGTGATGTTACTGGCACGTTACCGGTGGGAAAGTTTTACTGCCGCGGCTGCTGCGGCAGTAAACTTTTACCGGCAGTAAAAAAGTGCTCAGGCTGCATGCGCGCTGGGAAAAAAGGGAAAATCCCTTGTCAGTGACGCGGTGAGAGCTGAAAACTTCACGGTAACGTTAGTTTGTTATCGGTAGTGTGAATGTCCTTCACGGTTTATCGGCATTCACGGTTTGACGGGGTTCACGGTAGTCTGAACGCGCCCTTATGGGCTCACCACACCTCAGTAAGTGGGTGAGGACAAGGTGCAGAAAAAGGATAGACGGCATCAAGGTATCCGTCCCGGGATCCAACTGCAGTTACACACATGCGCGTGCGCGCGCGCGCACATACACACACACACACACGTATACTAACAACAGCACACAGTAAGCATGCCAGTAGGCTTACGTTTCTTTTCTTCCGCAGTCCAGACATTTACGCCACCGCTTGGACAGCCTGAAGTCACAAATGTCCTGTCAGTGGAGACACCAGAAAGTATAGTCTTTTCAAACGTCACACTGCACACACACAGCAAGAGGGATTCTAGAGATTGCTGAAAGCTAAAGAATTTAATTTGACATGCACCTCAGCATTCTTGCATGTGTGTGTGTGTGTGTGTGTGTGTGTGTGTGTGTGTGTGTGCGCGTGTGTGTGTGTGTGTGTGAGCGCGCACGCATGCGTGCGTGCGTGTGTGTGTCTGCCTGTCTGTGGATGAAAGGATGAAATAGAAGGAATGAACATAATACTTCGTAATACAGGTCTGTCCAAACACACACACACACACCACACACACACACACACATACACACACATACACACACACACACATACACACACACACACACACACACACACCTCAAGTGAGGGAAGGTGGCCATGTGATGAACCGGTTTCTTTGTGAAGTGTCCCCGCTGAACACTGAAGTCCCTCCGTGCACCCGCCATCTAGCAGCGCGTAAAACATGAGCACAAATGACAATACAGATAGGAGTTTAAACCCGTATCTCCAAATACTGTAGTCACATCGTAACTTAGCTAACACAAGACGATACAGCAATGGGGAGGCAAATACTGTAGTCCCATCGTAACTTAGTACCTGTTTGTCCTGATGCTGGATAGTTGACGCAAGCAGTGTGTCACCGACCACTAGCTCCACGATTTCATTCTTGCGACCAGAATCCCCGCCATGGAAGCTTGCTACGAGTAGCTCTGAGATAGAGGTAGAGAGAGGGAGAAAGAGAGAGTGAGAGAGAGGGGGGGGGGGGGGGGGGGGGGAGGAGAAAATTGAAGCCACAACGCCAAGCCAAAAATTGTGTTTATAATAGGTTTTTCATTTGACCCGACGAGACCACACGACGCTCGCAGATCACAGCACGAACAGTTCACCAGCCACACTCCACGAAAGCAAGTAGTATTACTCCTGACAAGTCTTGTTCCGTTCCATAAAGATGACGCGGGGAACTCATCAGAGGAGAAGCAGTTGTTGAATGAAGGGGTTAAGCTGAATAATGCTATTTTATAGAGAAGATACTGGCGCAAGGTGTAAACACTCAACTAACTCACATCTGTGATAAATCAACACAAAAAGGAATAGTGCAGAATGGAGGTGTTATGAACCCTACCAGACATAACTATCACAAGTGCTAAATCAATCACAATGAGAAGGAGAGGTGCACAGGAGTAGGTTGCGCTAGTTTACACGTCACAAAGAGTACTGAGGTGGTGAAAAAGATAGGTGAAAAGTAGACGCCAAGTGAAAGCCAACAAATCATCATGGACGCCTAACGTCTGAAGATTGCCAACTGCACAATATATAGGTATTTATATCGGGGTCCATCCAACTCCGCGTTGGCCGGTTGAAACTTAATTATTAATTATGTATTAGACCATTACACAAGAGAGATTGGAAGCTATAAGACTATTAGTATTCTGAATCATGCACAAGATCCAATGGAAGAAAGTCTGTCCCTCCTAAAGAGTTTTTTTTTTTTACTTTACGTAATCACCAGGCGACTGATGCTCAGCAGATTGCACATCGGACTATATCTGATGAATGAATGGAGTTATCATTGTGTGCAGATTGTCAAGTTTCATTTTCTTTTTCTTTAAACAATAATTTCGTTTTGCTTTTTCGTTAGTTATTGTGCCCGGCTGGTGATGTCATGTCCTGTGATTGCCCGTATAAGAGGATTTTTCACTACAGTCAACTTCGCTAATAAAGACTGCGGATATAACGACAATTCGCGAATAACGACAGAATTTCCATGCCCAGAGCGAAGTCCCATCCCACTGTGATACATGTAATGAGACTTCGGGTATAAGGACACTTCGCGAATAAGGACACCTTTTTGATGCCCCGTCGAGTGTCGTTATAAGCGAAGTTGACTGTATATCCTGCAAGGAAAGTAATACTCCTGGACACCTTGGTGGGAAAAAGTAATGGTGTGCGTAGTACTAGGTGCGTAAATACTGAATAGTCAGCGCGATGGTGTGGTGTAAATACTGAATAGTCAGTGCGATGGCGTGGTGGAAGGCACACACATGTTGCGGTGCTTAGCGTGATCTCCTGGTGATTCGGCGCGAAGGAAGACACATTCTGAGCGGAAACAGATTTTCCTCCACTGGACCCCATGCGTGGGAAACGTCGTGGGGCGCTGGAGTGAGTGCCGACCCAGGTCAGCCGTGACACACATTGAGCACTCTGACCTGTCTTCAAGGTTACTACTAGTAGCCTGCATTCTGAATTAGTTGTCTCAGGTTTGACGCCACACCCAGGAACACGTACAGTGCATTTCATCAGTGGTGTCAGATGCGTCGGAAGTTATTTTTGGGTGGTGCGGTCAACAGAATGATCTGAAGTACAATTTTACTGCTGAAGAGAGAGAGAGGGGGGATTGGTGGGATGGTGCTCTGCTGAAATTTTTCGAAATTTACTGCCCGAATCAGTGCATTTCTATACTGGTAAGTTCACGGGGTACCTGGAGCAAGGAGCGGTACGGTCCGACAATAACGTAGTGACCGGAGCGTGACCGTAGTGTGTACGATACCCCTGGGTATAGTCCCCCCCCCCCCCGTCAATTGTGTCATCAGCAGTGTGTTATACACCTGCGGGCTGCAACCAGGCATATGGAGCACAGGTAGGTGATGGCCTAATGGAACTCCATTCTTCAAGTATGCTAGTAGTAAATAACATGCCTATGTAGTCTAAGTACAGCGCTTCAGAACTAAATATTGCGACAGAGCTTTCGGCCATATTTTCAATTCATTGCACTCCCAACTCATCACAACCACGCGCTCTTCAGCCGAACCATTCAGACACCAGCAAGGACACTTCCGTTGAGAGATAATATTGTTCCACGCCTCTAGACAGCCGTTTCGCTCCCTGTCGGAGCTCATCAGTAGAGGATGATAATGTCCTTGCTGGTGTCTGAATGGTTCGGCTGAAGAGCGCGTGGTTGTGATGAGTTGGGAGTGCAATGAATTAAGTACAGCGCTGCTCAATGAAATCCAGTCGCATCACTCAAGTACACGCCGAGCGTTGCGCAGCCCTAGACCTGCGAACACTGGCCTGCGAAATGGTGCAATGCGCAAACTATTACTTGAGTAACGCGACTGGATATCAGTGAGCAAGACTGAACATGATTGTATTTACCCACAGGCCACACGTATGGCTGTACTGTGTTCGGCTTTTAAAATCGACTTAGTGCTGGCACACCAGTGATTTTCAAAAAAAACCCACAAACACACACTAATTCTCCCTGACTTGCCTTTATCGGACATCCAAGAAAGGCACTTTGAAGAGTCTTGTAGTCCATACATCCAAATATTCTCGTATCTTATAAGAGAGTCCACAAGCCAATCATCTCCTACACGGCAATCCATGGCTCAACTCTTGCACAAAGGTGACTTGGGCAAAGTAATAGTTGGGGTTGGAAAAGACAGACGGGAATTTTGTTTCCAACTTTTTTTTTCATTCTTTGCACGAGTTCGCATTGCAGAACCTCGAATTTTCAAAATGCTGGTGACGTAGAATATGGCCATGGGTCTGTGAGCGCTAGCGGTGAATCCCCTTTCCCAGTTTTCTTGGCTTTGGTGTTTTGCATGCCGATCGATAATGTTTTGCACTGCGAGAAACAATTTAGTTTTTCGTCTTTCCATTCGTCTTCCATTGGTGTTAGAAAATATTCACTTAGCACAATGGCGTCGGGTGGTCCAGAACCCCAGCTCGTAGATCTGTCTTCCCTACCTATCCAGGCCTTGGGACAGATGCAGCAACAGGTTGATCAAGTACGTCGGAGAACTGCCCAGTGCTTTGGAAGCCGATCAATATCAGAAAATAATCAACTGTGAATTTCATTTGTTTCCACTTTGAAGGAAATCGAGCTTCTGACCAACTCCATGACCAGCTTGAAAGTAGTTCAACGGAGATTCGAGGAGTCGAGAGAAAGTGTAGCCAAGGTCGCGGAGCGTCCTGTTGGTAAGACATGCACAATGTTCATTATTTTGAGTTTAGAATGCTTGTGATGACGTTATTCGTCTACAACATCGTTATGTACAGTGTTAGAGGCTCCATACACTGTACAATCATGCTGTTTGTTCAATGTGTGCAATTAATACATTGCAATGCCTAGTGCGATTGAGCGAGGTCTGCAGTGAATTCGAACATCTCGGTGGATATCATTTGCTCTCTCTCTGAGTCTCTCTCTCTCTCTCTCTCTCTCTCTCTCTCTCTCTCTCTCTCTCTCTCTCTCTCTCTCTCTCTCTCTCACTCTCTCACTCTCTCTCACTCTCTCTCTCTCTCTCTCTCTCTCTCTCTCTCTCTCTCTCTCTCTCTCTCTCTCTCTCTCTCTCTCTCTCTCTCTCTCTCTCTCTCTCTCTCTCTCTCTCACACACACACACACACACACACACACACACACACACACACACACACACACACACACACACACACACACACACACACACACACACACACACACACACACACACACACACACACACACACACACACACACACACACACACACACACACACACACACACACACACACACACACACACACACACACACACACACAATGCAACAAGTATCTGCTGCACCTGAACTGGCAAGCAGCCACCGACGCCCTATGAAACGGTTTAGACCAGTGCCTCACTAGCGTCCTCCCCCCCCCCCCCCCCCCCCCTTACCACAATGTGACGTTATCTTTCACTCTGCTTCTCTCACGACATCTACCCATTGTCCTTGTTTCTCACTATTATTCATTTCCCCTCTTCCTCCCCTCTTCATGGTTTTACTGCATTATGGCGCGCTTTGTCTGCGTAGACGCCGAGACCTTTGAGGTCGGCAGAGCAGCCTGGCCCCGCCACCACTTCTCGCACATATTCGGGAATATAGTGGACTTACGTATAAAAATAAAAATAAAAAAACACACACACACACACCTTGTTGAAAGTACCATTGTGTCTGTCTACATGTTCGATTCACGACGTCTGGAACGATCTGAATCCAAGCCAGGTCTGCTCGGTTTGTACATGTACGTGTCTGTACAGTCCCACTGGGTGGGTACATGTTACGGATCTTGATCCGTGTTTTACTATTATTTGGCCCATTTGCATTCATGTTCATTCCTCCACTTTGCTGACTCATGTGTTCTGATTGGTAAAACTTTTTTTCTTTTTCTTGGCGCGTGTACGGATATCACCCAGGTAGCCGGTAGTGTCAGTAGTACTATGCTTGCTTTCCATGCCAACTGCAACCGCATAGATGCAATCCGTTCCATGTGTGTGCAGGTGCGTGTGTGTGTTCACGTGTGTGTGTTCGCGTGGGTGAACGTGCGTGTGCGTGGGTGTCGGCGTGATTGGATTTGGCTGGTCCGCATAATCCATCTGGATCCCGATTTGTGAATCGAACGAAATCACAAGGCGTTTTGTTTGTTGGTAATCTCTATTCTCAGGCTGCTTGTATTGTTCTTGTTCTTGTCGGTGTCACTGCCATCTATCTTGTTTTGCAGATAATGAAATGCTTCTTCCGTTAACATCATCTGTATCCTTGCCTTCGGCGTTTTAAGGGCAGGTTTCTTTGGAAGTCCACTTATGACTTATGTTTGACTTGTACGACATGTACAATACAGAACTTGCTAATACTGTACTGAAGTGTGGTGCTGCTCAGTGGAATCTGATCGTGTGCGTAAAGTTTGCACCTTGCACCATTTCACAGCCCGATGTTCACAGATCTAGGGCTGCACAGCGCCCGGCGCGTTCTTGACTCGCGCGATCGGATTTCATTGAGCCGCACTGTATGTCATAATATGTACATGCTGCTGTGCTGTAAGGGGAGTGGTCCAGGTGCATGACGTTTGTGCACCCAAACGCCGTGAGTGGTGGCATGATTGTACTTTGGTGCGTATTTTGATGGGCACGTACCTCGCACTCACTTCACACAAGTTATTGTTTCTGTAGGTCTAGGTAGTAGAGTGGGAGTTCATTGCCTTGTCCAAGTTTATACACACATCAAACATACCCTCCCCCACCCACCCCCGGGAAGGTCAGTATCTTGCTACTGTAGATTGCACCTTGGCATTCAATCTCGTGTGGTAGAACGTGCACTGTTCCAATATCACTGTTAGTGTTGCCTTGACAATCGCACACTAGCTGTACGTCCCAGCCAAATTAAAGGACACAGACAGCTTACTTCTTGATGTCGGCACCGGATTCTTCATCGAGTCTGTAAGTTTTTCAATCTTATTGTCTTTACGCTTTGTATGCATCATACTTGCTGCATTTCTCGTGCATTGTGCACGCATAAAGTGGCATGCACTTTGTCTTCAAGTACACTGTCATGCGTTGCATCGGTTCTCTACCATCATTGGGTGATACATGTAGTAGTGCTGCACTAAGAATATGTACTGTGCCTAGACATTCTCAATCTACTATACCTAGACATATTATGTATATCATACGTTCATTTTAGCTTGTTTTTTTTTTATCGGTTTGTTGTGGCCGGGTTGACAGACAACCCCCCACCCACCCACCCACACACAGAAAGAGAGAGAACCTTATACAGCGTATCCAGTTTCACATCATTTCTCTTTCCTGACCCTGTGCAAATGCACTGGTTTTCACTGATACTTGCCTTGTGCCACAGAGTGCAGAGAAAGCGGAAGATTACTTCAAGCGCCGCGTGGACAAACTGACTAAACAGCTTGAAGACTTGCAGTCAGGCCTAGTGGAAAAGTCTAAGCTACGGTCAGGTAAGTGGAGATGCTGTGTGGGTGTTGGGGTATTGGCTTTGGCAAGCCTGTGCCGTCGTTTTACAATCTTGATCTGGTTCTATGTTTGCTATACTTTGAAGTAGAACACTCTGTGCTTTGTCTAGAGGTCTGAGCACGCATATGTTCGGATGCTGGGAGAGTATGATACTTGTACTTGGTCTGCCCAGTTAAAATTAGCGCTTATCTTCACGCTTGTCTCAGGAAAGAAATACGAATATTTGAAGCAAGCCACGATCACAAAGCACTATATACATGATTATTTACATGAAAAGGCGACGAGGAGACAATAACTTTATTAATGCGATTAACCCTTTATGTACTGATTTCCAGCACAGAATGGAGCAGAATTTGAATTTTCAGCACAATTTTCACCTTCAACAGGCTATAACTTTGGCCTCCTTCACTGCATTTCCACAGTCTTGGGCTCTTTGGAAAGCTCCTGGCGAGAGCAACGCCAGGATACCAGGCTCCATCAACTAGCTTCCACAAATCAGACACAGGAACACAGCAAAGTCGTCTCCAAGCCCAATATGCGAGCAAATTTCCCCATCAACGCCATTCCACTCTCCTCTATCGCAGAACGCTCAAATCTTTTCGAGGCGATTCAAACTTCAGCCAACTACGTCACTATCATGTGCTGAGTTGGGCAAAGAGCACACGCAAAGGGATTTTCCCCGAAAATGGCGAAGAGATCGATAAAAAATTTGAATTTGCCGAGACAAGAATACGGCGCGCGATATCTCTGGATTCGTACATCGTAGCTCTTCGGCGATTGTTGCATTGGAAAGCTTGGAGTTTCCGCTACCAAATAGACCCTTCGATTGTTGAATTCGGACAAGAAATGATGGAGTTACGAAGGTTTTACGGATCGATCATGAATCGATCATATGTGATCGATTCATGTACACACCGTACATAAAGGGTTAATAGTATTAGTGAAGCGGACATTACAAAATGATGAATGAGAATACATGTATCTAAAATGGTTGTTCCTAATCGATTTTCTTGAGACTATCATCAGGGAAAATCGTCTCACAATAGAGGCTATACGGAGAAACAAACTACTTATAGGTTATCGGATAGTGGGAAGTATACAAGGTGAGGTGTGAAAAAAAAACTAAAGTGGGAGAGAAGACGAAAGAAATTAGAAGAAAAGATGTGAGAGTGTTCTGACGGTGTGAGCTACTACATAAGGTGAGTGAAATGAAGGCGTGGAAGCAGGTGAATGTGATAGAGTGAGGAACTGTGAGGTGTAGGTGTATGCGAATGAATACGTGTGCGAATGCTAGGTGAAGAGTCTCAGTTTTGTGACATTTTCTTTCTGAATGCATAGATTAGGATTGTGTTTACGGATGAAAACAGCTTCTAATACCTTAAGTTCACGAAACCTACGAGCACGACACAAAACAGTGAAGCATGAATCATCATACACTGAGCGGCATTGGCTACTAGACAAGAGGTGTTTCTTAATGGCTGACCCTTTCGTTGTGGTCTCACCTTCAGTCCGGTCATCTTCATCTTGGTTGTCCAACTCACTCTCTTCATCACTGCTCTCACCTTCCTCATCATCGATTAGGAACAACCATTTTAGATACATGTATTCTCATTCATCATTTTGTAATGTCCGCTTCACTAATACTATTAATCGCATTAATAAAGATTATTTACATGTCAGTAAGCAACACAGTCGAAAATTCAAGCAAGTTACACATCCTCCTCGCCACTATCGTCGCTGGAGGAAGAGCTCTAAACGTACGATCCGGACAGCTGCTGCACGGGTCGTTTCATAGCTTGTTCCACTTCTCCTCGTCTCGAATCGCGCTCAAAGGCAGTGCGTGCCTGTCACCTTCCCATCAGAAGCTGAGTGAGACTGCCCGCATGTTGACTGTAAGTGTTATCCCCGTTCGTCGCAATAATGCGTCGTTGTTTGACACAAAAAGGCAACGCCATATCAGTGTCCTTTTTTCAAATCGCCTCTTGCGCTTGTTGTACTTGCCGATCAGCACCCGTACCCACGCGAGCCGCTGGTGCTTGAAGATCTACATGCAGCGCAGTGATAGCTTCCGCTTGATGTAGCACCTGTGCGCTCGTACTGCACCTACAACGCCGTGCACCAGGCTTTTCGGCTAGTTTCCTGAAAGTCCTTTGCACGAGTGTTTCTCTCAGGACTTGGTGTTTTCTTTGATTAGCTCCTTTGCCCTGTCCTCTGTGAGCTTCAAAGTGTGTCCGCCGGATTGGTCTCACTTACTGGAGATATCGACATGAGCTGCAGTTTCTTCGTCAGCGATTTGCTGGTGATAGCCCTTCACCAGGCGCTGTACTGTGCAAGCACTGAAATTCAAGCTCGCGAAGCGCTTTTTCGGCTTTTCTATACCTCCCCGGGGTAAACAATCCTTGCATCAGACAGCTGGAAGTAGACAGAAACTGTATTCTCCATCGCTCTGAAATGCGAACATCCTGACCTATTTTACGGACTCGAGCGGAGGTTGCAGTGTTTTCTTGCGCTGACGGAAGTGTTCGTCGGCGGCAGCTCCGTCAAAAAGACTCAAACGAACCGATCGCAACTTCTGTGATGGTTTGTGCTGCCACGTCGTCGGATGCAATGGTCAATGGTTATGTTCGGATGGTGAATCGGTGGATCCATGCCGTGTGGCACAGGCAGAACACCAAAAAACCAAGTGAGAAGATAAGCGCCAATTTTAACTTGGCGGACCAAGTACAAATACTGCACTATTGAAAAAACCCTTCATACAGAGAATAGCAGGAACGAATGTGGAGTGATGGGTCTCTTGGTGCTGTCGCTGCTGCGGTGCTTGTGCTGCTGCCGCTGCTGCTGCTGTCGCTGCTGCGGGTGTTACTCTTGCTATGCTTGCAGTTGTGCTAGAGGTTCTGCAGATGAAGATCCAGGCACAAAGTCAATCCCAAGGACCCGCAACATCATAGCAGTCGTATTTCCTATTCTATGTCATCTTCTTTTTTTTATCATAGCCTATTCTCCGTTTGCTCCTCCAACTATTGCTCAGTGGGCATTTTTAATTGGGTAGCACACGTCCGGTCGGCGAGCAGAACCAGTGGCAACGCAATCTCTCAGCTAGATACATACACTGTAGATCCTCCACTCTTGACGATGCCTTCTTATAGCCATTGAACTACTGTTGATGTACAGTGAGTGGATGTGCACTTTATGATCATGCCGTGTACAGACAATCTCAATTAGGCCCATCCTGGCGAGTTCTAAAGTATTGCAGGCTGAGCTGTTCCCAAGCCAGTTTCTGCTCTCTTTTTTTGCTTCCTGGAGAAATTCGATTATGGCTATTTCTGATGCTTGTGATGAAGTCGTTAGACATCAAATTGTCAAATTGGCATCAAATGAGTTGGTATTTGATTCTAACAAGACGCGATGTGGATACTTGCTACGGTTTTCGACTTTGCACGTGTGTTAATTAGGGGTGAAACAATTATACCGAGTACTCGAGTACTCGCTCGGTTTTTTCAAAAATAATCGTACTCGGAATAAATCAGAGTACTCGTTCATACATGGTACATGCATTTACTACAGAAATCTGCAGTTTCAGGGCAGCAGTCGGCAGATGGTGATGTGCAGGCTGTGTGGTGAACATTTGTTCACGAGTAGAGAGAGCCCAAATGACCCACCAACCAATATACCCGAGAAAAATGACTGCTACTCGGTTCAATCAGGGTTGTATCATGTTTATTTTAAAGCCCTTGGTGTGCAATTTTTAGGAGATGAAAAATACTCGAATACTCGAATATTCGATCGGAGAAAATCAGAGTACTCGAACTCTGGATCTCAGTGCCAACTTTCACCCCTAGTGTTAATCGTGAAAGTGCATGTGTACGCGTGCTCGTGTGTATATGTGTGTGGGTGCGACTGAGCATTATGCATAAGCGCCAGAAGTTGTGCAAACAGAGCATTTTCAGATTGCTTGCACATTCTGGTGCATCGTGAACAATGTCGGTCGTGTGAGCTGCGCACTGAGAATCCACTTGGGCCATAATTTTTGAGACGTCTGAACTAACGTTACTTCACTCTGAAGCAGGGAGTAGTACAATACGGTATTGTACTACTCCCTGCTCTGAAGTGTAGCATAATGCATAATATGCTCATTGACGTGAGTGGGCATGTGGGTGGAGTAGGGGCGTAGTGGAAACGTGTTCATGGTGTTGGGGCATCTGGCAGTTGAACCCGCTGATTGAATCGCTCCTCACGTACGTAGACTCTACATCATGCAGTAAGCTTTTACCTTTTTTGGTTTATACTTGATCGAATCGAATGATGATTTTGTAATCTAATCTGGTTGAATGATTTTGACCTGGTCATTTTTTGCGAGTCGGGAATCGGGATGGTGACGTAGACTAGACCGCGTACCGCGGGTCTACGTGATCACGTGACTAAGTCCTATTTTTTCCTGTCGATGTCAGATATTGTATAAAAATGAGTTTCAATTTTCCTTTCTACAGGTCTACTCTCCATATAACGTAATCTCTGGGACCACGCAAACATTATGTTATATCGAGAGTTATCTTATGTAGAAAACCGTGTGTAAAATACAAGATGCACCTCAAAATGAAGGGTATTACAAGGCGGGTTCGACCGTGCAAACATATACACACTGTACCACCATCGACATCAGATACCATCAATGCCGCAGAATATAATGCACAATAGGACTAAACTGGCTAGCTACGGCTACAGCTTGATTGTACCGCGCACGTGAATCTACGTTGTATCGAGAGTGTACACGTCGGGGACTGCGCCGTAGGGTGCGTTATGCCGAGGTTTACGTTATGTAGGACTAAACTGGCCTAAACTGCCTAGCTACAGCTACCGCTTGATCATACCGTGCACGTGAATTTATGTTGTATCGAGAGTGCGCACGTCGGGGACCGCTGTAGGGTGTGTTATGTCGAGGTTTATGTTATGTAGAATTATGTTGTGTAGAACAACATTTGTATGGGAGTGATGCTGTTTCGGCGCGGGATTTGACTTTTTTTATGTACTAACGAGGTTTATGTACAAGTGAGAGTTGTTATATCGAGAGCAGACCTGTACGTAGTCTACAGATTTTCATTATCAGATATACATGTAATGCACTAGCGAATAGTGCAAGCAGAGTCGCTCCCGAAACGAAGCCACATGGCTCTGCAGGACGAACAAGTATGACTGATTGAGTAAAGCGTGCTGAAAGACGAGCGTACTTGATAACCGCCAGTGGTAAGTCGCGGCCCGGTGATGCCTGAGCGAAATGTGAGAATGGAAGAGGTGGATCCTGCACCAGAACCCCCTCCACTAAATCCATGGACGGAGACAGTGACGGGCAAGGAGAGGCTGAAAGCAATGCTGGAACCAGAGTGAGTACATGCTGATAACCGGTTGAGACCCGTTAGCGCTGCAGCGCATTGTATACTCAAAATAAACACGTTCCAATTGTATTGGCACTTTTGATTAAAATAACAGATTTTGTTATTTTTGTGACATGAATCACATGATTTCCATCTGGAGGAATGGTTGAAGTTTCCGTTGCAGCTCTCTGGTACATACATGCGTTTAGGAGGCGGTGGCGAACACACGCCCGCTCTCACACGGTCTCTTGGCTGCGGGAAACACCTAGCGCACTAGCAACAGCATTCTCCCTCGCACCTGATCAGTTCGTGCCTGGCTGGCGCCGAGTGAACAAATGGTGATATTCTCCTTAGTGGCCGGGTGGCGTGTCGATACTCTAGTGGTGTGGGTGAGAAAGTGCAGATTTGCCGAATGTGCTGGGATATTATTTTCAACCTGGGGTGTGGGTGTGTGTGTGAAACTACCGTAGCTGTGTACGTACCACCATTTTCTAAGTAAAGCGAGAGCTGCTGTGGAGTCTTGAGCCATTCTTCTGATCTCATCACTGGAAAGCTGACTCCCAAAGCTGATTCAGATGTCCGTGCGCCCGAGCCCGATGAGTCCAGGAGGGACGAAGCGTGAGCCGCAATTCAGCAATACGTCGTGATGCCATCGACATGTGCCGTCCGCTCACTGATCGGTGCCAGTCTTTGAGATTGGAAAATAAACTATTTCCACTGGCTAGGCGCCCATTCAGGCACCCGTCACTAAGGATGGTTAGTGGGAGAGAATGCTCGGATGCCTAGGCTGTTTGTAGCCTGGAGAGTGTGTGGGGTCGGGCGCGCGGTGTTCACTGCAGTTTTCTGCCTATGGTTGAAATCCTTGGAAATATTATTTTTTGAAGGAAGGTCAGCGGTAGTGTCTGCTGCGGGCCCAGTGTGTGTGTGTGTGTGTGTGTGTGTGTGTGTGTGTGTGTGTGTGTGGTGTTGTAGATGCTTGATGTGTGATTGTGGATTCAGTGTACAAACAGTGTCGCTGTACTTAGTATTGAGTGCAGTGCATACAACTTTACGTGCACACAAGCACGCACACACACATACACACACATACACACATACACACACACACACACACACACACACACACACACACACACACACACACACACACACACACACATACACACACACACACACACACACACACACACACACACACACACAATGGCATGGCCATATGCACATACATACTAGCTCAAGTCGTTGCCTTTTTTGTTGCAGGTTCTGGCATGACTATCGTCCGTTCACGAAGGAGTGCTTTAGTCTCATCAAGACTTCCTTTGTCAGCTGTGCGGTGGTGGGAGCTTTTGTAGCCGGCTACCGGACAAAGAAGCGTTTTGAGAAAGACCACCGCATGGTGATCTATCGCACACCTGTACATGCAAAGGTAAATGGGCATTATCTGCAGCACTGGTTTGCGGCATGAAGACGTTATGATATGAGCTCTCTCTCTCCCTCTCTGTCTCTCTCTCTCTCTCTCTCTCTCTCTCTCTCTCTCTCTCCTCTCTCTCTCTCTCTCTCTCTCTCTCTCTCTCTCTCTCTCTCTCTCTCTCTCTCTCTCTCTCTCTCTCTCTCTCTCTCTCTCTCTCTCTCTCTCTCTCTCTCTCTCTCTCTCTCTCTCTCTCACACACACACACACACACACACACACACACACACACACACACACACACACACACACACACACACACACGTACACACACGCGCGCACTCTCTCACACGCATTCTCTCACTCACTTGCTCACTCGCTACCTCACTCTCATTGTGTGTATGTTTGTGTGTGTTGTGTGGCGTCATTGTACAGCGGAAAATGCATGCCCACACCATGGTGGGAGCTACTATTGGAGCTGTTCGTATTGGTGTTGATGTGGCGGCGGCTGTTTCCTGTGCACTGTAAGTCCAGAACTCCTCTGTGTTGGCCAGTGGAAATGCATTCATTCATTGAAAAGCATGCACATCCCTCAAACTTCTGAATAGCATCTCATATTTTCATCAGTAGTACGGTACCACAGGAATAAGACCCACTCCAACTCATCCAACTCCTCCCGTGCACCATATGAAGGGTGCTGCGGGTGACGAAAATCAGCAAAGCTATTTTTTGTCCCTTCAATTCAGTGCAAGCAGGCATTTCGGGTGATGGATTGTACAGAGACCCTAAACTTTAGTGTTCTATGTTGTTGTCCACTTGCTGTGTAGACTCGGTCATGGCATGCTGTACGTGTACCAGAACAGGATTTCATTTCCAGGCATGCTTCTCGGTTCAGGTAAGCCATTGAGTTGAATGGGTACTGGTGGTTTATGATGGAGGGGGGGGGGGGGGGGGGAGGAGGGAGGAGGGAGGGTTAGGACTGTGGTGGTCTTGTCGTGCAGAGAGCATGTCAAACTATCAACTGTTCACGGTCACGTTGTGAGGCAAAGATCCCTTTTCAATATCAGTGCAGGAATACAAAATAGTAGTAAAAGAAACACGATACAGCAGAACAGTAGCGCATGCTTCTCATCGGGATCTAGTGGAGTACTGGAGTGTACAGTACAGTGCATTACACATCTACAGTCGTGGCCAGAGAATTCCGACCTGCGAGTCAAAAGTAGTGCTGTGTTTCCATTCCTATTACATCATGCTCGTTCCAAAAACCGATCCGAGGGCCGCAGGGAGGGACGCATGCGCCTTGGCGCCGCTTTCGGCACGTGGGCCGGATTTCTTTGGCCACTACTGTAGATAAGGGATGAATCAATACTGTGGGCATACTCGTACTGTAATGGACAGTCTAGAGCTATAAAAAGAAGAGACAGTACAAAGTGTCAATGGAACCATGCAGTGCGCAACGGGTACATAATGCATACAAGATGACACTACATCTCCCCTTTTTCAAAAAAAGGGAAAAAGAATATAGCAGAGAAAATAGGAAAGGAGATAGATAAGATGTCAGGACCAAATCATGCAAAGCATTTATTTGTTATTCTTCCCTTCGCGAAAGGAGAAGACACACATACGTACGAGAAAAGTGTAGAGCAACAGAGCAAGAGAGAGATCAAAGAGATAATTATGATGATAGTTCAGTGGTTGACCGGAGCAAGGGTTCAGGCAGATAAACCGTAACGATCAAGAGGCATCACTGTGCGACCACTACAAGTAATGGTTGTGCCTGCTGATGTTGTACTGGAAGCTGAAGCAGCTGAGGGTGTAGAAGAGGTTGTAGAGGATGTGGGACTTTGTTGGTGGTCGTGGTGGAGGTGGTGTGTTATATGTAGCGGACGAGCCAAGCTCGTATACATCAATCCACTTGGAATATGCATCGACTAGGACAAGAAACTGCTGTGACTCAAACTCGGCAAAATCGAGATGCACGCGCTTGAATGCGGCATCAGAGAGGTTCTGCTACACGGAACTACGTACCAAACATTGGTAGGGTATTCAGTCACTTGACCAGTGAATTTTTATTCGTTGGAATTTTGGCGCCAACTTTTTTTGTTTGAAAGGTATGTTTGTCACGTGTTCACTCGCCAAGTTTCAGCTCAAAATTACGAGCCACGATCGAGCAGTGGTTGATCGAAATATGCACCCTTTCACACAAGGAAGCCATACAACTTGCATACAAGTCATGGCACACAGGCCAATTCTGGCCTTCCATAGCAACCAGCATGGCAGCCAAAAACATTGTGGGATTGCTTTGATTTTTTGATGAGAACAAGCCAACACGAGGTTTGGTACTGAACTATTGTAATTGTTTTGTTTCAACTGCCAAAATTTGAAATACACCCCTAGCAACCACCATAGCAACCATATTGAAATACATGAAATTTGTTGTTTCTATCACTTGAAACGAGATGCAAACCAAAATACAGCACTTGTGGGGGTAAATCTCTGGTTCATTAGTTGAAACCACACACAATAGTCAACATGAACAGGAAACTTGGCAATGCACATCGACACTTAACGTGACATAATATAAAGATCACTCCGAAGAATATCCTGCAACATAAAAAAAGTCGTGTCACAAGTTGGCGGCAACTTTCTCTACAGGCACCAACACTTAGTATCAGCATTCAGCAAGTACTGTACAAAAACAGCAAGCAAACAAGTACATGTAGAGATCGGCTATAACTATAAGGTTGACGGTTATAGTAATATACCAAGTATACTGATAACAGCCACAGGGGCGTCGCACACGGTGCGGTCACTACGGTATTGACCATTTTTTGCCCCAGATACCCCGTGAGTCAACAAAATACGCTGATCCGGGATCTAAAATTCCAAAGTTTTCGGCTCAGCCACCACTCCCCCACAAGTAAATTGTACTTCAGATGGCTGACCGTACCACACTAAAATACCTTCCGACGCCCCTGAGCTACGAAAATCAAAATCAAAAGTACCGTTTAGTACGGTTTACATTGATACTGGACCGCGTACCGGCTATAACAATAATCATGATAATCAGCTCTAGTAATATAATTATCGGCTGTAATGATCAAACTCTGCCATCAAACCAGCCAATCGCACACATTCTGCACACATTCTGCACACATTCTGCACACACTCTGCACACATTCTGCACACATTCTGCACATTCTGGATCGCTTCTAGTAATACTTCCAGTGATCTCCTGAACAGTTAAAACACAGTCATTACGAAAAGAGAAGAAAGAAGGCTACAATCAAGCACAATACACTGCCATCCTAGCCAACACTCCATGCCAATCACAACATGAAACTGCACACTGAAGTAAGTCATGTGAAGAATTGCTGATCGGTCCAACACATATTATTATTATCAACTGCAATTACACTGTAAGCACAGGGGAAAGAACAGCGCATGGAAAAGAGATCAAGAAAGGTATTAAACACATTGGAAGTGCATGGAAAAGAGATCAAGAAAGGTATTAAACACATTGGAAGCACTGCCTGCAGCACACAAGGGCACGGCTTCACCTACCTATGACTCTGCCACATCTGTAGTTGGCTGAGCATTTGGGGCCATGCCGATAACCTCCTTCAGGTCGGCAACTAGCTTGGCTATTGGCAAGTTGCGGCCACCTGAAGTCAAGTAGTACAGCTGCTTGTCGGCATTCTGCAGCAACACAAACTTGTGAAATAGAAGCTGCACGCGCAACGCTGCTCGTTGGCCTGTCACAGAGGGGATTTTCTGCACCTCCTCGCTTTTAAATTAATCACGTAGTCGTATTCAGCGAGAATCACGACCCAGCGTTGCAGACAGGATGCTGACGTCTTACTTAGAGACTCATGCTCGCTGAAGATCTTAATCAGAGGCTTATGATCCATACGGAGAATGAACTTGCGACCATAGAGATACTGATGCAAGCGACGAACAGCAAACACGATAGCCAACACCTCTCGCTCGATCTGACTGTAGTGACTCTCTGCTTTGGACAAAGCACACGAAATATAGACAACTGGCCGAACAGACTGGTCCGGCGTAACATGCAGGAGAGCTGCACCAATACCAGCAGGGGATGTATCACACTCTAAGATCGATGGTAGTGTAACATCTTAATGAGCCATAGCTGGATCATTTTACCAAACTAGCTCGTTCACCCCCGTGCAACCACACATCAGCGCAACCTGAACAACCATTATAGGTTACACGAGTAGATTATCATTATGAATTGGGAGAGCAAAATATGAATTACAAGTCGAAGCAAACCTCCATGACCAACAACCTCTAAAGCCAAAAAGATCCGCCGAAAATACAAGCTGGCATGCCTGCATGCATGCACGTACAAAGTCATCATACAAGATGTACAACGCTAGCGTATACTACTGATGTACAGAAACACGTGAACAGTCCGCAACAGACCAAGATTCAAAAGATAACGATTCAAAAGTCCGTCACTACGCAAATAAATTACTTGAACGAAGAGAACATTGATGAAGCGTAATTATTACTAAAACGGAAAGTACTGCGAAGCAGTTGTACAGTTCAGAAATACATTGAAGTACAAAGAGGAATTAGACATCGAATCAACTGAGTAACATGTTGTCAAAACAAACAGTTCTTCGTCTTCAATCAGCAGCTAAGAACTCCTTTACCTTGGCAAACGCTGACTGACATGCATCCGTCCAATTAAACACTACACCCTTCTTTAACAACTCGTTCAGGGGTCGCAGCAAAGAGGAGCAATTGGGGATGAATCAACCAAAGAAATTCACGAGCCCCAGAAACGAACGCAAAGTGGACACATCATGCAGGCCTCGGGGAGTTCCGAATACTCAAACTTTATCCTGACTGGGCTGTAGGCCAGCCTTCGACAGTGTAAACTCAAGATAACTAACCTGCGGCTACCAATCTCACATTTCTCACATCGTAGTCGTAGCCCTGTCTGAGCGAAACAACGGAGGACTGCTCGTAGACACTCGTCGTGTTGTTGCTTGCTGGGTATTGCCACTGATGAGGATATCGTCGAAATAGACAACCGTCTAAACCTTGTAGAACCTGCTCCATAGCCTTCTGCCAAATTGACGGAGCTGAGCTGACCCCGAAGGGTGCTCTCGTGAAGTCGGGGGGGGGGGGGGGGGGGGGGGGTTCTTTTGCTATGTACATGAACGTGATCTCAACTTTGATTTTCCATTCGTTGAATAGTTGTATGATAGTGATTTGGTGACTTTTGCCCAAATCTACACCTTGTGCGATGTGTGCGTGTGTGTGCGCATGTGTGTGTGGTTGTGTGTACACACGTGTATGTACGTGTGTGTATGTGCATGTGTGTGTGTGTGCGTGTGTGTGTGTGTGTGTGTGTGTGTGTGTGTGTGTGTGTGTGTGTGTGTGTGTGTATGTGTGTGTGTGTGTGTGTGTGTGTGTGTTTCCCGTTCTGCAGTTCTATTCCATGTTTACTACAAGCTGTTCAAAGGATACAAGAAAATTTTGGCTGTGTCCGCTGTCGGAATTTTGCGTGGGTAAGGACAAACCGTTACTTTTTTCTGCTTTTCTGGTCTGCTACATGTACCCTGGCACTTGTTTCCTTATGCTGGCAATCTGTCTTGTGCACCTTGTCCTCGTACTGCGGCCCGGTGAGCCATTTTGTGTGGGGTTATCATTCCAATGCCATGCAAAGTCTGGGGACTCGGGGAAGGGGTGGAGGTAGGGGTGGTCGTTGGGTGGTTCAGTAGCCAATGGGACGTATGCACCAATTTCCCGCCATTCGGTTTTCCGGGCAAGCCCACTACAACCGCACACACCTTGATACCAGCTCTGCATATAAGGTCATACTCATGAATGTACTAGAATGGGTTGTACCTGCCAAGTATTTGCCCCACAAAAAGGTGACGGCCATCTTCGATGCATACCTCCCATGGGGTCAATTTTCCAATTTTCCAAGCTTCCTTTTGAATCTCTCTCTCCCCTCTCCCAGGGAGGTCCACCTGATCAGTTTCTAGCAGTGAGCAAGTGTAATGTTGATGAATGAAATCCCAGCGTTGAATCAGCTCCAGACCTTCGAACACAGAGCTGTGAGCTGGTGCAGGACGCTTTTACTAGAGGCCATACACGTAAACTTCTATGCTCATAACTTAGGAACGGTATGTGGTAACTTGCTGAAACTTGGCACACAGCGCCTACATACATGAGGCCTCACTCTGAAATCCACAGCGCCACAAATACCAATAGCAATTCGAGACAGCAGCCAAGAGCAGAAAAGGAAATCGGCGATTTTACGAACCTGGATATTTTTCAGGAAAATTCACAGGAAAACATGAGCTAATTCTACTATATTCAGGATGGGCATAAAACATGATAAAAGTGATAGTGGTTTAGGTGTCAAACCTAAAAAATCGTGAAATATGGAAGATGACTCGAAAATGTCCACTGCAATGAACATGACCGCACACGGTCAATAATCGTCACTACTTCAATGTCACTTTTTAGTGCATTCAGTTCACTCTACATGAGAAAACCAGAGGTTCCGCACCTGCGGCACAAAGAATACTACAAAATACATAATTATAAGGTTTATTGAAGTATCTCAACTACTAAAAAAGTTATGCCCAGAAAACGGCCGGTGGGTCTCTGAAAACAAGTAAAGAAAAGTGTGTCCAAATCCCACCTAATATGCACCGGCATGATATGTAACACCTTCTTGCTGCTCTGCAGCTCAGCTGCATCACGAAACCCCTTCTTCTCTGCTCGCCTGACCTTCCTGGATTTTTGCTCATCACTTGAGGACTTCCTTGACCTATGATAGGTCTTCTGCCTGTCAAGTTGAGCCAAAGCTGAAGCAGTGAATGTTCCGGTTCCGCAACCCATCTTCTCCAGTACACACTCAAGCTAGTTGTAGCCGTCGTTGAACACAATAACAGCCAGATATACGGCTGTTTCAACAACTTTTGCACTGCAAAATGTTCCTTTGGGGCACATCTGCCAAATCAGGCCATTTAGGGCTTCATTGGCGTTCTGCGTCGCTCCGCGAGTGCAGCGCTCGAGCAAACTCTTGTCAGTCAGGCGAACATAAACTGGCTTCACAGCCTCCTTGACAGCAGGAGGAATATTCTTGCTGTGGGAGAATGGAGTTCCTGTCGCTTCTGCTTTTCGCCACTTCCACCAGGAGTCTACTCCAGTGGGGCAGAACTCATGCTTCGGAGAGTCGTCCGTTGAGAAAGTGTGGCGATAAGACGTCCGTATTGCCCGGGCCATATATTATACCTCCCTTCCTTTTCTTCTTTTGTTAATGTTATTTTCCGTGGTTGGATTCACCCTCCCTTTCTTGTATTGGCTATGTATTATTATGTGCCATGAAGTGGAGACGATAAATAAATAAATAAATATCAGTAACTGATTCACTATGACCTCTCACAGCAATGCCATAGAAGTTCTGAAGTGAATCAATTAGTGAATCTGTGAGCCTCCCTTTCCCTCCAATGCCCTTGTTATCTGAGAGTTTCTGGGATCCCATGCGTGTCTTCAGATCTCTCAAATTCTTGCCAACACGTTTCTGAACGTGACCGACACACTCTTCTTTCCTGATCTCGACGGTTCCTTATACCTTTTGACTCCTTGACAGCTGTGAACGCCTTGCTATCACCGTCTCCAATGTAGGTTGTATATCGTAGGTTGTGCTTCGCAACGGACCTGCTGCAGATAATATATGCAGCTTCAGCTTCCATGCTAGGAGATAAGACAGTAGTGCTTGCTTGGCATTTCACTTTGTGCTCACATACCCATACATTGTACTCATCTGCAGACACTTTCCCTTTCTTTTTCCTGGTCAACCACTTGCTGCACAATGAGCAAAACTTGGATCTCACTTCCACATCAATCACCTTCGTGCTGTCCCGGGCAATGGCAGTCTGAACACCGCACAGTGAGCTGTAGCCTCCCTTCATCTACGTTCCATCCATGGAAACAGCAATATCCACTGGTTCCGAGTCTCCGCCATTGGCAGCTAAATTCTGCCCTGCTGCTGCCATACTGCTTTCTGCCACTTCCTTGGCTGCCATCAGTTGGTCTCTGTGTATCGAGAAACGACTGTCAGATACTGGAGCTGGTATGTCCAGTACACCACAACTCTTATGCAGCGCTTGCCGTCCCCTGCCAGTTGCTCGCATTGCGAGGACGCTCCGCCTGTTGATGTTTTTTTTTTTTTTTTTTTTTTTTTTTTTTACTATTGAACACTCACTGCGTGATGAACTGAAATGAGGAGAAGAACTCGACACAATGGTACATATCCAGCAGGACGGAGTGGGTGGGACCTGTGAAGCTCAGCCGACCAAGGGTCTCGGCATCACAGCTGCACATGTGCACCAAAGGAAACAAAATGGGGAGTGGAAGGGCGGGGAGGGGAGCAGGAGAGCAAGAACTCTAAGGGTAGGAAAGAGAGGAGGGGGATGTCTTAAAACTTCTTCTTTTCTGGTCTCTGCCCCATGGGCAGAGATGTTTCAGCGTCACAGTCCTCACATACAAGTAGGAACAAGACCACTTCGCGTCGTTTCCTCCAGTGTCAACACACCAACTGTGCACGAAGAGCACACACAGCTCTTTGCTATCAACGACTGCAAGCAGGATAAGCTAACAATTCTGTTCCCAGAAGTTCTCTCGTCACCATCATTGTCTAGATCCAAGTCGTCACCATCATCACCATCACCATCCTCGTCCTCTACGGACCATTCACTGCCAGAACTATCATCTAAACACTGTTGAGCAAGAACCGGAGGAAGATATTCAGCAGCACTCGAACTTGAGTCGTCAGGCAAGGCCTGCAATGTCGCTGCAGTGTCGGGTACGAATTGGTTGCCCTGAAACAATCGTTTCGTACTTTTTTTACTGGCATAACCTTTTTCTCTTGTTGCCCATGATGACTTGTGAAAGCTTTGGACAATAAGATCTACAGCAGCAATGCTTCCTTGTACTGCCACGGTGACATCGTCGACAGCGTTCTTCTCCACAACAATAAAAAAAGCCCAAATTCATGATTATCACAAAAAACTGCACTTTTCGCAAAAAATGGTCTCGTCGCGTCCGCGACTGAAATCTGACATCATGAAGACGGTCACTGTGTAAGGGGCCGTCCGTAATTATCGAACGTTTTTCACCAAACGAATTATTTTAGTTTAGACCCAACCCCTCCCTCCCTCCCCCTCAGAACGTAAAAAAGTTTGACATCTGCATGCATAATACAACAAAAGTTGCAAGTGTGTAACTGCTCCTATGGGCATGCACATGTATCAATGTTTTCTGAAACGAAATTGGTCAACCCCCTCCCACCCCATAACGAAATTATTTCGTTTTGTGAAAAAAGTTCGATAATTATGGACGACCCCTAACTGTGCGCATTTGGTGCAATTTTGGTGGAGAAATACGCATGTTTGGCCAACTTGCCAGGATTTCCCCGAATCCTTAAAGTTTACAATTGTCTTTTTCAAATTTGCATCTGCATGGTCTTTCAAGTGGCTAGATCTCAGTTATGGAAGGCCCGATCTTGTTCACATTTTCTCCAGTGTTACTTCAGCATATGAAGAAGCAGGCAGAACGATAAAATTTGGAAATCAAGCAAGTTGATATTTTGGGAAAATTTGGGTGATATGCCACGTTAGGGGTCGTCCATAATTATCGAACTTTTTTCACGAAACGAAATAATTTCGTTATGGGGTGGGAGGGGGTTGACCAATTTCTTTTCAGAAAACTTCGATACATGTACATGGCCATAGGAGCAGTGACACACTTGCGACTTTTGTTGTATAATTATGTCAACAATGTTTACGTTCTGAGGGGGAGGGAGGGAGGAGTTGGGTCTAAACTAAAATAATTCGCTTGGTGAAAAAAGTTCGATATTTACGGGCTTAGGCAGCTCAGTACTAAACAATTGGTCCGAAGATTGTTTAGTTTTGCTTTTTCCACACCTTTCTACATATGCACTGAGTGGAAAAGCCCCGTTCTTTGGGGAGGGGGGCAAAGTGTTGACAGTATACTGCCTACAAAATATACGATTTTGCGATTTTGTGCAGTTTTTAGTAGTGTTGAAACGAGCGTATCTATAACAAACGAGCGATCAGTTCCACTAACGAGCAACCTATCGAGCGAGCTAACGAGTTTCATTGATGTGGCAAATATGATTTTTTGAATATTTTTTTTCTATTAAAGTTCGATTTTTACAGATGGTTCATATTATCACCGCCGGCATTTGGGGTTGCTGCTGCTTCACTTCGGACTGTTGTTTGGTGTCGAGATGTCTTTTCAGCGCCGTCTTTGAGCAGCCTTTGAAAGAAAAGACCGTTTTGCAAAGATGGGAAGTAGCCCTGGTCTTCGCTGCATCGCGGGAGAAAACTTCCAAACGACTGAGCGTAACTTTCACTCGAATGGAGGTGACCGAAGCATATCCTGCGACAGGTCAGCAGATGCGGAACAAGACATCAGTAGAGTCCACCAAAGCTGCAACGACAACTGAAACAACTCAAAGTGTCGTGCAGGCATACAGTCACTGCAACTGCGAGTGATTTTCACTTTGCGCGGGACTGGACTCTCGATCGATCAGGGAGTCGTAAAATATTTTACGACTCCCCGGTCGACATGTACTGCCATGTGTACGGAGTACGGTGTACGGTGTTCGTTAGTGCAAACGAGCTGGCCGCACAAACGAGCCGAGTTTCTGGCGAGCGAGCGAACGAGTATCCGGTGAGATCGTTTCAACACTAGTTTTTAGCACACATCTCTTCAGGAAGTATAGAATGCTTTATTGAGTCTTTCTTGACGCTCTTCTTCCTCCAGGGAAATCCCTGGAACAAAACAGGAGCATTGGACAAGCAGTACAAGCCTTGAATTCAACAATTCAGTTTTGAAAGCTTTTGCGGATTGCACAATTTACGTCAAATTTGTTTACAAGGAAAACATTGTGACATGGGAAATTGTGGGCACAAGTTTTGCGATTGAGTCCACCAACTAAGCCAGATTTTGAACAGTCGGTTTTGTGCTAGATTGTGCACGTCTGACTGTTCAAAATGCAGCCCCATCTTCACATGTCACTGCGCGTGTATGAAAAGAGAAAGGACCTGACGGAAATGCTCCGGTACTAGCTGCTGTGTGTGAGCGAGATTGACCAAACATGAAAAAAGAGAACGATCTGTAGTAGACACACACATACCTGCCAACCTGTGCAAACCTGAGATCGGGACAATGACATACCTAGGTATGAAAATGTATACAAAGGTAGCCGTGAGGCATGCCACAAATGCACTTTTGGGTGCCTGTTGCCGCCCTCGATATCGGGACGGCCCGCGCCAAATCGGGATGGTAGGCAGGTTTGCATACACGGCTAGCTAGTGTATGCGGCGAGTCGTACACTGTAGCTACGCTGAGCTAGTGTATGCGGTGAGTCGTACACTGTAGCTACGCTGCGCTAGTGTATGCGGCGAGTCGTACACTGTCTAGCTACGCTGTTCGCTGCATGCCCATGCACGGACTGGAGAACATCAGAACACAGCGCGTCCGGATCTCGGGCCTTGGTGACCTGATGCACAGAAAGATGCGCGGAAGACCAGTTTTTGACTCTGTATCGAGCTACATTTTAATAAAAGCACGATATGCAGATACAAGTGTGTGTTGTGTGTATGTGTGCATGATGGGCGTCAAATGGTTAATGGTGTGTGTATGTGATCATGTGTGCATGTGTACATGTGCATGTGTGCCTGTGTGCATGTGTCCATATCAGGATACCAGTGGGCCTTGCATTAGTCGGTCTATTCAAGCTGAGCGGTGAGGAGGAGAGACGGCGACGGGCACGTGATGAGGCCAGATATCAGCACTACCTCAGGGATGTGCTTCTGTACGTGACTTTCAGTACATTATGGCATGTTTGTGTGTGTGTGTGTGTGTGTGTGTGTGTGTGTGTGTGTGTGTGTGTGTGTGTGTGTGTGCGCGTGTGCATGTGCATATTATGTTCCGTGCTTGTAGTTAGTAGTGCCATTGTTGTTGGTCTTGCACACATTCTCTTTTTACAGATGGCGCAATGAGGGTCTTCTCATGGAGGAGTCAGTGGAGCGCCGCAGCTACTACTACAAATACGTACTTGCTCCGCGGCCTTGGCACACTGCAGAGCAAAATGCTGAAACGCTCAAGCACCGCAGGTTGCCGCCCATCGATCCTGAGTATGAGCAATACCTATGGTATGAACGGCGAGCAGTGCGGAATCGTAGGATCAAAATTCAAGAGATGAAGGACACGCAGGGTGGTGGTATTCTGCCAATATGGCAACGGAGAGTTCAGTCGGACGATGCGTGACTGGGTGTCTGGAAATCCGGGATTCTATTCATCAAGGTTTGTGGATGCGCCTCAGCTCTCTAGGCGCCTGTGGTTGCTGAGGGTGGTTAGTTTCACTGGCTGTTCTGTCGCTGTGTGACATGAGAACCCGCCACCATGCTGCGAATAATCCTCTTCCTGCTGGTGCGGCTGCTGCTGCTGCTATCAAAATGCAATGCACACAAGTGATGAGTGATGACCAGTCTACTAGACCGTAGCAAGGAATCTAGTGGTCGGTATTCACACACTGACAAATCTGGACAGGGCCCCACCTTGCTGGCCAGGTGTAGCAACCTCGAGCAGGAGCAAACGCCTTGGTAGACTCCTGCTGACATTGCAGAGCCCCAAGTGAAGACTTGGTGTGACTGCTGCTACCAGCTAGCTGTTCTAGCGATGCTATGCTAGTGATGCTACGCTAGCGATGCTACGCTAGCGATGCTACGCTAGCGATGCTACGCTAGCGATGCTACGCTAGCGATGCTACACTAGCGATGCTACGCTAGCGATGCTACGCTAGCGATGCTACACTCAAGCATTCAGCACTGAGGTCCTTCCTGCTTGTTGTGCTCATAGCTGTCAGGTTAGCAACTCATACCTCACTGCTTCCTACTGGGCTGAGGTGTAGCGCGAAGGTGTAAATCCTGAACAAGATGATATCGGCAGAGTTTCAAAATGAAAGTTAAAAATCAGAAAAGATCAAACTTAATTTGTGTCCTGTGCCAGCATGCAACTACTCGTACCCGTACTCTACATCGTGACGGTCTCTACGGTCTACACCGTAGTGTCACTGTGTGTTAAGTCAGCCCTGGACCGCTCGAATGAAAGGCATAGCAACACAGGGGCCGAGGAGGAGTCATGGTAAACCGAAACCAAGCTAACATTGCAACACGTGTACGTTTATCGTATTTGCATCTCAGACACTCTTGGCTGGTTTGGCCCTGAAAAGGAATCCAGTGTGATCGTGTTGGTAGCTCACCACCCATTACCATGATGACAGGGTGTCCGGTAAGTTCACGACAAGCGTGTGCACAGACATGTGTACAACAGTGGTGCGACTTTCAACGGTTCGTTAGAGTTTGTAGCACATCCGCCGGATGTATGTGTGCTTGCACCCAGCCTGCTTTATACTACGGTGCAAGATCTCAAGTAGGTAGGGTATGGGAGTAGTCACTGAAGCCATGCCGCGGTGCCAATGCATGTACTGAGTCTGTGTATGCCATACTAGTACATGTTACCATAGTAACTGGGAGGTGCTGCCCGCCGCCCTGTGTTGACTTGGACAGGGGAACCGGCACTGATGCCATAGAGGCATAGACGTACACCAATTTGTGCAACGGCCGGTGCTTAGGGCACTACTTGTTGCCAGCTTGTCTTCGCCCTGTCTCCCTGCACATGACTCCAAATAAGTCTCTTGTCTTCGCCCTGTCTCTCCGCACATGACTCCAAACCAGTCTCTGAAGAATGAATGGTGTAATCAGGTACCGTCGTAGCTGGCAGTAATAATATTTTATTGTAAAAAACAATACCAGAAAGAATATTTTACAAGGTGAAATGTGGTCAAGTACTGTCATGCAGCAGGGAGAATTTCAGCATCAGCATAGCTTGTTAGGCAGAAGAGGACCGGATCTGACACCATTTCAGCATCCACATAACTTGATAATTAGAACTGGTGTTTATTCCAGTGGGAGCATAGGAAAGTGTTGATAAGTAGAACTGGTGTTTATTCCAGTGGGAGCATAGGAAAGTGTTTGTGGCTGCGGTCGTGTCAACGCTATTCAAATTTATAAATACAAGTGCTGTATTCGTGTAATTACAGCTGAATTTTATGTGAGCCGAGCATACACCTTGGCGGGTGATACACCTTGGCAGGTGAGAAGCCAGCAAAGTATCCGTTTGTATAGTGTAGAGCTTCACATCAGGCTTGCTCGGCGGCGATGTTATTTCCATGGCCGCCCGGGAGTGCCACGAGAAACCTAGTGCATGCCGCGGCTGTGCGAATACAATTGTGAAGTATGGGTTGTATGAAATCGGTGTGTGTATGTGTGTGTGTGTGTGTGTGTGTGTGTGTGTGTGTGTGTGTGTGTGTATTTCAATTGCTGCCGTGCGTTACTGCTCTTCTGCCCTGAAATGTGTCGAGATCTCAAGAATTTGTTTACATGTGCAGCACTGCGTCTGTAGCATGAAAAGTATGGGGTAGGAGCTGAAAGAGAGAATGTCCCGGAAATTCTGAATTGGAAAGGGGAAATATCGTAAAGAAGACTATAGTCTCAGAAACGCAGAGAAGCACATCCCTGTTGTGGGTGGCCAATAGATAGAAGACTTGCTGTGTTTGTAGAATTGACTACTGAAGTAGTTGAGGGCTATGTCAGGGTACTAGGTAGTATTCTTGCATGGGCCAGCGGTGTACACGCGCAGTTTCCTGGCATGGAGGCAAGCTTGCCGGTGCATTTCACAGCTGTTGCGATACTCTCTGCCATCAGTTCCACAGACCTGTAGCCCAACACCGTACATAGAAACAGTGTACATAATTACTCAGTCAAATACCTAGAACCTACAATGACTCACTTTGTGTATGTTGTTGACACTATCAGAGCATACAGCCGAGTTTCCTTTACACCAAGTCAGTGCTGCTTTTCTTTGATCTATGATCAACTGAACGTACCAATTGGGAGCATGTTGAATTGCTCATGCAGGTACACAGTCAGATTTCTATATATTTGCGATGAGTAAGTCTGCGGCGTTTTCTCACTTAGCTTTATAGCTCCTAGTAGGCTACCAATATTCCATGAAGTGGCCAGATGGGGTACTTGACCAGAAATGGACCTTATTGGACGAAAATCCTCGTTTTCACTCACGAATTGGTTGGATCAACTATTTTGAAAGGCGGTCTGGCCATCGGCGGGCCGGGTGCTACGGCGCTGAATTTCTCGTCCCTTGTATGGCCCCTGGAGGTGTGTGTAGTTATGTGCATCAGTGCACTGGTAGTCTGGTACTTGGTAGCGAGTCACCCTGGACTTAAAGTCTTTCCTCAAACTGGTACGGTGTGTGGAGGCTCAAACCTACGTGTAGCCTTTTTGTAGGGCTCTTTTTGATTCTGGATCAGGTACAATGTACAATGTAGATGCTCTCCGCGCACTGTACTGAAGCACAATACTATGCTTTAGGAAGGGGGAGTGAACAAAGGTTGGTTGCAGAGCTATACTGAAACATGAGGGGAAGGAGGTAAAGTGCATGTACCCACTTGGAGGAGTCAGTTCCGTGTTAGGGTTTTGAATTCTTTATTCTCACGATGGCACCATCGCCAATAAGAGATTGCCAGGTTGTTGATTCGTCACGGTCCAATTGTTACACCTGAAACCAAGAATGGCACAGCCAGATTTCTTCCTGGTTGGAGTCAGTCACTTGATTGTGAAGGAACGTGGATTGGAACAGACCTACTTCAAATTGTAATTCGATTGTGCGTTCTGCCACCTTGTCGATTGTCAGTTTCTGTGTTACATTGCGACTGTTGCCAACTCCTGCGCTTACCTTGCTCTCTGCCGTCTTGCACTTCAGTCGACAGCGACACGTCGGTCCCGAGCCATCCAGTTTGGGAACGCAAAGCTGGCCCTTGCCACACCTCACACCTGTACACACACCTGCAACTGCACAATGGACATCACACAGACACACACGCAGGACAGTCAGTACACAGACTCGGTGGTAAGGTGAGTGAGCAGAAGGCAACATGCTAGGGGCAGTTCTGCTTATAGGCACAGGCCAGGCTATGTAGTAGCATCGACACCAGGCTCTTCCCCCACCATCTGTTACCTGCCATGGTAACTGTGTAGCAATCATAGGAAGTACATTTGTATCAACAACTAACATGATCCGGGTCTTGAGAGAAAGAGTGTTGATGTGAGCGTCGTGTTCACAGCAGTCAGCCGTTGAAAGCAGTCGCCAATCGACAGCCTGTGCTGAGGGGATACAGGAAATGCAGTTTGTGTCACTCTCTGCATCCCTTTGTTGTTTTGACATCCTGTCGGAATGTGAGGCGTGTCGGTGTGTGGACCTGCATGCATGCCTGCCACCTGTTGTCCCATCCCCAGCTCTTGTCACGTTTTGAAATAAATTGACGACTGGCAGAAGGTCTGAATGCATAATGACTATGTGGTCACAATCGTTGTTACGAATGCGGAGTAAATCAACTTGTGTTGCCGTCGGTGTAGGAGTGGCCATGCACGCACGCATCATACCACTCACTGTGACTCAGGAACTCGCAGTCGAAGGTTTACTATACATGTACGTACATGCACAAGTGCTTTTAGAAGTAACGATTTACGCCATGTGCTTCCGAATACATGTAGTGATGTACATGTATGTTTTGCGATGTGATAACTGCTGATTACTAGTATCCCTAGTATCCCTTCATTCCGTGGTCAGTTGGAAATAATTGGACATCGAACGATTTCACTCTTTCTTGTTATCTGGACGCAAGATGGTGTCAGCTAGTTAAAACTTAAATGTCCACTTGGTGAATCGTACAATGCCCTGTAATTGGCCCTCGGGGCACCCATCACACATACACCCATCACACATACACACTTCACACTACACACTACACACTACACACGAGATGGCCAGAGCTAGAGCCTAGTGACGACTGCAGTTGGCAGTAAGCAGGTAACCAAAATAGCCCGTTCCTCAATCACCCCTAATGATGTACTTTACCAGTCGACATGGAATGTCGCTCACGCACTAAAATCTGAAGTCATGGCCTGGGATAAACAACACCACGAATGGCTTAGGTGGCAGGGAGATGTTTTCTTCCATCACAACTGAAGGGGGCGAGGAAAGGCGAAACATTGGCAAATGGCTAAAGTGCCTCTAGATGCACTTGAACCAAGTGACCACTTTCTTCCCATTTCGCCAAACTTGTGCGACTGCCTGATTAGGTTGGATAACTGGTTCAGAGAGCTTAGAGTAAAGGAACAATCGTGCCAGGATGGTACGTAGGACACGCATGCAGCCCGCGGGATGTGTGTTTCTCACGTCCCAACCAACTGACCGTTACTCCGGCTTGAATTCCTTTCTTAGTTGCTATTGTTGTATTTATGAATATTGACATTGTCATTACGACCTAAGGCATTGTCATTGTTGTTAGTGATAAGCAGCCTCGATAGATATTTGCATATGATCGACCTCGTGTTGGATCGCGGTTAAAAGTATAGTTTAATAAACCCGTATTAGCAGTATGCAAGTTTATTAGTTTAATAAGGAAAGGCAACACATGCAGAGTATCATGACCTTGTGAAGTACAGTGTAGTTCTGTAAAGTACTTCCTACTTAGCTGCAGTGTGAATCTACTTCAAGTATCTCTCTTTCTCTCTCTTTCGCTCAATTTCGCCCTCTTTGTCTTTGTCTTTGAGTGCGTGTGTGTGTGTGTGTGTGTGTGTGTGTGTGTGTGTGTGTGTGTGTGTGTGTGAGAGAGAGAGAGAGAGAGAGAGAGAGAGAGAGAGAGAGAGAGAGAGAGAGAGAGAGAATGAGATAGTCATAGATTCGATATACTCTCTCTCTCTCTCTCTCTCTCTCTCTCTCTCTTTCTCACTCTCTCTCTCTTTCTCACTTGATCTCCCTCCCTCCCTAGCTGCATTCCTAACGATGCCTGGTCGTAGGCTATGATTCCGAGACCTCCGGTCGGATGAGCCTCGCCAACCACATCGGCACATCGCCCCTACTCCCCTTTGTCTTGTTGTCCAGCGTCATTTCAGTTGTCCTCTTCCCCTGATTATTAGTAGGGCTGTGTTTTTTAGTAAAAAAAAAAAAAAAAATAGGACGATGCACTGGTTGTGTATGCAGCGTGCCTACAAGGGGACGTACCTTTCTTCGACCGATTGAACTTGCGGCACTTTGCGCAGCATTGACCGGGCGCGACCTGGTGATATTTGACGCAGAATCTCTGTCGGGGACATTTCACCCCGGGGCAGGAGGACACGGGGCGCTTGCATCTGGGGCAGCAGTGGCCCCTAACACGCTCAAGCTCCGCGCAATCCTGGATGGGATCACACTTGGCAAACAGGCACCTTGCGGAGCTCTCCTCTGCAGAAACATGGGAAGATAATAATAGGAAAGAACAAATTGAGTGAAGCTAATCAGCATCATCTGCCCAAGGCTAGCCGCTAGGAGACGTTTCCAACCAGACTAGTTGCATGGATAATCGTGCACAAGCTGTAAATTCTTTACAGACGACACTCGAAAACGATGAGGCAGCGTTTTGTACTTGTATTTTCAATCATAATGTTCGCTTGGATCCGATCACTCCGATCCACTGTCTGGATATTGTATACTAGTTTAGCCTCGGATCACAGTTCCGCTGATTGTACGTACGTGCATGGCTATCTGTAATCGGATTTTGAACTCGTGCCTATTTCCAGGTAGGTAAGAGTACGGAAATAGACGGCACGATGACAGCTCGAAGAACACCAAGTTGCTGACTAAGGTGGAGGAGAACGTCGGAGCCTTCGATCAGCATGACCTTAAGAGTCTTCTTCTAGCAGACATACAAAGTACGTGAAGCAACATCAGGTACTTGGGTAGTTTCTAAAATCACCTGCCAATCTGGTAAAGACCGAGGGAAAGTTGATATTTTCGTCCGCGATGGTATTCGGGCAAGACTGGGATGAAGTACCCGCCTCAAGAGACTCAACACAATCAATTGTTCAGCGTTCCAACCGAGCTAGATCTCCTCTTCTGCCAAACCATGCACTCGACAGAAAACGCTTTCCAATAGACATTCTGCTACTGTATCAATTCCCGGCGAAGAGCTGATTCTTCCCCTGGAGCAGTTTAGCCAAGGAGTTGGTACTTCAGTCAACTGCACGAGCTAATATCTGACATCGAGTCCTCCGTCGTACAATGAATCTAGGATAATGTGACAGAAGCACACACTGGGTTGTGAGTAGAGGAGCTTCCAAGAGGAGAGGACATAATCTAAAAATACTAGAAGTATTTAGTTGAGCCATGTGACAATGCAACAGGTCGTTGAACTAACAATAGTCCGGTGCAGACAATAGTAAAGGAAAGAAAGGAGAGCTAGACCGAGGTCGGAAGCTGACTAAGTGTTTGCTAACAGCGACTCAGAACCTGCTTTGTAGTGCGCGCGAGAAGTGTCAAGTCCCTACCGCACTCAGTATCCGATTTCACCTCGCTATACCACAACAAGAGCAGCTCATTCGAAGAACTTCAAACATCATCATTCTATGAGGACATCATGCCCCATCATGCCCGAAACTGAGATGTGGTTTTATGTATTATGTGAGCGTCTGTCTGAGTTGTTTAGACACTTCGGAGTGGCGCTGGCGCCCCGGCCTTGTAGACATGAGCATTGTACCATGCAGAACTTCAGGTCAGTACAGTGTGCGAGGAGGACAGTGTGCGAGGAGGACTCGTAGACCCACTGCAGTAGTATAGTTATAGTTGCGAGCACGAATATCGCGGCGATATGCTCCCGCTTTCTTTAATTATTACTTGTCAAGCAACGGAGTCGCGCGTCACGGCAGAGTACAGTCATGTACATGTAGGTAGCCCACTCTCGAGATCTCTACGGAACACGTGGTTTGAAACTGGCAACTAGATTCGCCAGTGTTGAGACTACGTGTATGTCCGATATCTACATGTACATGTACACCTGGCCACATATCATCATCATCAGTATTCTTTTGATCACACCCTTTAATATCACGGAGTATTGAGCAATAGTCGGCCAGCGGCAACAGTGAAGTACATGTACATGTACGACTCGAGAGCATTGTGGTCCCTCCACACAGCAGGACACCGTCATTGAGCGAGTTCCGGAATGTACAGTGCACAGTGTATTGTATTCGTACATGGTCGGCTAGTAGTTCTCCCTGCTGTCCCATCTCTCGGAAAATGTAGAGGAATTCGAAACACCACAAGAGAGGTGTTGTGACGAGGTCGCTCTCTGGCAAGATGGCGCCGCTGGTGAATTACCCCCGTGGCGTATCACAGAGTCGACTGGCCATCAGGTGCTATAGCTGCAAGGCATCAGCCGTTGTGCCATCACTTCCTCACCGCTGGATGAGCTCACGGGAATACTGCCAGTACTACTACATTGTATAGTGGATAACAGCCGCAACCGCGAATCAAGCCACTACCCCAGTCATAGTATTGTGGAGTCTGGAGAAGTGCACAGTGGGTGCACAGTGGGCAATGGTCGCAACCACGAATCAAGCCACTGCCCTATCACAGCACAACATACTGGTACAGTCTATAGTAGTGCATACGGAGTCATTGGACTGCAAATCAGCGAGCGGAAACAATCTAATAGGGGTCCACTGGTCTGAGGAGGAGTTCGGACAGGGTCCATTGAACTGATTGACATTCCTTGATGATTCCAAGATTACCGTCATAGTGCTGTGACTGTAGTAGTGTGTGAGCTTTTCAGCCACACCAAATACAGGCTAAGTAGGAAGGTTGTTGGTTCACAGCTTTAGGCATCCGTCAGATTGGCATTGCAATGAGATGAAGACAAATATCGAAACGATTAATCAGGAAGGGCTCAATTCAGATCTCCTCCTTGTCAAGCCAGCGTGCACGGTACATGGGATTGGTCAATTTCGGTATGCTGATACATGTACATGGAACACATACACTCATAGTCATGCACTGTACATGTAACATTGCGCTTGTTCTTGGTGCTGGCCTTGCTTCCCTGCAATCTACTAGTAATCAGCAGCTGAATTGTGACGGGATACATTCTTCAAGAGCAAGTGTGGTCTCAGAGTGTGGATAATGACAATTAATAATTAACCTGTCACAATGATTAGCTGAGCACGGCCCAACAACTGCTGCATACACAGTTGTGGAAAGTGAGATCGGGGCTCAGAACATCTACATAATGTCATTGTTGCAAGTACGCATGTCCAGGTCACACAAGTGATCATCATCAGGAACATGGAGTTAGGCACTGCCATTGCGCAGTACAGTATGATAATGAGGCGATCAGTGCGGAGAGCGAAGACAATGGAATCAGGGCATGTTTTGCCCAATTCAAAGGGCATCATTACTGAGCAAGGGTTTGCCCCATATTGAACTCTTCAGATGGTTAGCCAACGCTATGGCAATGCATTCCAACCAGCCACCAGTTAATCATGGTCAAGATGCCATCGTTCGCCTCTGCCAACAACTATGCACTTTCCTTGACCAGGGCACTATCTACTAGTATTCGCAACGTCATCCTATGGCATATTCGGTACGTAAACGCCCTCCGCGTGACGGAGAAAGCTTTGTCCAACGATGGCTTGCTTTACCAAAACGATAATCTTCGCTTGAACATGTACATGACCGCTCAAGTACATGCCAGTGTACATGTAGCTACACTCAGTGAAGCAAGTAGAAATTCTTGCTAGTGGCCAGATGTCGATACTGCCGACTTGTAGTGACCAGGTGACTGGCCACAGTTCTCCTGCATATTCTCCACAGCTTCATCTCAATCTGCTACTAGTATTCACCATGGACGGATGGTTCCAAGTAACACGTTAGTTTGCTATTAGTGACGGAGGCGCGCCGCACCGAGTTCCCTGAGAGTCATTCACATAGCGTACGCGTATTGCTGGTACATGTACTGATGGCAAGGGTGTGTTCGAGCTTATCCACCTGTGAAATTGTGGAGGACCATTGCAAGATAACCTTCACTGTTACAGCAGTGCGAGAGCATGCACTCCCAGTAATCCGATTATCAAGACACGTTCAAGTTGCCCGTTTCTAGTTGCATTCACGCTGATTTAGCCTTGTACATGTGACCTCAAGAAACGATAGTGGGAACAGTGAGGAATGTGATATCTCCTTCACGGAAGTAAAAGGACCTAATGGTCCCAGCTAAGGAGTAGGGGGGAGAGCCCTGCTTGCAGTCCCACACAACAAACCCCTATCCATCTGCAGTTTTGTCCAAATATGCACTGAGCTGATGTACATTCTATACACCAGGGCCACAGAACGAGGCTTCCTTGGATTGAGGAGAGGAGTGGATTGGACCACTGCCAAAGATGGCGATGAACGGATGTATCCAAGGCGTGCTAGGCAGGTAGCGAATTCCTCTCGTTCTACCCGTGTACGTCATAGCGGAACTTTGCATCTGCCACCTGTAGTTGCCGAGTTAGTGGCACACTATGATTGGTCGTGCCGCATTCGACAATAAAGTTGATAACATGAACACATAACATGACTACAGGTAGTACATGACGTAAACCCTTTTCACAGCAGCCATTCGCCCAAACTTAATCAAGTTTTCCTAATTCCCTAATTACCAAAATCCAGTTACATATTGTATGTTTACCGCCATTGCCCAACCCCCGTCAGTCAGCAAAACCACAAGCAGCTACCCATCGGCAAACCGTCGACAGAGACCAGGTGCTCGAGCCAGAAGTAGCTAAAGCAAAGATGTTTTGTTTGTTTATGTAGCTAGAGGCTGCCACAGGACTACAGAGCAAGCAGAAGCGTAAAACAAGGTCTCTGACTCTGTAAGACTGTATAGCATATCCGAAATTCAATTGAATGTGCTGGGTCAGCATCATGGTGAGTGTGACGTGGAAGATGACATCATGCGTACAGTTGTGTGCGTAACCCTCCGCCACGCAATGACCCAAAAGTCGACACCACTCTCATAAGTGGCGACGTACCTCTCCTGTCTGCGGACGGATCGTTCTACATACCATCTCACGGAAAGCGCAATGAGTGATCCTTTGCTGATGTACATATATGTGTCTACGGATGTGAGCGTGCAGTCATGCTCCATCTACACGAGAATCCTACAGCAGTGCTTGTCTGGCGGTACATGTCGATCCAGGGTTAGGGCAACAAACTAATTACTTACAATTTTATGCGTAGTATCGTCAACGTGGGTAGCAAGGAGAACGAAAGTGACGCATATTTACTGTAACTGTTGCATTTGCATATGCTGCGGGCTTTGCTTATACTCGAGTGATGGAGCGTTCACTGCTTGCAAGTCCCCGAATGCCCTCCAGTCCTGAGCGGTTTCGCAAGATGATGAGAAATTGACATGCGGCCCCTACACGGCCCCTTTGTGCTCCATCAGCGTATACCGTCATGGACCCCCATCGCTTTGTGTTCCAATCGGGTAATGAAGAGCGGCGTGTGATGGTGGCGACATTAGCAATAGTCCATGATCTCTTGACAATAGCAGCAGTACATAACCAGCGAACACTTGATGAATACTACGCGACATCACTATCTCCACGGTGATCAGGTGATACTACTGGTCAATGATCGGAATCTTTGCTAGGCGGTCACGTACAATGTATTTTGACTGCTTTCGACGTGTATGGGTTTAGACAGTTCAACTCTAGTTCTGTAGCAGTGAAACTGACTGACTGACTTTCCCAGGCACATCACTGTCAAGTGGACGTTCTTTGCGGAAAGTCCAAGGTGTGAAGAACCGATAGAGGGCTTCCACGTGTCTTTCTGTTTGTACTTGTGGTCGAGGAATCTGCACTATTGGTCGGGGCCACATTCTGCATAGTGAGAAATAGAACGTGGGCGAATCATATCCTGCACGATTTACCTTGACCATACAGCCAAACCTTTATAGCTTACTATCTGTAGAACATGGTCAAGAGCCCCCCGCAACTCTTTCCTATCCGCCCAACACGTCGCTGAATACTTGACCGGCAGCACGGCTTAGCACGGGTCTGGTAACACTTCGGCCTGAGATATCACCAGTGTTACCTCACTAATTCGATATACATACACGTACACGTATATCCACCGTTGGATATCCAAAGCATGGTGGTTAGGTGGTTAACATCAGCTGCAACACACAGACTGCGAGCTGGCCGCAATGGTGACCAATCCGGAATCCGCCAAGATGGACGCAATAATTCTTAAAAGACATGCAGAGGGTCACATAACTTCACAGACGCTCAAGCTCATTCCTCCTATTCACTCATCGCAAAGCCAAAGTCTCGACAGTCTAGTGTACCCTTCGCCACGCGTCTCGTCACCTTGCCAAGCACAAGAAACAGGTGGAGGATGAGAGTCACAGCAGCCAACACGCCCAACTCATTAACTACTAGTGTTGAGTAAGCGGCATATGTAGCTACGTAGGGATGACCGGAAATGTGCTACAAGAAACAGGAATTCCGTGCAACATTCTCCGCTCCCCGCTGCTAGTACTAGTGCTAGCCCGTTGCCCATGCCGGCCAGATTGCGCGTTGGTACTACCCAGTACTTGAAATAAACGGTCTGAAGTGTGTTTACGGTTTGGTAATGAGGCTCGCTTCACTTCACGAATACATGCATGCTGGCAGCGGTGGGCAGTTCTCCAGGCTGGAACAAGATTGAGACTCTCTCTCACGTCACGTCACATCACATAACGGTGTCTGTGCATTCTCCAGGGTCTATGTTGTTATGCAAATAAGCTAGTAGAAAACATCATCGCTACCAGCAGACACCTGCTGGAAATATCACTATTAACGCAACGATTCAATGCAAGACTATTTGCGACGAGGTGGAGCCGCTTCAGTCACTGAGTGTGCATAACATCTGCTTTTTCATGCGAGGGGAGCGGACCTAGCTTCATGTAGTCGAGGCAAGGAAGCCTCCTTGATACCTCGCCAACTGGCCATTTTCCAACCATAGACTATAGTATAGTAGGAGTAGTAGTACAGTCAGACCTCGCTTATCCGGTCCTCTTTTATCCGGATCCCTCGCCATCCGGAAGAAAATCGCTGGTTACCGATGTGCAGCATACATTTCGCATACAATATAACTGGACCTCGCGATCCGCATACCGGTGCATGATTTTGTGTACAAACTGGTTGAAATGTGTGCAAATAGCTTCGTCGTATCCGGTTGCACGTGGCTTGCAGAAGTTAGAATCAGGGAGTTGTACAAACCAATGAGGTCCTTGATCTGCTGGATGCATGCACTTGTCATTTTTCTCGCTTGTTTTACATATTGTGCACGCTGGATATACTGCATAGGACCCATCTACATGTATGTACGATGCCACCCCTTTTGATCTACATGTATGTACGATGCCACCCATTTTGATGTGCCACATGCATATACAGTATGTGTGTTCAGTTATCCGGTTCCCTCGCCTATCCGGATATTTTTGTGGAAAACGGGTGTGTGCGGTTAAGCGAGGTCTGACTGTAGCAGTGAATGGAGGGCATTGCATCTCATATCCGCACTTGCCACTGTGCTGAGACTGCTGACTCAGAGGAATAGAGGCGTCCTGCTGGGATGTTACATGACAGGTAGTATAATGCTATTATGAACATGGCCATGTTGTCACCACTTCATGCAAGCCCCATCATCTCAGCAGCCCTACGACTGCGCTTTTCAGGCTTCTTCCGCCACTAGTAAATATGCACGACACTTTCACACTCAGTTTGGCCCAGGCTCAAGCGCCTGTTTCACTTTTGGACCCAGATTGTGCTGCGCGGATACGGAAATAGCGTTGAGCATCATGGCGGGGTGTTACAGCGCTTCGTTACCAGAGGGGAACACAGCACGGCGCACAGGTCCTCAATTGAATTTCAATTCACAATTTCACTGGCTGCCAACTGTTCTGGCATTATTCAATATCTGGCAGGCTGTAGTTTGATACAGATGAACCGCAAGCGCATGCCAGTATGCCAGTAACACTTCTCAATCTGCGACTCTGTCCGTAGGGAATGCTTAGAATTAGCAGTAACTCGGTACACGTACTCTCGTCAAAGGTAGGTTGTGGGTTGGTTGGAGGTAGGTGACCTAACGTTCTGCGTCACTCCTACCATCTACAGCACTACACATTATCTAGAAGCCTACCGACGCCTCCCTGACGTCTCCCTGAAACAGCGGATGCTCGCAACCGCCACTCTAACACAGTGGTGTTAAAACAGAAGTTGGAAATCTTGACGGATAGAGTGGGACAACATTGCCTTCTAGTATAGTAGGAATGTGGGTTACGGTACTCTACGCTACTTTCTCATGGCGACTGCCAACTCTACAATGTACCCCCCCCCCCCCGCAGGAGGAGAGAGTCCACTCATTTGTACATCACCCTGCTGGACATCACCCTGCTGGACGTATTAAGCACATGCATGTCGTTAGCACAGCAATGATAGAATCATGGTGATTCGCTTGAACAGAGATTGGATACCCGGCCTAAGGTGATTCACCACTATGCGTGTACGCTATCAGTCTTGTCCTGTATACATGTATTAGCTAGCTATGGTACATTCTACAGTATAGCTGTAGCATACCTAGGTAGTGCCTCGCCCTCGCCAGACTTGCCTGAAGCCAGTAAACCAGTCACAGTAGTCACCATTTCGCGCTTGATTACTACTTGATTACAGCTAGGACTAATCATGACCGGCACAATGAAACTGCAGTAGCCCGGATATGGATAGCGCATACAATGTACATGTACTTCAGTATCCCCGATAGCACATACTTTCCTCTTTTACATCGTGCGAAGTACTTTTTGTTTTGGTTTTGAAGACCCTGCTCTTTGCCTCTCCACATTGACCTCATTTATGGCACGTCTAAATTGTCTTTTCTTTATTTCCATGCTTCGGAGGTAGCTTATAGACTCTTCACTGTACGATCGCTTAGGAGTTGGATACAAATACAATGCATCGAACCACACACAAGCGCTTCGCCTGTTCACAGGCAAGAGCGACAGGACGCTGATTGAAACAAAATTCTCGGCATAAGTTGGCGCAGGAAGGTTACAAAGGTTCGTCAGCGAGCAATTCTTAGGGTGTCACCTGCCAGAGGAGTTGTCCCTGGTCAACTGGTGTGTGTCATTGGCCAGCTTGTCATTGCTGATCGGTGACCTGTCCTACTTACGCGTGTCAATGCATTGTGTCGACGGTGAGAGCGGAAAACAATGATTGTTTTGTGGTGTATACTACAACATCACACCATTCACTCAGTGGCTAGGCAGGATTTCAGATGTACAATACCTGTACACTGGCGTGGTAATTAGGGTGGCGAAAGGAATCTGTGCTGAATTCTTATTTCTAAATACAGTGTATGCGCGCACTTACCCAGACAAGGTCGACAACACGTCCACTTGTCCATGGGACTGCGGAATGGTGCGCCTAGGACGCATGTGGACGTAGGATCGCATCTAGGAGCACTGGCAGCGCACATTGTGCAGCCGCACGAACAGTTGCCGCTTCCCGCCGCTGCAGTGCTGCCTGCTTCAGTGCCCAGACCAGCTGCAGCGCCGTAGAAGAAAGGTTTTAACCATCCCCGCTGGCGGCAGCCCTCCTCGGAGCCTGGTTGCTGGTTGAGGTGTCGCTGGCACTGGGCACAAGACAGAGATAATCTACTAGTGACCGGTACTGGGTCCCTGCTGCGCTGGTGGTCAAGCATTTGACGCCATTTACTGTTCCCTGCCATGCCTGTACGGTAGACAATAGACATCAAAATATAATTTCAAACTCATCCATAGGCCATACAGCTTACCCATCTGCAGCGAAAATGAAATTGCACAGCAAACACCAGGTACCTAAGAAGATTTGGAGGTGGCACAGAGAAAAGGTGTGAATCTGTGAAGTAACCACATTTAGATGTTTCACATGCCCATATACAGGAAGTAGTTAGCGCAAATCACCTGACTGGAGTTGAAGCATAGCCAGCAGAATGGTGCATCGCAGCCAGTAGAGGGTTGGTGTCACGTTCAGCCACTGCATTTTCTCACTACTTCCTACTCTGGTTAGATGAGAGCAAACAGCCCAGGCCTACTGACCAGTCAATGAGGGTATATTGAGGTGAGAGAATATCTTGGGACCGTATGGTTTAGCACTCCTCAACACTGTCAATATGGGACAGGCTAAGCAATAACTTGATGGTTATATGGACACGCGCGAACACCACTCGTAATACAGCTGCACCTGAAATACACGGGACACTTTTCTCTGTGCCACTAATCACTGAAGGTCTGAGAGGATCTAGACCTTCGCCTGAGGTGAGAACGTGAAATGGCCGCAGTGAACAAAGCCAAAACAACAGAATTGTTGCATAAAAATCAGACAGGTGCACGGACAGTCCTCGGCACAAATGGGCAGTGGTGGGCGAAACCGGGCAGGTAGGATGGCTCCGGAAGGGAAACTTTCTTGTTTGGGCCTTAGAAGCTGAACACAACTGCTGCAAGAGTGGCGTCGAGAGACGCCTTTTATTTTGAATTCTGAGCTCGGAGATGTGTTTCACCGCCCTATCAGCTGATATACCAGCTCCGCTCAGGCGAACAGTAAAAGGTATGCAGCTCTTCAAACGGGCACATGAGAAGCTAGAGGCAGAGCTGATAGGACCAGCACTACTAGTAATACCAGTGGGCGAGTACGAGTGGAGTGAGGTGATAGTCGGGGCAGTGCAGAATGAGAGAGGCAGAGGGTGCTTGACCTGGGGAAAGTGCCTTGAATCGGGCACCTGTATTCACGTCCAGCCAGCATAGTGGTGATGTGATGTGATGGTGGTGTTGCTCTACGCTGCCTGTGGTCCAGGACGGCTGGAGCACTTGTAGAGTGTGCAAACCTCTGCGTGCTCACTGTGCGGTGAAACTTGCAAGCCACTGCTGGGAGGATACGATCGGGCATCTTGGCAACGGACTTGGGATAGGCGTCGGGATAGGAGGTCCAGGCCCGGGTTCGTCCGATCCTTCGTGCAGCATGACTGCGAAAAGATGTAGACTGGGTAAGGGCCCTGTATACGTGTGCATGTAGCTGTGCAGAATATACGAGCGTAGGGCAGCGATACAGGGCAAGACCATGGCAGTATCAGGGCGAGAGCAATAGCGATCTGCAATATGCAATGCATGTACTGACCACTGGAACGTAGTGGCAACGCTGCGATTTTTACGCGACGCCCGGCGCCTGACTCCACTGTAGTCCTCGAGCCATCTCACCGTACACATGTATTGAGTCTGTGAATGGTCCAGTATTAAGAGTAAAGGCCTCGAAAGGTCCTCCTCGACCAGAGAATAGGTGCTTGACTATTATGAGCGAATTTCGCTGAGTGTCTTCCAACAAGTGGCTGTGTTAGCCCCGTGGCCAAAGCAGCTATGATTACAGTAAATATTGGAAGTAGTCCCTTGCACTGCACTGCTCCTTCTAACACTGCTCATTCTAAAACTACCAGCCTTGGAACTTATTATGTACACCACCATACCAGTAGCAGTACACTGCAATCCCCAAGCCTACTACCGGTACTTGCAGTCAGATGATCATTGACTACGTGATTATGCACCCCCTCCCCTCTCTCTGACCCACTCAGTGACCACTAGGCACTAGAGTCAGGATCCCATCCATGTTTCTGGACACACACGCATATGGCAATGTGAGAAAGCATCACGTGATGGTGACGTTTCTGGGTTGCAGGTACTATGGACTGGAGGCGCGAGTCGTTCAGACCCTCATGGTTATTACAGTGACCGTTATACACTAGCCAGATTCCATGGTGCAGACAAACAGACGCACTTGCGTATGAAAACCTTGAAATGAAAACATTGTATTGTAGTGCAATGCTGTTACTCTGCTCGATAGTTTTCATGCGTACCCGCCATTGGCAATTGTGAGCCAGCCGGTTGTTCAGCGTGTACTTCCTGAACCTTTCCGGCATTACTTCTCACTTTAATACCTAGGTAAGATGATCACAGTGTTACCGCGTTGTTTAGTTTTACAGCACCTTCAATCTAACCACTGATCTTTGGTCAGTGTTCCAACACCTTCAATCTAACAACTGGTCTTTGCTCAGTGTTACAACACCTTCAATCTAACCACTGATCTTTGCTCAGTGTTACAACACCTTCAATCTAACCACTGATCTTTGCTCAGTGTTACAACACCTTCAGTCTAACCCCTGATCTTTGGTCAGTGATGCTCAAGTCAAGGCAATTGCATTGCCTTGATCATACGTCACGAGAAGGTCAACGGTGTCCTAGAGGTTTGAGGGGAGATTTACCCACCGGTTTTAACACTCAACCATCCGCTGCGACCTGTGTTAGGGGATATGGGGAGGCTCGGAGTAAGCTCACATCTTGTTGTGAGGTCTGGCACGTGATCAGCTTTGCCGAGCCAAAGCCGGAACTGCATGACTGGCCTATACAGTGCTAGGCGTGAGTTGTCCATCCGACGGCAGATTGTCCAGGGCCTGAGGTGATGAAAGCTCGTCCTGATCTGGTCGGAATCTCAGGCGCGTGGCCGGCAGAGCACACTTTACGGGCATACTAGTATTGCTTATGGCCAAGGTGTGCGTGTTGATGGGGGAAAGCAAGAGGCGCGAGAGCATGCCAATACATGTGCCTGGCTGAAAACGGACGGATGTATGCGCTAGACGGTTGTGCAGAAGCCTTGCTTTCGGCCACGTTCAGCGAGAGTGTTGTGGTATTGCGGCACGCTGTTACCTCCACGTGTTCGACCATCTGTGCCTGAACCTTCCTGCAACTTGTCTTGGGTGCTGGCGCGGGACAATCCATTTCTTCTGACCCTGCGGTATCCTGTCCTCAGTGGCCGCCGGAAGAACTTGCCAACATCGACCGGAGGACGAGCCATGTCAAATAGTGCCAGACCAGTGAAAACATGCAACCATACTCACCCGCGATCACGCGAGAAAACCTTCGACCGACAATAGAGCTACAAGGTACCTGGGATCGTTCTCAAACCCAGGACAACACGGAGAATATTCAGGCCTTCCGATGACTTACTTTCTTTCAACTCATGAGATGTCCAAACTAAAACTGTGCACCTGGTGGCAAACTTGGGCAGGCAGTGTGTCTGTGGCGTGTGCCAGACATCCTTGACATGTGATGCAATGAGTATTATCTTCACGTTTTCTGGGCATGGCGGTATGCGTCACCAGCGCGGTCGGGTGGGAGGAAGTCAAGCTTATACTGTCATTGTAGGATAGACGTTGCGGAATTGTTGGAGTTGTTCGCGCACTCTACCGTACAATGTGCTGTCTGTGTCTGCTCTTGTGAACAGAACCGTGCTAATACTGCATGTGTGTTCAGCACAATTGGTATACAACCTCATGCCATGGTTCCACGATACATGTAGAACAGTAGCGTTTACGTGCCGCAACGAGCTGCAGGTCAGGTAAAGCACACTACTAGGTTCTCATTACGTTGTGTATACGTTGTACACAACGTCACACAGCACGTGTGATATCTACTTCTACTGTGTCTTAGGCCGATGTCCCCCCCCCCCCCACAGTTCCTCAATCAGCTGTTAACCTGTGTGCACACATCCTCCAAGTGATCCACCTGCTCGAACTTTGTAGGGGCAATCACCCAGTCGTAAAACTGGTTTAATTAATCGTTACTTCAACCTTTTCTCTCTTCTCCAGGGAGATGTTCCCTGCTGTTCTCCAATCAGTAGCCAAGCTCAATTGAGCGCGCAGGCTATTTGGGCTCAACCCAAATTGAGAGAGGAAATCCAAGAAGGAATCACCGGACGCCACGAAGAGCTCCCAGTAAAGCCTTGCAAATAACCGTGATTGCTGGTATGGCGAAAAATGAACCCAGCTAGGAATGCCCATCTATTGACAATTGTCATCCTATTCCCCATCGTATAATTGCCCGGTTGAAGACAATACGAGTGGATGACACAGGGCCTAATCTTGGCACGTTGTCACCTCAGTTTTATGTTTTGCGACCTCCAACCTGGCATGCGTACAAGTAGCCTTTGTTTCCACCAAGAGGAAATCTACAGATACAGTTCCAACACGGCTAGCCTCTTCATTCCGGTCATACAGGCACTGTTTGTGTGATGGTACCATTGTTTGAAGTCGTAGAAGTCACGCATACCCTTCAGTGATACCTCCTTATACATTCTAACCAACTTCTAATGGTCACACTGGCAGCAAGCTTCAAGCATAGTTCCTCAGGGAGATGGGGATGACGTCATTGGTATTCATGTACTGTGTATGTCCTCGTCACCTCGATCCCACTCAGGTGCTGGCAATCCAGGAAAACCTGGTACACACGCACACGTACACTACGCATACTACACTGCATATACGATCATGTAGGTTTCTATCACACACCGCTGTATGTGTGGATGATGCTGTTCCGGTGTGAGGCAAGTACGTGTATGGTGTACTAGTAGTACTAGTAGTAGGCCCCATGGCCTCCAGCGTTTTCGTGGGCCATTCTTTGCCTTTGGCTTTGCTACCTTGTGCCGGTACATCCCTACGTGCACAAGTCTGTGTAAGTAAGATAGTGAGACCAATAATGGCAATATCACTGTGCGTGTGTGTGCGTGTGTGTGTGTGTGCGTGTGTGTATGTGTATTCACTCGTTCAACCCGGCGAACGGTACACAGTCCTTTCTGTAGTTACCTGTAGTCCTCGGTCGGTGTTCCACAACAGATGGACCTCCTTTCCATTTTCTGATGTGTGGTTTGAAGTATCGATTATATGTGCGCTATAACCATTACATCCTGTTGGCATATTGGTACTGTTCTTCTCTTTCACGTTACGATTGCACATGTACATGTAGATGTGAAGGCAAGAGACCACCACTATCGCCTATCAGTACCGGTACAGTGCAGAGCGGCATAGTGTGTACAATCATGTAATGTTTGTAGTGTGGGCCTACATGCTGTGTAAAAAAAGTGGGACATGTTGTTTGTTGTGACTCTGCAATGCCCCGTGATCGCCTTTTGGCGTGAAACTAACTTAGAGGACACACCGCCACCTGATCGGTTCCCGTTTTGTCCAGGGCACGGGAACCAGCTCTGCACGCTGAGCACTGAACACTATGGCAGCAGTGCCAATGTCTTCTTCGGTACATGTACCTGCAGGTCTTAGTGTGACCTAAGGTATCCATGGAAGCAAATTCAACAAAGTAGTTGATCTTCAAAACACAAAGCATGCCCATCAGCTGCATGCTCACTGTGTGGGTGTACAGTGGGACTGGGCGGGTGCAAACAATAGTGACGTCGCGAAGGGAACGTTCTATTTTCGATCATCTCGAGAACTATGTGCCAGCAATCACCTCATTCTTTCTGGCGCTGTGCTAATGCTCCAAGCATGGAGAAGTCGACCTTTCTTCCTGAAGAACCTAGCAATTACGCTTGTGTTGATGTTCCAGTCGTATTCTGAATGGCGCCGGTAAAACCTTATTACCACGCCAGAACCCGACGTCTGTTTCGTCTGAAGGAAGAGCAGGAAGAGTTTGCGTACAATTGTGACGACTTCTTTCATTGTTTCGTTGGTAGGAGAGGACACGA